CCTTTCATTTACAATTTATTAAACACCCACTCGAATGTTTGATTCCCTCGATTTCTTCCAGTTCGATTTGAAATCAATGAGTGCATATATCAAACTACAACCCAAAATCGAATTATTTCATGGCGAAAAAAATTGCACTACGGTCAATAAGTTAAAGAAACTCCGCTTTGTTTTGGGAAAAATTCGAGGAAACGAGAAAACATAAAAAATCTTTAAACTCAAAACGTGGTCATCGAAAATAATAATGTACACGTGGAGCAGGTTCAAGTAGTCGATTTTTCGGTTTAAAAAATCAATAATGATGATCTTCTAAAAAATTGAAACTACAGTAATTCAGATTATGATGCAATAAATAAAATACAATCCGTGTCTCCAGGAACGGCTTATTTTTGAATGCCGCCGGAAGCGGAGCGGTTCGCGTGCGGTCCATCCCATTTTTTTTTTACTTTTTATATTCCAACGAACTAATATGACGTTTAGAGGTTAATAACCGAAAGAAAACTAAAAGGTTTTGCAGAAAATAATTCTGATAACCGTGCTTTTTTTCAAGAAACGCACGATAATTCATTTTTATGTATTTCGTAATATTTCATTAATATAATAATAATAAGAATAATGTGTTTGAAACGCTCATTGGTCTTTAAATATCCGAATTTCGCTATATTTCTCCTGTCCCTTTAAAAACACGCAGGATGCCATGATGTGACTTTAAACAATTATTCGACGGGTACATGCTGATGCAAATATCCGGACTCATATACAACATCCGAAATTTAATTCAATTCGTATGCGGAATACTTGGAAAATTATAAAAACGCTATTTGAGCTCATTGGCTCTGCTCAAAATCAAAATCTAGGCATTTGTAATTATTTATGGCCCTGAAAGAACAATGACAAAATCCAAAGATTATTTCGCCTCAGTGGTGAACGCATTCCTGATCCACCTCATCGGCGAACTTCTCCAAATCTTCTACCAATTAATTCCTGCCTCATTTTCATTCTGTCACTAAAATATTCTCTTTTCACCGCCATTTCTTTTCAATTCTTATTAAACGTAAAAAAAATTCTTATTAAAAATGCGACGTTCCTTCTTCAACTTTCCATCCCAATTTGGGAAAAATGAGAGAGGAAAATCTAATTGGAAAATAGAGAAAAAAATTGCAGGGAAGGAAAGTCGCATTGGCCTTAGATTCACAAGTAGAGATTTCCATGAAATTTCGGTGAAACGCCGATGAAACGGTATTCGAGAGAGTGTGTGATATAGAGAGACGGAGACATTTGTTTTTGGCCTCATCGGAAATGGACACGATTTTCTGGTGAGTTGTTTCAAATCCGACACATGGATATATTAATACCCAATATTTTTGATTTGCCGTCTTCGGTTTCCTTTTTGTTGCGTTTGCCGTGCTCGCCATATAAATGCGATACCCAAGTCCGGAGTCCACCTCAAAACATAGGCCTTTAAACCAAATATTCAACAACGAAACAAATATATTGAGAGAATATTTATAAAACGAGGAAAACGTTAGTTGAACTTTTAAAGCGAATGGTGTTTCTGGCAACAAAAAATGAGAATACAATGTTTTGCGTGTCCGCCGAATGTGTCCAAATGTCGTGGGATCTTGCGTTTTGGTACGCAGTACACCGAGCGATTCACCGAGTTCCACAACTAACCATTTATTAACGGTAATAATTAACTAATAAAATTAAATAGATAAGATTTTTTGAGAAATTAACCATCACGTTCAAAGAAGTGCCCGCAAATGGCAATATCATCGTAAAAAAACGAGCGCCTCATCTAACTGTGGAGCAGAAATTCAAATTTCGATTAGACAGTCTAAATTCGGATACCGTACTCTAGATAACATGCGAAGCTAATTCACTGTAAAACTTCACATGGCTCTCATTTTTCTAAAAAAAAATTTAAGTGGAAAATATATGTGTTATATGGATTTCCGTGATGAATTAACACATTATTTAAAACTTTCGAGAGCACAATAATTGTTATTTGAGATTCTAGATTGAAATCTTCTTTTTATTTTTTTTAAATTTGTCGCAATAAGATTCAGGAAACGCCAAATCAGTTTTTGCTCACAACAAAATATTCGTATTGGCTTAAACCATTTTCGGTAATGCAACTCCTTCAATTTATTATTATAACTCAAATATAGCAAAAATCGCTAATTATTTTTTCCAGACCCAATATGTTGAATCAGTGGTGTTTGTAATAATACATATACGAGCGTAGATATCGTCACTTCGAGACCCTATCAATTCTAAATAATTAGGCCGTCCTTGAAATTGAATGGAAATCTCTAAAAGGCATTTCGTCTTGACCTTACATTTTTCAAAAAAAAAAAAAAAACAATAAGACAAATCCCGCATAAGTAATGGACCTATTCATGCAATGAAAAAAATATTTAAAAAAATCAATGTTTTTCATTTGAATTCCCTATGCACGCACGTCAAAAATTACAAAAAATTGACGCGATATATCGTAATTCTCCGCTATTTATTTTTAAAGGCGCACGCGAAAAGTTGCGCGGGTCACGTCGCGATTTTTTTCGGATTTTTTTATTTTTCGAGCGTTTAAAACGTTTTCTTTTGGAAATCTGTAAAAGTACATTGTTTAGCGTCATCGAGCGAAGTCTTCTTTAGATCAACACAAAAATCACTATTTTTCATGATAATTGGCATCTAAATGACGAAACATAGACTTATATTGTCGAATTTGAAGTAATTATACCAATAATAATTGTTTTTACTCGTTCTTAAATCTGTTACTCATTTTCTCTTCAAAGTTTTCGAAAAATACGGAAAAATAGCACACAGAATGAAAAATAAAAAATTACAGTACCGACTTCGCGACGTGACCTGCGCAACTTTTTGCGTGCGCCTTTAAAAATAAATAGCGGAGAATACGATATATCGCGTCAATTTTTTGTAATTTTCGACATGCGTGCATAGGGAATTTAAATGAAAAAAAAATTGATTTTTTTTATTTTTTTCATTGCATGAATAGGTCCATAAGTAAGTGAATGGTCAATGCAAAAAATAAAAAAAATGTAATGAAAAATTCCAATTTGTCTCATGTTTTTTTTTTTGATAAATTTAATGTCAAAAGTCAATGCTTGCCAATTTCAAGAATTTTTTCCCACGAAATCTCAGAAATCACCAATTGTCTTCATCTGCTTTTGATTCTCTACTTCTCGTCGTATGATCTTTATTCAACGAATAGAATAGACGGGCACCGTCATTGAGAAACTCGACTCTATTTTAATTCAAGACAATCTTTCTAATAATCGCTGAATTGATTCCAAATTGGATGCAGCGTCAAAAGAGAGAAAAAAAACAACGTCACTCCTGACGAGCTGCTCTTTTGATATTTGTTACATGTGGACCGATAGACTCCGCCCATTTACTGGCTGGAAATCGGACCATCATTCATTCCCTTCACATACGGAGTAGGTCGCATGTCTCTCCCTAGTCGCCACCTGCTATCATAATGTCGTGGACGGACGAATTTGAGAAATTTGAATTGAAAGGGGCTGCCGTTTAATTGGTCCCGCAAAACAAAATCGCCTCATACTCTGCCATTCGGCACTTGTGCTAATAAACAAAGTACTTAAAATTCATTAAAAAAAATTCTGATCTCTCATAAGATGATAGTTAGAAAACGTAAAAATCGCTCCCAATGTTTCTCCATACGAGACCCACAGCGGCAATTCCAGCAAAAAAAGCAATCGCACCCTAAATTCGTCCGTCGTCGACTATATTTAAATCTTATTCTAATAAACTAAAAGAGAAAATAGTGGAAGCGGGAATGCGAGTTACTATTATATTAGGTCCCTTATAACCACTTCCACACAACCTATTATAGTCAGCGTCCGGCGACTGCTATGCTCGAGTATTTGTATTTTCGAGCATTCACCTTTGCTATTTCGACCCATTGGTATATTTTGCATTTTAGAGGTCATTCCGATAATTTTGATTTATAAGAAAATGAGCATTCACTTGTGGCGAGACCGTTTCGATAAGCGCACCCCGTAAATCTACGTCAACTCTCTCTTGAATGCAAATAAATGTGCTCAAATCAATTTAATATGTTCGAGTTTCTCACACATTGTTTTAAAGTAGTTGAACAAAAGTTGGTGAAAATTATTAATGATTTGGTTCAAAGCAATTCGTTTTAATCATTAAGACATGTGCCTTTAAATCTAATCTTGATAGCCTCAATTGAAACGATCGAAGGATTTTTGAAAATAAATAAAAACTGAATTGCGATTTTCAGTGTTTATAAATTGAATTAGATTTTACAATTAGAACTTTTTTTTCATTTTTTTCATTAAATTGAATTAGATTTTACAATTAGAACTTTTTTTTTTCATTTTTTTCATTTTTTGGCCTTCGGAGTTCCGATTTCTTTTTTATTTTCAATTCCACTCAAATCAAGAGTATTTTCTGTGTCTTGTGACATTTCTAGTTGTCAAAGATTATTGCTATTTTTTCCACGAAACACGAAAAATGTGTGATCGAAAATTCGCATTTGTTAAGCACTCGCTTTGAAGCAACTCTTGAAACAATTGACAACTTCCAATTTTTTACAAACCAAATTTCAAAATTTCCGCCAACACCCAAAAACAGTGGTTTACCTTTGAAATGTTTTTTTGGTAATTTTGTATTTAAAGGCGCATGTCGGTAACAAGGCTAATGAACAATTGGGGGCTCTTCAGACCACAAGAACCCATCTTTTTCCACATTTTTTTTTGTCTCAGCACATTTGTCGTCTGGATATCATTATTTTAAAGGCACATGTTTAGATACTAACCATTTTCGCATTGAAACTATGATTTTTGAATTTTTTTCTCAAAAAGTTTTGTCCATCATTCTACTAGTTTTCATGATATTTGATCAATTCGCTGCCAATCTGTTTTTTTTTCCAGTCGGCCAACGAACCATTTTCTATGAGCATTGATCAGCGAGGCCGTTTCCTTATGATAATGCAAACATTGACCCCCATTGCCCAACACTTCGGCTTCTATCTGTCGCAAATCTGCAATTGGGCTCTTCTTTATCTAATCCTCACGAAAACCGCCGTCAAATTCGGCGCCTACAAGTATTTGATGATCTCGTTTGCATGTTACGCTTTGATCTACTCAGCCATAGAATTCATGACATTGCCGGTAACTCGATAAACTAATTATGAAGATGCTTTTGTAATTTCAGATCATTTTTAGCACCGGCGCTTCGTTTTATTTTTTTGTTGGAAGCGACTTCAAATATAATATGCAATTTGGGTGCCTATTATCAAGTAAGTCATTCAAGTCGTGGTGAGACAACAGTGGGGGGTGACCAACGATCGGAAGGTCCTTCCTTTAAAAGCGCATGTCCGTAAATCCACATTTAAAAGAAAACAATGAATTATTTCTCTGAAAAAGCCTAAATTTATAGTTGTTGCAGAAATTAAATGTTTTGAGGTGCTCAAAATAAAGTTGGTTCCGCGCATTTACTAAAATATAATTTTTATGAACACTCGGTCAGATTTGTGTCTTGCCATAAGCACTACATCTTAGGCTCTTTAAATTGTTGACGTTGTGAAACCGGATTAATGTAGGACTAGGATACCAACCGAACAACGAAAAATTCTCCGACTTTTCCGGAGTGAGCCGATCAGGTACAAAATTGGTGGGTAGAATACTGTAAAAATTGCTGTAGAAATATCGAAGACAATCGCAGAAGGATTACAGTAGTTATGTACAGTACACCAAACTCGGAAATTTGCCATTTTTGGAGTGTGTTAGCTAAAGAGATGAAAGGGTTATGTGAGGTGGTCAAATGCTAACAAGGGAGGGGTTTTTTATTTAGTGGTTTGGAATTCGTTCTAATTTTGCACACAAACCTATCGAATGTGCTATGCCAAACCTATAAGCCATTATAAAAACTTGTTAAATTTTATTACAAATTAATTGCAAAAATAATGGCGAGAAGAGGCAAAAAACCAATACACCACTTACAAATTACCACTGAACCACGACTGCTTGACGCCACTCTATCGAAACGGGGTATTTGTGCATGGTGTTGAAGTATGGCAAAAATCACGAAACAAAGTAAAAGTATTGGAAACTTTTGTAGAACACGGCATAGAACACTCGTTATGGAATTTCGCGATCTATTTGTGTGCAAAATTAGAAAAAATTCCAAATCACCATGTAAAAACACCTCCTTTGTAACGGTTCTACAATATTGAAGAACGAGAATTCTAGATTGATTCGAGGGATGTAGGTATTGATTTATTCCAGGTTTATACTGTGTTTCGTTCCTTCTTTGCATTTCTCTGCTAGCAACTCATTTCGTCTTTCGCTACATTGCCATATGCAGATCAGTTGAATATTCCTCTTGAACTACAGTAATCATGTGTCTCGCGCCATGACCACCGAACCAATTTCAGATCGAAAAGCCTCGCGAATATTCAAGGCGTCAAATTGCTCAAACTATTCGTTCTCCCCATCGCTTTCAGCATTTTATGGTATATTATAGTGAATTTGGCATACCTTCCATCAGACATCAAATCGCAATACGTCAGGTTTGACAAAAACGAAAATCATGCTGAAAATGGTTTTTAGAGAGTCATTTTTTGAAGTTTATCAACAAGATAGCCTTCAGATCGCTTATGCCGCTGTCTTATACTATGTAAAAATGGGGATATGCAAGCAAATGAAGTCAATCCAATTTCAGAGGTACGACAAAGACGGCCGGCTTATAATCATGTGGAGAGATTGCATCGGCATGGGAATTTAATTCGTAATTCTTGTAATATTAATAATCGCAATCCTCCATTATGAATAGTAATGATTATAGAGCACTGTGACAGGAACAATGCTCATTTTTGGGTTCAAAACTTTCTCGAAAATGAAGGAAGCGAGCAATTTGAGCGAGAAGACGAAGGAATTGAATCGACAACTATTCAAGATATTAATTCTACAGGTTAGTTCCAGATTAACTCTAATCGAAAAATGGAAGCGCCTGATTCGAATTACGGTTTTCTCGATGTAAAACCATTCCAAACAAATATATACATATCAAAACTGACAATTGAGGTGAGAAGTGAGTTCGACTAAACGAATCCGCTTCAGACATTAATTCCTCTGTCGACATTACTAATACCTGCTGGTGTCATTTTTGTTTTGCCGATCTTCTCGATCGGAATCGGCGAATACGCGAATGTCCCATCGATCGGCGCCGCCATTTATCCAGCCATTGACGCAATGATTCCGATTGCCATGATTCGCGACTATCGTCAAGCTGTTCTCTGTATGACGCAGGTGTATTCAATTCGGAAAATTCTCTCAAACTTTTCAGGTAACAGGTCAACTCGTGGCGGCCGGGTTTCGCATAATAAGTCCACCACAATTCTCAATCAGTTCGCGTCATCTGTGAATTAGACATTTTTTTCTTAAATTCAATATTTTTTCCATTTCTTTAATCCTCGAAATCTGCCATATTTTACGTTGTTTCATTTTTAATCATCTTCTATTCATTTTTTATTGGTCTATTATACTTATATACTTTTAATTTAAACTATTTTTTCATATTTCATTGCTGATTTCCAGCATGGGGGAAAATGATTGAAATACATTTCTGCGAAAAAAATGACAATAAAACGAGTTAAAAATCAAATTTCAAAAATCCTCAAATATGTCTGAAATTCGTGGAAACGGCGATCAAAAGAGCGTTTAGGTGAAATTGTGATGTCTCCGTCTCTCAAAATCACACACACTCTCTCAAGCACCTTTTCACCTGCGTTTTCAACGTAACACGCCATTCACCTTTCAAGCATACTGGCATTATTTACTATATTAATAAATTATTACTGTTACCGTAACCAGCTTAAAGTAATTGAGCAGTGTAGGCGCGCCTGATATACATAAGTTGTTGATGGCATCAACTAGGTTGATAGCATTACATAGGAAAATTTGGGTTTGCACACAATTCTGTCAAAGTAATTTTCCAACGTCCTTATAAAAAAAATTGTCAATGGCAGCAGAGGACTTCCAAAGAGAGGAGCAAGGGGGGGGGGTGCTTAAAAGTTAGACAAGAGAAAATTAGACCCCACCCCCCTTAAACAAAAAAAAATTTGGTCTCACGGATTCGGCTGCGCCCGTTAAAATTCCTCTCAGCGTTGCTCCTTTAACTTATCCAAGCGCATAGACTCGTAAATCTATAATTGGTTTTGTGTAGTTTTTCCACACGACAATATGCGTTATCAATGTTTTTTTTTGTCTGATCGGTGGCGGGAAATTTGATTTCTCTAAATCAGTGTAAATCTACGAATTCGGAAATTTATGCGCTGTCTAATTATTAAATACGTGTACGCTAAAATTCAGAGTACGCAGACACGTCTGTCTGCCTCGGGACACCATGGCCCATAGCCGATTTTTAAAAGTTTCGATCAGTCGTTTGAAATCGACAATACGGTCACAAAAAAAAACGGAAAAGCCCGTAAATAAGAAAATAATGGTCTCATTTTTCTAAAGCGGGGCCAGCACAAAGTTCTGGTCGTAATTCTTTGCTTTTTTCAAAGGTAGCACATTGATCTGAAATTTTTACTATATACGCGGAGCAAAAATACGGAAATTGAGTGATATCTTAGTTTTCGTATTTTTTATTTGCAGTATTGTTTTTATTTTTATTTTTCGACTTTTTTTCCCATTTTTTTTATTAATGATTATTGTAATGTATGAGACTCCTCTATCCGGTCATAATATTTTCAAAAAGTACTGAAACGTTATTTTTCAAACTTAAGGGTTTATCATCATTTCTTAATAATATCTTAACACTTTAAGGAAAAAGTTGCGATGGGTGTCCAGCCCGGAAGACTGTCTTCTACCTTGAGAAAAATGGATTGCAATATTGTTCGCGCGTCTAGGACCCTTGTCGGACTTCAAATAACATTTGGACCCTCGTAACTTCTCCTAACGAACCTGCACCATCTCGGAGAACAATCAGAAGACTGCTGTAACAAAATGGGATGCATGGACGACGTCCAACGAAAAAAAAATCTCAATGTTGAATTTGTTCAATTTTTACTTTCTTTTAAAAATTTAAAGACTCGAATATGTGAATCAGTTGGAAATTGCGTCAGAAGCATTGTTAAAACATTTCAAATCAATCGGCCAACTTTGAAAAAAAAAGAAAAATTATGATCGGTTTGAATATATATATATATTTTCAAACAGTTTGGTTTGCTCAGAGCTCCACTCGCTAGTCTGAAATGTTATTCGTGAAATAGCAATAATTTTCACGACTCGCGCAAACTTTTATAATTTTTTAGCGGTTAATTGAAGCATATCTAAATTGTTTCGTCCGGAAAATTTGGTGTGTCGAAATAAAATTTTTTAGAATTTCATTTCATTTTTTTGGAAATAATTCGGTTTTTCGTTGGAGTTTATCTGATTAAGAATTGTGTCAACAAATCAAATACGCAAATATATAAATTTGATATTCAATAAGAATTTTAATAAAATTCCATATTATACAACTTTGGTTTCTATATTTTATTCTCTATCAGAATACTTTCTTTTAAGGAATATTCCACGTTTTCTGAATGATCAATCGGACTTAAAATTGATGTAAATTCATTTTTTCTTTGAACAATCTTGTCATATGGGTATCACCTCCTTCCTATCAATTTTCCCATTGTCATGTGAACATTATTTTGAAAGGATCACATTTTCGCAAGCTGGTCGTGTTTTATGAAAACCCGAAATAACGTTATTTAATTCTATTGAAATCTCAACCATTCAATTCCATTTATATTTATATCATGAAACCGAAATTCTCAATTAAATTAACATGAATAAGTTTGTAAAAAAAAGACTGAAAATTGTTTTTTATTTATTTCTCGAATGTGTTCATCGCATTAGTTTGCCTCTATAAGGCTCATAGAAAAATATGATTTGTTCGATAAAAAATTTAAAAAAGTCGCGGTAACCTTGGAAAATTGCACAAATTGTATTATTATTATTATTATTATTATTAAATTCTCTTATAAACATACATAATATGATTTTTGAAATGATTTTTTTTTTTCAAAAAAAGTGATATGTGACGATTTATTCTGCTGAAAATCGATAATTTGTGAAAAAATTGTTGAAAATTGGCGCGAAATTCAAAAATCTCACACTTCTCTGCCACTCTCGCAGACTTTTCAATTTGTCTAGCCCAATATTGCAATCCAATTTTCTATATCGAAAATAATCGCTGGAAAATTTACTTTCGTAGTATCGGCGTGCGAAACTTCCGCCAATCAAATTTCTTCAATGTTTCAGACCAACGAAAATGAACCAAGTATTCACCGCCGGACAATATATGGGATTCGTATTCGCTCAAATCGCCAATTGGCTTTTCCTATACCTTATTATCACAAAGAATACCATGAAAATCGGAACATATCGATATTTAATGATTTCCTATGCAATTTTCTCCATAGTTTATTCCATTATTGAAGTAATATCTCTACCGGTAATCGAAAAAAAAAACAATACCAAAATTGTTGAAATATTACCCTTTTCAGATCATTTTCAGCAAAGGTCCTGCATTCTACATATGCGTTGGCAGCTTTCTGAAATACAATCGAAATCTAGGAATACCGTTAGCAAGTATGTGAATCATGTTCAAATAAAAAAAATGGAATAATTCAGCTTTATATTCAATGTCATTTAGCACTTGTATTTCCTTATTAGGCAGCCAATTCGTTTTTAGATATATCGCAATTTGTCAGTAAGTTTTTGGATTTGTTCGATACGCAGCCAAATCGTAAATAATTTCGAGACCAAATTGTGACGTTGAAAATTCGAAAATTTGTCTGTCAACGACAATATTTCAATTTTCATCTGTAGCATGCGAGTAACTTCCCTGATTCCTAAAAAGGGTCAGATCTATATATTAAAAATAAATTTTTCCCGAATTTCCCGAAGGGTCTTTCTCGACACCCCTGTCCTAAAACGTTTTTTAAGAAATTGCGGTGTCGGCAATTTAAAATTGAATAAATTTTACACTAAATTTGCCTGAGAAATTATAGAAAAAGTGATTTGTCTATTTTCGCTGTAAGACCCAACCAATCGAAATCCATTCTTCGGCACTTCAAATTTTTTTCAATTTTTCGATCTCGCCGCCTTTTCAACTACCAAGGCTTCAAACTATTCAAACTCTATATTATCCCAATTCTATTCAGCACAATGATGTATGTTCTTACTATTAATATATACTATCCATCTGGTATGAAATCAGAATATGTAAAGTATGTCAAATTCTATGAAGAAATTTAGAAAAAGGGGGATTTTCAGACAAGAATTTTTAGAAAATTTTGAAGTTGATAGCTTCCGAATAGCCTACACCTCACTATTATATTATGTATGGATGATTTATTCGAAAATTTCTGAAATCCTTTTTTTAGTCTTATGACATGTTCGGCAACATTCAAATCCGATGGAGCGAATGGATCGGAGTGTTTCTGGTATTCCTTATAATGGTTTGAACAAGAAAATTGCATTATTCTGAAATTTTTATTAAGTAAATATTTGAAGGCATTTTCGATTCTAACAATGATCATATTTGGAATAAAAATATTTACAAAGATGAAGGGCGCCTCGTTTCTGAGCCCAAAAACCAAGGATTTGAATCGCCAACTGTTTCGGGCTCTCGTTTTTCAGGTGACAACTCAATTCTTTGGTTTTTTTTTGGAAATTTCAATTCTCCAAAATTTCCAGTCAATCATCCCGATTGTGCTGATGATCTTGCCCGTCAGCATTTTGTTCACATTTCCCATGTTTTCATTGGGAATCGGAAAATACGCCAACATTCCATGTCTGTCGGCCGCACTTTATCCAGGCATCGAGGCCAGCGTCAACATATTCATTATTCGCGATTTTCGGCGAATTCTAATGTGTGAGCAAGTTTTTGCTTCTTCAAAAATCGCAGGAAAAATGAATACGATAATCTTTTTTTTCCGGAGAAACCGTTTTCCCGGTTCAAAAACATTCAGAAAATCTGTTCTATTTTGTTTAATTTTTTTTTTACTTTTTCATATTGAAGATTCCAACCAAACTCAAAAATCTCCTGGAAATGAGGAAAAGGGCGTTTGAATTGCCGCCAAAACCGTGGGGCTTGCAGACTGGAGTTTATTCGGAATTTTCTCGCAAAATCTATTTTAATTGTGGATCTTCGATCTTTATTCATTATTAAAGAGGTTTAAAAAATAAGGATAAATTGATTTAATGAGAGCGGGCGAAAATGTGTGCAAACACCGTGACGCAAAATGGCATCCAAACACCCATCCGTATTCTTTTTCTCAGCAAAATTGAAATTTTAAAAATCTTTTATTGTCGGAGTCAAACGACTGGACGAAATTAAAAAAACATTGGCTATGTTCCAATGTGTATCGAGACAGCGAGGAGGTACGCGAGATTGCGTACAATACATTTAAGCGTACGCGCATATAATTTTCAGTCATTTAAATCTACACTGATTTTTTGAGACATACATCATTAATTCCATATAAGAAATTTTAACGGCCCATCGACAAAGGGGGGGGCTTCTTAAACCATCCGCGATAATCAATGTTTGAATCGTTGCCAGAAATTTCAAAAAATTTCCAGAATTCTAGGTAAAAATTAATTGCAAGGCGCTAAGGTGATTAGAAATGTCGTCCACATTTACATGTCTGAGACCAAATCATTCTTTGGCAAAACTAGAGTCATTCGACGTCGAGGCGAGACCCAAACAAATCAAGGACAGAGAGAGAGAATGACAACCAAGGATTTGAAACATTTTCAAATTTCACATTTCTTTTAATATATGCCATAGGCCACTATTATAAAACTTCAATTTTCAGATTTCCTGATTTTGGACTCGTTTATGTTTTTGATGTGTTCTCTAGATTCAAATTTCGAACAATAAGCAAACTAAAAAATAAACAAAATTTTTAAAGCAATTTTAGTGCCACAATCCACAAATCCAATTTTTGCAGGCACGAAACGATCTCGAACATTCCATCTCTCCACCACCGCTTACAGTGGAGTCCAGCGATTATCCGCTTAAAATCCGTACCAGCAAAACGTGTTTAGGGGCCGCGCAATACTCGATGACGCGAATTCCTCGCTGAAAAAAAAAAACTTCAATCACATGCCTTTGGTTGTTAGCCGAAATGTTGCTACGGTGGGGACACTGGCGCGAAGCGGAGCCTATAATTAGTGTTGCCAAGAACTCGCAATAAATATACATATTTTCGAAGAGAGCATAAGCGATGTTGCTCGCCAAATCACATCATTCATCGCTAGTCGTCGAGTAAGAAATGCGGCTGACCGTGCAGAATCTCGCCGTCCACATCGGATTCATCCTATCATGCGTCTTCAATATTTTTCTCATCTACATGATCCGCAAAAAGACGAGCAAACAATTAGGCACCTATAAATATCTGATGTTATCATTTTCAATGTTTGAAATGATGTTCTCAACAATCGATATTCTAAATCAACCGGTTAGTTGGAATTCAATCCGCATCGTTCAGCGCATTCCAGACCATCTATGTGAACAACGGGGTCTTCATTCTGTTCAGCACCAATCCCCTTCATCTTCCACGGTCTTTCGCCACCTACTTCAACAGTATGTCATTCAAAAAATAATCTAAAACAATGTCATTCAGTTCTGAACTTCTCTCTGTTCGGTATGATCATTGCCCTTCTGGCTATTCACTTCGTTTATCGCTACTTCGCCGTCTGCAAGTGAGTTCGATGGAATCAAATCGAATCATTGTTTTTTTAACAAAAAATTATTGGTTCCTGCTCTTTCGAAAAAGAGAAAGAACTGAAAATTTTTCAAAGAGACTTTGATATTTTTGTAACGCCAGACGCTCGAAGTTAAGCAGTAATTATGAGAAGAAACCAATTTGCAGGCCGAAATATCTTGTGCTCTTTGAAACACCGTATTATTTTATTTTTATCGTTATTTTTTTGTGCTTCGGCGCCGAATGGTTTTGGTCGACGGCACTGCTTGGAGGCGCTCGCGATGGGATCTGCGATTTACAATTGTACGTCGAAAACTGAAGTGATGTGAAAACGCGTATCTGAAATTTTGCCACAATTTTTCGCTGTAAGACCCAACGATGCAAATTCCAAAAAAAACCTATGGGAGAGATCTTGGCGCAAAACGAAATGTGTAGATTTACGGGATACACCTCAGCTTTTTATTTCGACGCTTACAATGAAAAAAATCAAAATGAGTTTCATCCCTATAAATTTATTCCATGCGTGATCGGAAATTGTCAAAATAAAATATTAAAATTCAATTTTAGGGAGGAAATCGCTCAAATTTACAACATTGATATCAAAAATATTGTCTTCACTGGAATGCGATACACGGTATTTGAGATTCTGAATATATACAGTTGATTAGTGTTCGCTGTTTTCTAGACCGCCAAACTCGGCTACACATCGATTTGCTGGAACGGTGTCGTTCTGGCTTTGATCCTTCTTCAGATCATTATCATCTCTGCCATTACCGTGTTATATTGCGGAATTCGCACCTATTTCGAAATGTCTGTGAAGCGTGCGAGCACCTCCCGTCGGACACTTGATATGCAGAGACAGCTGTTCCGAGCCCTCGTGGTCCAAACCATCATTCCCGTCATCCTTCTCTATGTACCTATGATGACTATCTTCGCCGCACCCATCTTCCACTGGAAGCTTAACTTCCTTGACGCCTTCGTTTTGATCTTCATCATTCTCTATCAAATCCTTGACCCACTAGCCATTCTCTATTTGGTTCGCGATTACCGCAGAGCCATTAAACACATGATTAATATCTATATTATCGATTATATGGTTCAAGTCCTTCAGGGTCATTCGCTTCAAAATTCCATTCAACCTCCAACACCAGCAATTTTTTCAGTTCACAATCCCGGGAATACAATGGGGATTATTTATTGATGAAAACGTACAAATTGTAAATTATAAGACGAGATCAGTTAGGGAAGAATTAAATAAAGTGGTTGTACTCATTCGGACTCGGCATTTTGTTTGTGTGATTGCTTTAGGGTTAGATCATAATAGGCTCCGCGTTTGGCCATGAGCTCCGCGTGAGTTCCTTTCTCAACAACAACTCCTTCCTTGACAACCATTATGCAATTGGCATTGACAATCGTCGACAGCCGGTGGGCAACAACGATGCAGGTTCGACCTTGCGATGCGGCATCCAGTGCTTCTTGGACTTGCTGCAAAAACCAATTCCATTCTATATTTGCAACTAGAACGTCGTCATTGAAATGTTGACCGGTCAATTGGCTGCACAACGTGAACATACTGTTTGAAAATTCTGGGCCCCGCCCAGAATTCAACGTCCCCGAAGGAACAATTTTTTGTGTGGCAAGAAACGAAGTTATCAGTCAGAAGCTCTTCATCGCCGCCCAAATGGACGGCTAGAGCCTTCTGTCATCACTTAACTCCGGCCCTTCGCAAGGGCAATGCTCCCGAAATTCTCCCTTCCTACGGCCGCGCCGTCTTAATGGGAAAAGAAAACCCCCCAATATCTCCCACGCGGCCGCGCCGCCAGTTGGGGAACTCTACCAAGTTAAACCACATACCTGGGAGGTTCTCTTCCCCTTGGATCGCGCATCTCCTTCCTCCGCGAGTTCGCTCCATAATCCGCAATCAGAATAATAGGCTTTAACTCCCGTTAGAAAGAAAAAAGAAACTAAAAACAACGCTTTTTAAAACCTCCTAACGCCGCCGCTAGGTTACTGTCGCTCCGCGCCGCGAGAAATCCAAGCGGCATTACTGTGCCGGCCTTTAACTTCTCCCCCTGCGCCTCCTTTGCGCCCGTTGTCTTTCCCTCAGCGCGCGTTATCTCTACCCTTTGGCGCGCGCTTTCTCCGTTCACACACTCTCTCTCCGCGAGAGATATTTATCGATTTCCCTCATTTTTTCCTCCTTTTTCGTCGAATTCCCGCGGAATTTGACATACTGCCTAATTACAGAGTTCCCGATTTGGCTTAATTCTAGATCAACGAACAATTCTAACCTTTTCATTCTCAGTATCGAGGGCGCTCGTCGCCTCGTCAAGCAACAAGATCTTTGGTTTTCTGATAAGGGCGCGAGCGATGGCAATTCGCTGCTTTTGCCCTCCTGATAACTGGGTACCCTTCTCTCCGACTCGTGTTTCGTAACCCTGGAACAATGCCAAATTTGGTCAAACTTATTCCACAAGCCGCTTACATTCGGCAGACTCTCGACGAATGAATGAATGTTGGACTTCTTGGCAGCTTCGATAATATCGGCATCCGAATACTCGCCGGGATTCAAACCGTAGGCAATGTTCTCGCGAATCGAAATATCGAAAAGAATTGGCTCCTGTGAGACCAATGCGATATGCTTCCTCAGGTGTTTCGGATTGACTCCGCGCAAATCGTTGTTATCCACCAGCTGCAATTCAGTCAGAATCCTTATCAGAAAGCATTCAACAAAAAAACATACGACATTTCCATCCAACGGATCATATAATCGCTCTAATAATGAGATTACTGTCGATTTTCCACATCCACTAGGACCAACAAGTGCCAATGTTTCTCCAGGATGAACACTGATGTCCAATCCCCGCAGAATCGGCACTTCTGGTCGTTCAGGATATCGGAAGTAGACCTTCTCAAATTTGATTTCTCCATTAATTTTTGGCTTCTTTCCATTTTCCGACATTCCGTCGATCAATGGCTCTTCTTCAAGCATCTTGAAAATCAATCCGGCTGCAAATGTGGCCTTCGTGTATTCTGGGAAGTAAGCTGAAGCGAAACCAATCGACGAGAATGAGAACGAAATTGCAAAGAGAACACTGAAAAAGGAGTACGATAGCCTAAGATAATTAAGATAAGCCAATTACCGTAAGACGCTCATTGGCTCCATCATCACATTTTTATCAAAGATCAAGAAGAGGCCAAATCGGAATGAAGCAGCGTAAAGGAAGTAGAAAATAGATGTAGCAAATCCATAGGAAATTCCCTGAATTTAATTGAGTTGCTGAAACAAACACTTCAACAATTTTCCCACCTGAACCAATGCCTTGAATCTGTTCGACTTGTGTGGTCCGTCGAGATAAGAGCAGAACTGAGCATGAAGTCGAGTTTGAAGTGTCAATGCTTGTACAGTCCTGATGTTCTCAATTGCTTCCATTGCAACTTTTCCACTGTTTTCCAATTCTTTTGCATCAGCCGACGATTTTCCGGACAAGAATTTGATTTGAACTGCTTGCCCGACACCAGCAAGTGGGAAGATTGCGCAGACAAGGAATGCCATTTGCCATCCATAGTAGAAAGCGATAGTTAGTCCTCCTACAACTGAGACCAATGCGTTGATGACGGATCCAAGGCGATAATCAATTGCTGCCTTGATGTTTGGAGCATCGGTCGCCAAACGAGTGGTAATTCTTCCCGGTGAATGAGTAGGCATATCGAAGTAGGTTGCATCTTGTCGAAGGACATTTCGGAACACCTTCGATCGAATCCGCATGGTTAATCGCTCCGAAGCGATTCCGAACAACGCGCATTGGAAGAACATCGTAGTTCCCTGGACAGCGGCAAGGACGAGGAACATCAGCGCCCAAAAATGGCCATCTTTCAACATTTGCTCGGGATTCGGATTTGAGAAAACTTCAATAATTTGGGAGAAGAACAACGAGAATGTTGGCATCACAGCGCCTTGTATAACTGATGCAATAGTGGCTAATAGAAGGAAAAATATTTCCGGTCTCGCATACTTCAAAATGCGGAAGAGATTCACGCGAGCTGCCCCTTCCTCCTCGAGCTCTGAAAATTTTATGATGGTTTCAACACACCATTCACAATGATTTCGTTATCTTACAACTTAAATAACCACAGAACATTAAAAAATGAAAACGAGATAATAAACTTTTACTGATAACACTACAAACCTTTTTTGAGTCTTTCGAGGTCTTTTTCCGGTTCTGGTTGGGATGTTGGATTGTCGTCTTTAACAATTGACATGCGAGATTCTTGTGAGACAAAGTTCTAAATAAGGTTTTCTGATTTTCATAATAATCTATCCAGTCTTACAGTTGTTTTGTCAACCGACGTTTGTTTTGACAATGATTTTTCGGTGGTAGTCGTCGAGGTTTCAACATCAGCGAAGACTTGTGCATTCAGCAACTCATGATACAATCCCTTCTTTTTCAATAGATCGTCGTGTTTTCCGACTTCCATAATCTCTCCGCCCTTCATCACAATAATCTGATCAGCATTCCTGATAGTCGACAGCCGATGGGCAACAACAATAGTGGTCCTGCCACGAGAAGCATTCTCAAGAGCCCTCTGCACAACATGCTCGGATTCAGCATCGAGCGCGCTCGTCGCTTCATCGAGCAGAAGAATCTTCGGATTTCTGACAAGAGCTCGAGCAATCGCGATTCTTTGCTTCTGTCCGCCCGACATTTGAACACCACGATCTCCGACCAGAGTTTGAAGACCCTTCGGGAAACTGTTCACGAAATCGTACGCGTTCGCTTTTTTCAAAGCATCGTTAATTTCTTTATCGCTGAGATCGCTTCTTCCGTATCGGATGTTCTGAAAAAAAATCGAGCAATTCATTTATGGAACGGGTCTGATTACCTGCTCAATTGTGGTGTTAAACAAATTAGGCTCCTGCGAGACAACACCAACAAGTTGACGCAAGAATGTGATATTGTAGTTTTCAATCGAAATCCCATCAATGATCAGCTACATTTAAATGTTTTTTTTTTAACTGAAACAAATAGACTTACTGATCCCGATTCCGGATTATAAAATCTTTGGAGAAGTTGAATTATTGTACTTTTTCCACACCCACTAGCACCAACGAGAGCAACAGTCTCACCCGGCTTCGCTTCGAATGTAAGACCCTAAAGGAATATTCGTATCACATATTCTCCCTCTTCTGGGAAGCACTACCTTTAAGACTTGAACGTCTGGTCTTGTTGGATATCTGAATTTGACATTTGACACTTTGATGTGTCCCTTGACATGTTTCGGCTTTTCTCCATCCTTCGAATAAGCATCAATTTCCGGAGTACGGTCAATGACATCGTAAAGAGAAGATGCAGCTCCGAGAGCAGTTCCAAGAACGGCAAATTGTTGTCCAGCTTGTCCCAAAGCCATTGAGCCCATCATAACAGAAAAGAAGACCGTCATAACAGTGTTTCCTTGGATTTTTCCATCATGGATAAAGTTCACACCGACCCAGAAGGCAAGACAATACGATGAGTAAATGATAACGAAGAAAGTTCCCAGTCCAACGCCGACAAAGACCGATCGTTTGATTCCAGTAATTTTTCCTTCTTTTAAAGCGGCTTCGTACCTAAAATATTTAATTATATTCGTTATAATAAAATAGCTTTGTACTTCCGGCATTCGTGTTCCTGACCATTGAAAGCAATAACGGTTCGAACAGAAGTGAGAACTTCTTCCGCCATTCCACCAGCGATGGCATACTTGATCGCTTCTATCGTAGAGGCGGTTGCCAATAACTTAGCGACGAAAGCTCCACAAAGCATCATAAATGGAGAAAGGGACATCATAATAAGGGTAAGAAGCCAATCATAAGTGAACGCAATGACGAATCCTCCTAAGAATTGCGACAACGATTGCATAAGAAGCCCAAGCTTATCACCCGTTCCTTCTTTTACTCGTTCAAATTGCTAAAAAGGGAAAATTGAACATGAAGATGAACTGATAAAATTACTCGAATAGTTTTGACGAAAGAGTTCCTGAGGTATTCTTATCATACCAGGCGATTTCTTGCCTCATCACAGAATAGAAGAATTGTCGGCGAAGGCGGTCTATGAGATTCTCGCACATTGTCAACAAACAACTTCCTTGAAGAAATCCGGCAGCAAATATTCCAATTCCCAAATATGTGTAATTCAGGCAATTTTGGATAACATCGTGGAAGAATTCATCTTTGGCTTTTTTGTAAATATTTGGATCTGAAAATGTACAATTAAATATCGACAATATAATTAAATAACTGTGTAAATAAGTGGAAAATATGGAAAAAAATTTCAATTTTAAATACAGTACCACAATGTCGTGGCGAAACCAAAACGGTTATAATGCATGCGTCTTTAATTTAAAGCCTGTATTTTTCTTTTTTTTAATGCTTACCAGTAATGTTTGGGTTAGTGAGGATTTGTCCAAGATTAATAAAACTCTGCGAGACATTTCCCATAAGAATTGACATGAGTGGAAGACCGAGACCAGTTCCGCATGCTACCGTAATACCAATAAGTAATAAAATTTTGTCAAAAGTGCTTGTATAACGAAACTGAAAAAGAAATGATGAATTGTTTTCAGATTCAAGAGAACTTACTAGTTGAAATATTGTGATTCTTTTAGGAGCTTCGGGTTTCTCCTCTTTCTCGTTGGTGCTGAAAATTTAAAGGAATAATGTAGAGAATTGGCAGGCATGAAAAAAAAACTAATAATTTGAATTCAAGAGCGATTTTCAAGACTAATAGATAGTAATTTGAATTTCAGTACCAAATATGAAAATGAGAATATGGGGGGAAACTTACGAATTCTCCTTGGAGTCCCAGAGGTCGGAATCGCGCGATTTGCGCTTGAACAGGCCCATCACCTCGTCCTCCCTGAAATTTTCAGAATTTTTGCAACGATGACGCCGATGATAAAATAAAATATGAACATCGTTATCAGAGTGTGATTTGACGCGAATTGCTCGCGCCCCTGTTTATATAGGCGATAGACAGAGCAAAAATTTATTGGCACCGCACTCCGCTCTAAAAATCTCTGGTTTGTGTCCGACACCGAAAGAATAGAGTCAACTCTCAGTTCTGCTCAAATAAAATTGAATTGATATCATGAGAAGAGTGCTTGATAAATTTTTTTCAAGCCGAATTCTGAATTCTCATTGGGTATCTCGACGTCAATTTCGGAAATTTGGCTTCCATTTTTAGGTGCCTGATTTTCGAAATCGCCATTTTTCATCAATTTGTCAAGAATTTTGGCATTTATTCTTGTTGAATGATAATATTTACACAGTTCTCCGCAAGAGTCTCTTTTATGTTGACTTTATCAAAAAATTAAATAGAGAAACAAATCGGAAATAAATTTTGGGACATCGAAAAAAAATTTTTTGATCGAACAGTGAAAATTGTCTTTTTCTTCTAAAACCAGAAGAAAACATACGCATTAGATTTACAGCTTTCCGAGATTAAAAATAGAAATATTCTCACGCAAGAATTGAAATAAATCAAAAAAAAATTGTATTAAAAATTTTTTTTAATAACGATTTTTTTTCATGCACCTTTTCAAAGAAAAAAATTGATTTTATTAAACTCCACCCATATTTAAAAAAATTGAATAACAGTGCTGAAAAATCGTAAAATTCGAAAAATTTGCGAACAATGAAAACAGAAACCGGGTGAGATAAAATTACAAAAAAATATATGTATTATGGCATTCACGGAAAAAGTGAACTATGCGTTTTTAAGTATATTATGAATTATTTGAACAAAATGGAGATCAACAAAGAAAGAAAGGCTAATTGACAATATTATGATTTGATTGCTTTAGGGTTAGATCATAATAGGCTCCGCGTTTGGCCATGAGCTCCGCGTGAGTTCCTTTCTCAACAACAACTCCTTCCTTGACAACCATTATGCAATTGGCATTGACAATCGTCGACAGCCGGTGGGCAACAACGATGCAGGTTCGACCTTGCGATGCGGCATCCAGTGCTTCTTGGACTTGCTGCAAAAACCAATTCCATTCTATATTTGCAACTAGAACGTCGTCATTGAAATGTTGACCGGTCAATTGGCTGCACAACGTAAACATACTGGCTAATTACAGAGTTCCCGATTTGGCTTAATTCTAGATCAACGAACAATTCTAACCTTTTCATTCTCAGTATCGAGGGCGCTCGTCGCCTCGTCAAGCAACAAGATCTTTGGTTTTCTGATAAGGGCCCGAGCGATGGCAATTCGCTGCTTTTGCCCTCCTGATAACTGGGTACCCTTCTCTCCGACTCGTGTTTCGTAACCCTGGAACAATGCCAAATTTGGTCAAACTCATTCCACAGGCCGCTTACATTCGGCAGACTCTCGACGAATGAATGGATGTTGGACTTCTTGGCAGCTTCGATAATATCGGCATCCGAATACTCGCCGGGATTCAAACCGTAGGCAATGTTCTCGCGAATCGAAATATCGAAAAGAATTGGCTCCTGTGAGACCAATGCGATATGCTTCCTCAAATGTTTCGGATTAACACCGCGCAAATCGTTATTATCCACCAGCTGCAATTCAGTCAGAATCCTTATCAGAAAGCATTCAACAAAAAAACATACGACATTTCCATCCAACGGATCATATAATCGCTCTAATAATGAGATTACTGTCGATTTTCCACATCCACTAGGACCAACAAGTGCCAATGTTTCTCCAGGATGAACACTGATGTCCAATCCCCGAAGAATCGGCACTTCCGGTCGTTCAGGGTATCGGAAGTAGACCTTCTCAAATTTGATTTCCCCATTAATTTTTGGCTTCGTTCCATTTTCCGACATTCCGTCGATCATTGGCTCTTCTTCAAGCATCTTGAAAATCAATCCGGCTGCGAATGTTGCCTTCGTGTATTCAGAAAAATAGGCAGCAACGCCATCAATGGTTGAAAAAGAGAATGAAATCCCAAAAAGAACGCTGAAACCAGATCAAGCTAGGAAAAGGTTCAATCGAGCAACTAACCGAAGAACATTCATCGGTGGCATCCTGACACTTTCATTGAATATCAAGAAGAGTCCAAAACGGAAGGATATAGCGGAAAGGAAGAAGAATATTGATCCAGATAGTCCATTTGCGATACCCTAAAATAAAAGGAGCCTAGTGTTAAGAAAATTCGCCGTTCAATACTTACTTGAATCAAAGCTTTAACCTTATTCGTCCGATGATGCCCATCTAGAAATGAGCAGAACTGTGCATGAAGACGAGATTGAATTGTCAATGCTTGAACACTCTTAATATTCTCAATCGCTTCCATCGCAATTTTTCCGCTCTGCTCCTGCTGTTTCGCTTCTGAGCTAGCTTTCCTTGAATAATATTTGGTTTGGAACGAATGCGCAGCGGCCGTTAATGGGAATATGGAGACGACGAGAAGAGCCATTTGCCATCCGTAGTAGAATGAGATGATGATTCCACCGCTAGTTGCGACAAGTCCGTTGAAAACCGAAGCGAGTCGATGATCAATAGCTGCCTTCACGTTCGGAACATCGGTGGCAAGACGGGTTGTGATTCTTCCTGGTGCATGAGTCGGCATATCGAAGTAGGTTGCATCTTGTCGAAGGACATTTCGGAACACCTTCGATCGAATCCGCATGGTTAATCGCTCCGAAGCGATTCCAAAAAGTGAACATTGAAGGAACATCGTAGTTCCTTGAAAAGCGGCAAGGACGAGGAACATCAGCGCCCAAAAATGGCCGTCTTCAACCATTTGCTCTCTATCAGGATTTGAGAACACTTCAATGATTTGCGAAAAGAATAAAGAGAACGCTGGCATCACCATTCCATGAAGTAGCGCAGCAACGGTACCGATGAGCATTAAACAATACTCCGGGCGGGCGTACTTCATAATTCGCAAGAGATTCGCGCGGACAGCTCCTTCCTCCTCAAGTTCTAGAAATTTATAATTGTTGGTAATTTTTATACAATTCATGCACCTTTCCGAAGACGCTCAATATCTTTGGTGATTGCTGGCTGTCCGATAATCTCGCCGTCCCTAGCTGTGGAGATATGGGATTCCTGACTCATATATTTCTGAAATCTATCATTAATGTTTTCAGTTTTCAATTATTATGCTACCTTTGAATAATCTACAGATAAAGTCGGCCTAGTCGGACTACTCAAAGGAGTGTCAACATCAGCAAAGACTTGTGCATTCAGCAACTCATGATACAATCTCTTCTTTTTCAATAGATCGTCGTGTTTTCCGACTTCCATAATCTCTCCGCCCTTCATCACAATAATCTGATCAGCATTCCTGATAGTCGACAGCCGATGGGCAACAACAATAGTGGTCCTGCCACGAGAAGCATTCTCAAGAGCCCTCTGCACAACATGCTCGGATTCAGCATCGAGCGCGCTCGTCGCTTCATCGAGCAGAAGAATCTTCGGATTTCTGACAAGAGCTCGAGCAATCGCGATTCTTTGCTTCTGTCCGCCCGACATTTGAACACCACGATCTCCGACCAGAGTTTGAAGACCCTTCGGGAAACTGTTCACGAAATCGTACGCGTTCGCTTTTTTCAAAGCGTCAACTATTTCGGCATCGGCAACATTATTTCTTCCATAGCGAATATTCTGAATTAGTGAATTTTACTGAGTTGCTTTTGTTTGCCTATTAAAAAAATTATTGATAGAATAATTTCCATGAGACGAATGAATAGTTCAAGTTTGGAAATTATTTAATATTTGATCAAGCTTGATAATGTCAACGACTATTCGAATATCACAAGAACCAATAATATTTTTATTTTTCTATTTTTTTTTACATTTTTATTTTAACTGTCAACAATGATATTTTAAGATATTCTGTAGGAAGTTCATTAAATTTCGAATCACGTTTTTGTGAGAATGAGCTCGACCGCACGCGAAACGCAACGCGTGTGATTCATTGCGAAATGAGAAATACATAGATTGGAGCAACACTCATAAAAATGAAAAGGGTTCACCTGCTCGATGGTGGTATTAAACAGGCACGGCTCTTGTGAGACAACTCCGATCAGTCTTCTCAAATACTTGGTGTTGAACTTCTCAATAGCTATTCCATCAATCTCGAGCTAAAAATCGAATAAGAAAAGCAATATTCAAAAAGGAAACAAACAGATCCGGAATCGGGTCGTAAAACCGCTGAAGCAGCTGAATAACTGTGCTCTTTCCGCATCCGCTGGCTCCGACAAGAGCTACTGTTTCGCCAGGTTTCGCTTCAAATGAAACTCCCTGCAAATTTTTCAAAATTTGTCGGAAGAAAATAAAAATAATCACCTTTAATATCGGAATTTCGGGCCTTGATGGGTAGGCGAATTTGACATCCTTCACTTGGATACGTCCATCAATCGATTTCGGCGTTTCGCCTTCCGACGAATGCGCATCGATAATCGGCTCTCGATCAATAACTTCATACAACGATGTCGCCGCTCCAATAGCTGTTCCGATAACCGAAAACTGCTGAACGTCGCCGGCCAGTGACATCGCTCCCATCATCACCGAGAAGAACACCGTCATCACAGTGGCGCCATCGATTTCGCCCTTGTAGATGAAATCGACGCCAACCCAGAACGCGAGGCAATACGAGGAGAAGACGATAACGAATAGGACGGCATGTCCGATGGCTGTGTAGAACGACTTCTTGATGCCGGTGATTTTTCCAGCGCGAAGAGCCGCCTCGTATCTATCAAATGCAAATGGTATGATCGGAATGCAGAATTGCCCTACTTCTCGCATTCAAGCTGTTGCCCATTGAAGGCAATCACAGTTCGAATCGAAGTGAGCACCTCCTCGGCCAGACCGCCAGCAGCAGCGTATTTCTTCGCTTCCTCCGTTGTCGCTGTCGCCAGCAGCCGCATCACAAACAAGCCAGTAATAATGACCAGTGGTGTAAGTGACATCATGATAAGCGTTAGCTTCCAACTATAAGTAAATGCAATGATGAATCCAATAAAGAATCTTGATAGCGATGAGATCATTAGCCCAATTTTGTCACCGGTTCCCTCCTTGACCCGTTCCAAATTGCGGAAAATTGCACCAACAGAAATATTGATCAAATTTGGTGTGCTCGTACTCGAAGAGTTTTGTCGAGAGTGTTCCCGACGTATTCCTCTCGTACCACGCGATTTCCTGCCGCATCACAGCGTGGAAAAACGCGCGTCGAAGGCGATTCACGAGATTCTCGCACATGGTGAGAAGGCATGTGGCTTGAAGGAAACCGGCAATAAAGACGCCGACTCCCAAATAAATATAATTGAGGCAATTCCGAAGGACGGCGTCGCGAAAATCGTCTTTGGCTTTTTGTTGAATCACAACATCTGAAAATTTGCAGGTTTTTTTTCCAGCTTAAATATGTATATCGCACCTGTTATATTTGGATTGTTCATGACCTGCTCCAAATCGATAAAACATTGCGAAATATCACCCAAAATGATTGAAAGAAATGGAAATCCGAAACCAACTCCGCAAGCGACAATTATGCCAATTATAAGTAATAATTTGTCAAATGCGCTAGTATATCGAAACTAAATTATTAATCATATGTTCTTATAAATGGCATAATTAAATAATGTTACCAATTGGAATACAGATATTCGTTTTGAAGATGTTGATGCTTCATTTTGATATCTGGAAAATCAAGAATAAACTCCATTAGAGCATTGGTGAACTTGCGGATTCTTGAAGTCTGAAGGATCCACTAGAACTATAGATTCGTCGATTCTGAAAATTGGAAAATTTCGAAAAGAAACCCCTATTTTACGAGTTTTTACATTCTAGGTCTGAAAAACGCAATTAAATTCAATTTTCAGAATTAATTTGTCGTAACCCTGAAAAATTGAAAAAAAAAAAAAGAATTCTTTTGCCCGTTCAATTTTTAAAGAACATTTTTGGAATGAAAAAAATTGATTTTCAACATTTCAATTTTTCACATTTCAATTATGGAATCATCCAGACAACAAACATTTTGGTCCCAATTTTAGATCTTCTGGGACAGAGCAGAAGAAAAATATTTTTGAATTTTTGATGAATTTCAAATTAGATTTTTTCAAAAAATTTTTGAAACTGCATTTTAGCTGGAAAATGTCGGCTCGCAGTGTGTTATCAATTCCTGAATTTTATAGTTTCGGTCTTTCATTTTCTGAATTTCGTATTTGCAAAAATTCTGTACTAAAATCAAAAAAAAAAAAATAAATGTATTCCGCACAACATTCAAAAGTAAACAATAATACATATAATGCGAAAAACGTATCAAATTTCAAAACTCGCCTCTGTGGTTTCTTTATAGGTTTCCGCTTATTCGATAGCATTGTTGTGGCCCTGTAAAAAGAAATGAAAAATTTTCGACATAAATAAAGGAGAGAGAAGCAATTTCAGAAAAAAAGTGACGAATCGCCTACAACGCAATTTATGATTTGTAATTGTATTAAGGCGGGGGGGTCCGAAGTGATGGGATTAGATAAGCGACAGATTTCTCTATTAATTTGTTGCCACAAAAAATAGTGTGAAAATCGTGTAGTCTACGTCTGCGAATTAAAAAAAAAATCTGTTGCATTGGCAAATTTTAATCCAAACTACATGGGCGCTAAACGGAAACAAGAACAATTGAATGATGACCAAAAATTGGCAATAATAGGCGAAATTTATTTTATATTGTTGTGAATTGTTGCGAGACCACGCCAATTTCAAACACAAAGTTGTATTTATGTAGGCTAAATGTGTACTCCAAACCGTAAAAGTAAACTGACACAAATCATAATGCTGGCAAATTTTTTCCGGGGGTTCTTTTTTTTGTGTGTCGTTTGTGGAGAATCATTCTGAATTTTGATGAATGATATTTATATGAATCGCTGCTATTTGGCTACGCGGTGAATCACACCAATTTTCTTGTCGTCGGCCAAATATGGAACTCTCGCAACGAATAGTAGCTCCTGTGAGATTTCGAGAATCCTGTTAGCAGTTTGATTTTCATTGAGACGAAAAGAGGTCTTGCGAGAAATTGCCATAGAGACTAGAAAGGTGGAGGAAATATTAAATGAAAAAAAAACCTGGCGGAGACCACTCTCTGCGCGATGTCTGCCTACATATATGTTTAGCAAACATCGTATTTCGCAACTCAAACAGGTCAACGTTGCGAAATTTCGACAAATTCAACGAACTCACATTAAAGTAGAAACGAAAATGAACATTGTAGATAAGTCTCATAAAAGCTACTCAGGTAAATCGAATAAAATATTTTGAGATTCATTGAGAAACTAGCATGTCTCTATAATATTTTAGATTTTTCTCAATCAACTTTAGAAATTATTATTATAAGATTTCAGAGTTTATTGAGTTAATTTAGAGTTTGCTTAATAAATTTTAGAAAATCTTATAAGATTTCAAAAAAAAAAATTTTAAGTTTAGCGATTCTCAATAAGTTTTAGAAAGTATCAATGAACTTTAGAAATTCTCAAAATATTTTAAAATTTATTATTGAATATTTGATTCTCAAAATATTTTATTTATTTATTTATTTATTTATTTATTTTTTTTATTTATTTTTTTTTTCATTTGCCTGAGTAGGGAGACCAGGGATGTGCGTGGGCAAGACCCTTTGGGAAATTATTCGAGAAAATTCTCAAAATTTTTTCTTCCATTTTTTGCAGTTTCATTTATTATTTTTTTTTTATTAAAATGCGACAAAATCCAATTTTCCACCAGAAATCAATGTTATTTTAGAAGAGAGCCAAAAAAAACCGAAACCGCCCGTATTGCAAATTATTGCTTTCCTCCATGTACCTTTAAACTCACCGTAATTTTTGCTCGAAAATTTTCCGAACATTTTTCAAGAAATTTTGTTATGACAAATTTTTTTTAGAAAAAAAAATTGAAGTTCAAAACCGTCCGTCGTTAAAGATTCATGCACGTGCAAAATTGCACACATTTGCTTATTTTAATGAGCTTTATTATTCTGGCAAACAAAAAAAAGTTGAATTAAGATGTCACAATCAAATAGTATTTTTTTAGTTGACATCTGGATAACTTGAAAATTTTAATTTCACCATAACAAATTTGTCCAGAAGGCAGGTGTTTTAGCCCAATAGTTTCAAACTTTTCCTAATTTTGCACACGAACAGTTCGCCAAATTCCCTTAGTGGTGACTTTTTTTTGGCAAAACATTCAAAAAGTTCCAAAATTGTGGGTCCGAAATTTAGAAATTTCATTTATTGCTTCATTCGTTAACCATATATGGATATCTAACAGTTAAAGGGTCGAAATTTCGTTTCTGTTTTGGTGCAACATCGAACAAGTCCAAAAACGCTCATTAATCAATGAATTAATAATATTTATTCATCTATTTACAGACAAAATTGGGTGTCTATATCGTATCTATCTTCTGCAGCATTGACCATTTCCGCATGGGGAGTAGTTGGTCTGGCAGGAGCAGGTCGTAGTACTCACTGGCTCCTGGCAAGGCACCTGGACTGGCTGGCAGGATTGTTGGCAAGTGGTCTGGCAGGATGAAGCGCATTATTGAACTGGCAGTTGCTGGGCGACGCATTGCTGTTGGCAGGACGACTGGCATTGTGGCATGCATTGAGCGGACTGTGTGATGGTTGGCTGGAGCACGATGCTGACCACCTGTGGTTGAGGAGCGACCGTTGGATATGATTGGCAGCCGGTTTAGCATTGCTGGCACTGAGGGGCCGCTGGAGCCTGTTGGCAGATTGGCTGGCAGTACTGTTGCTGACATTGTTGAACAGCTGGAAGTTGGGCGACGCAAGTTGATTGGAAAGCTGGCTGACAAGCAGGAGCGCAAGTCTGAATCTGGATGAAAGGGGCTGCAGCACATGTTGTTTGGCACTGCTGGACGCACTGTTGGCTGCATTGTGGAGTGGAGCATTGTTGGGTGCAGCTCTGCTGATAAGCTGGAACACATTGGGCAGTCTGAACTTGGACGGTTTGCTGGGAGCATGAGCATGAAGAAGTTGGAGCCTGTTCCTGGCAAGCGCAGGTGTACTGCTGTGGAGTGGATTGCTGGCAGGAGCACGTCGGCTGTGCTGAGCAACCGCACTGTCTCTTATCACGAATTGATGTAGCCTAAACATTTTAATTCAAGATTAATGATATAATTAATTAATTAATAACCGAAGCAAGAAGGAATAAAGCGGAGAGAACGAAGAAGAATCGCATTGTTGTCGGGTGTGATTCTACTTGCTGATTCTAAGCGCTTTTAAACACCGAACGATGGCAACCGGCATTGTTGCGCAATCAACTTTTTTACAACTTGCCCGATGTTAACGAATGGTTCATCTATTTGTTCAAAGAAATCCGCGAAAAACACAAAAATAGTCGTCAAGCACGCGCTTGATTCTAGTTTGCACTTGGTTTTTGCTCTGGTGGCCGCTTGATCGTTTGCTTGAAACATTGAAACACTTCATTGCGGGATTCAGGAAATGGTAGCGAAAAATACTAAGAGAAATTTCGAGAATCCATCAGTAAATTCCAACCAATATCGAACGGAATTTGAAATTAATTCAACGAAATTGTGGCAATTTCGAGTTAATTTTTTTGGCTTGTTCTTGGACGCCAAAGTTCAAAATTTTATTTTGCATAAATGTTGTATTATTAAGTAGCTGCTATAGACCCACTGAGACTTCAATCATCGCTCAGCAACTCAACGAGATGCGTCGAGTTTGCATCGAATGATTCGCCAGAATATATCCGCCGTCGTGCGTCTGCAAAATATGTAATATTGGCGAATCTGAGAAGTCGGTGAGAATCAGGGCTGTGCGGCAATCGGAAATTTCGGCAATCCGGCAATTCGGCAATTCGGCAATTCGGCAATTTGCCGAAAATCAAAATTTCGGCAATCCGGCAATTTGGCAATTTGCCGATCGAACGTTCTCTTCGGCAATTCGGCAATTCGGCAATTTGAAAAATCGGCAATTCCATTGCCGCACAGCCCTGGTGAGAATGGCGAGAATTATGCGTTGACGTACATATGCGTCACGGTGTTTGCACACATTTCACGCATTCTACATACAGTAACTCATTTTTTTACACCAAAAATGGGGAAAAAAAATTAACGGATAATCCTTCTGAATGACACTGATGGCAATTTAAAAAAAAGCGACGTTCAAATTTACCGTCAAAAACAGTCCTGCTCGTTCAGCGAGCACCGTATACTCATCAAGTTTATTTTTGTCGCGCTTCTGAAGCTGAAAAATCATTCCGAGTCCTCGATAATGATCCGATCGCTTGCATGGTATCATGAATGCGAGATGCGGCGTCTTCACAAACTAAAAATATTTAAAAATTCTAGGAAATCGTTTAATGAGCCGTCTACCCGTAGTGTCGGATCTTGGTTCGTTTCATCGTAGTACGACAGGACCATGTTACCCACTGGAAAAAAATGCGGTTCACCGCGACGTAAAAGTGCACAATTTTGTTCGACAAAATTCGATACATTTTTCCCCCGTCAATTTCTAATTGCTCTACTACCCACATTCGGTTCCAAGTCGTTTTATTATAGTATCGGGTCTTCCCGCATAAATCAATTGCGTCAAATAGCTGATAATCTGTCTCGAGATGAGCGCCGGATTCACGTACATCTCGCCGTGATTGCTGTTGACGAAATCCTCATGAATCGGCAGAATATCAGCCTCATTCGCCTAAACTCATAGCAAACTTTGACAATCGGGTCCCGCCACGAAACTCACCGGCGCCGTATTACGGATATAATGAAATACGGCGTTTAGACGATGCGAATCGATTTCGCCCAAAGTGTGTTCGCAGAAAGACACATTTTCAACTGGAATTCAATTCGTGTGCGATATTGCGTCAAATGTGGCGCAAAATGAAAAAAAAACTACCAAAAAGTGTTTCTGAGAAAAATTTTTAAATATTTGAAAATCGAAAAAATTTGAAAAAAATAATAGAAAATTGGAAAAAAAATCAGAGATTTTAGACAATTTTTAGGAGTTTTTTTTCAAAATATGAAATAATTTTTCGGAAACGGTAATTAAAGCACACACAAATTGACAGGTCTATATGGATTGTGGAAATCGCGCTCTACTGTACATAAAGATGGGTCTCACAACATGTGTGTCGATTTACGAGTAGCAGGTATTTAAATCGCTTTGCTCAGACACATCTCATCGTCTCGGGACCATCATTAAAATTTTCTCGCAGTCTGGCCACTTGGACAATGCATAAAAACTCGAAAGTTGCAAAAAAAAAATGATGCGGAATTTTTGGGATTAATCGAATCTTTGACGTAAAAAGAAAAATTTGAAAAAGTAAAAATTCTCGAATTTACGTTTTTTGAAAGGTTTGCACTTAATCGTTTCTAACAGTGTGCAATCCGAAAAATAGCCAATCGGTCGTTTATATTCGTTGTACAAAATCAGTTGTTGAGTTTCGGTGAGGCAACACGCCCGTTTTTGGTACGTCAATTTGCCGTTGAATATTGATGTCTCAATGAATGAATTCTTGCAAGTTTTCGGATCAACTGCAAATTGTTTTGAGTGATTAATGAGCGCGTCTCGCCACGAAAACGCACCGGATTTTTGGCACATGCCGTACGATTTTGGACAAGTAAATTTTTTAGTTGCCTTAAAAAGAAAATGAATATTAGAACGCAGATTTCTAGCCGATTCTCACATTTGTAGCAGTTACGCATGGCGAAGAGTCTTCGCATGTCCCATAATCATCATCCTTGGCGAAAACTTGGAAGGTGGCGAAAAATAGAAATATGAGCAACATTGACATTTTTGAGAAAAATAATTATGCTCTTTTATATTCTACTGAAATTGGTTCACGTTTTTTATGGCGAGCCCTTGTGTATTAAGCGTTTCATTTTTTTTCATATATTTTTTAAAAACTCCTATACACAGTTTTAAATTGTGAAAATTTTGCGGAATAAATTCATTTCGAATTTGTCAGCCATATTTGGACAACATCAATGATTTTGAGGGTTTTAGAATGTACTGATGGATTCTCCAAATTGCTCAACTGAATGTATTGAATGAGCCGGAGCATCGAGGAGAGGTTCACATTATTTCATCGGCATCAGACCCTCGTTCGCTTTTAATATTCCTTATTTGATTTTTAAATCAAGCTTAATCAACGAAAATTAGTTTCGAACAAACATTTTTAAATGATTGTAAATCCTTTTTTACCATTTCCGGAATCCCGCAATGAAGTGTTTCAATGTTTCAAGCAAACGATCAAGCGGCCACCAGAGCAAAAACCATGTGCAAACTAGAATCAAGCGCGAGCTTGACGATTATTTTTGTGTTTTTCGCGAATTTCTTTGAACAAATAGATGAACCGTTCGTTAACATCGGGCAAGTTGTAAAAAAGTTGATTGCGCAACCATCTCGGTTGCCATCGTTCGGTGTATAAAAGCGCTTAGAATCAGCAAGAAGAATCACACCGACCAACGATGCGATTCTTCTTCGTGCTCTCCGCCCTCTTCCTCCTTGTTTCGGTAATTAATTAATTAATTATATGATTAGTCTTGAATTAAAATATTTAGGCGACGTCTCTTCGCGAAAAGAGACAGTGCGGTTGCTCAGCACAGCCGACGTGCTCCTGCCAGCAATCCACTCCACAGCAGTACACCTGCGCTTGCCAGCAACAGGCTCCGACTTCTTCCTGCTCATGCTCCCAGCAAACCGTCCAAGTTCAGACTGCCCAATGTGTTCCAGCTTGCCAGCAGAGCTGCACTCAGCAATGCTCCACTCCACAATGCAGCCAACAGTGCGTCCAGCAGTGCCAGACAACGTGCGCTGCGGCCCCGGTCATCCAGACTCAGACTTGCGCTCCAGCTTGCCAGCCAGCTTGCCAATCAACTTGCGTCGCCCAACTTCCAGCTGTTCAACAATGTCAGCAACAGTACTGACTGTCAGAGATAAATATCAGAGCACAACTTTTGATGTGGCAAATCTTATTCTTTTTGTAAAGCAATTCTTTTTCTTTTTTTTTTGGTTTGATATTTTTTTCATACAAAAAAATTAATGGGCTCCTTTTAAAATCAAGTTCAAAATTTCAAACGAAAAATATGACGTAATCTCTTCTCTCATTCACCTATGAATTCATGATTTTTTTTTTCGATGATTTCACATTCTCTGATCGGCCTACACCAAAAAAAAAATGCAAATTTGAAGTGAACACATAAATACAAAATTTTTCACTCAACTTTTTCCCTAATCTCAGTTTTTTTTTCGCCATGACTTTCGATGGTCAAAAAAGCCCAAAAAATGGTAAGAATTTTCAATTCCAATAAAAAAATGATCTAATATTCACAAAATACTTTGTAATATTTTAGTAGTTATCAACGATAAATATCGAGTAGAACGCAAAAGTACTGTTTCAATATTGGCAGAAGATGATCTAAAAAGGTAAAAATGAAGTAAAATTAAAATAATAATATATTTTTGATAAACGTTTTTACTTAAAATTTTCGGTCAATCGATTTTTTCAGAAACTCTAATAGCAAGCTGGATGTCGCAAAAAGCGTAGAGGACATCAGAAATCAGTGAATGTTTTTTTTCTTCCTAATTTTTGCATTTCTTTTTCAGCATTCGCTTCAAAATCGAGCGATCACGTGAAGATGCGATTCATGAGAGGAATCATCATACCGTCGCTGGTACAATGGTCGAACTTTGTTCAATCATCGACATCGTTGCAGGCGGCCATCATGAGATGTTTCATCGGTTGCCGATTCACGTGCGACGTCGATTGCAGAACAAGAATGACGCCGAATCGACGATCACCAGCATTCAAGGAGCACTAAGCAATCCGGGAACACCGACAATTCGAAGTACTTGAAATACAGCATCGAAAGTTGCTAAAAAAAAAGTAGTAATCGGTTATTCCTTAGAAAACCTTGAAAATAAGGGAAAACAATGAGCTGAATTTAAAAATAAGTGGATTTTATTTGTGCAAAAATCGTTTCTCTGCTATTTTCATGCAGGATTCGACCGCTCACTCTACTGGCTGGTCATGAATCGAAACAAATTCGGCTTTCGCCGAATTGTTCTCAGTCTTCTCGTCCTTCTGTACACGTTGTTCGGAGCTACCGTATTCTATTTCATCGAGGGCAATTATGAGAAAGAGGTGAACAATTTGAGGATATTTTGCCCAACCAAAAAAAGGCATATTTGAAGATACTCAAAGTGCACGCAAAAGATCTCGATGTTCTATTAGACGAGCTAGCTGACGTTTTATCGGAAACCGTTAACAATCCGAACAAATCGGTTACCTTAGAAGGGATGAAAGATTTCATCAAGGTTTTGTCAAAATTATTATTGAGAGATATTGTTGAGAATTTCTTTAAGCAAGCTTACATCACCCTGCAGAAGAAGGAAGATCAGTACAAATGGAGCACCTATTACAAGCTGGATGATCTCGAGAACCATTTGAAATGGAATTTTGGAAGCGCGTTATTCTTTAGTATGAACGTGTACACCACAACGGGTTATGGTAGGGCGGTTTTTTCATTTTGGAATATTTGAATTCCCGTTTGAAGGAACTATATCTGCGGACACTGTCGCGGGAAAAGTGTTCACAATTGTTTATGCATTTTGCTTCGTGCCGGTCACGCTGGTGATTCTTCGAGACCTCGGCCAGATGTTTCTCGTCAACTTCACCAAACTCTATGCGCATGCGTTAACATTTGGAAGGTATGAACAGAAATTTAGGCGATAAACCTCAAAATTTAAAGAGGCATCTCCTATCGATCGATTTAGAAAAAGGGAGTGCATACACACGCACGTAAAATTGCACACAATTGATTTGTGATGAATGCGCTTTGAAAATTGCATTTTTCACGCATTTTTTAACTACAAAAACAAAAAGTCGAATTTTGCACTCTGTAACGGTTCTACGTAAAATTCTAATTGAAATCAGATAATTTGCAAAACAAAAACGAAAATTTGCCGCTAATAAATGCCCTCTAATTTAAGTCAAAACCAATTTTTTTGAAAATTTAAGCATTTTGCTGGATTTTCAGAAAGCTTCGCGGTAAAATCGATGTCGACGATGACGAGATGATCCAGCTTCCAATAAAATATTGCATGTTCATCCTGACAATCTACCTGCTATTCTGCACAACGCTCGTGTATATTTACGACGGCACGTCGGGTCCCAACTGGAATGAGGGATTGTCGTATTTCACCGCGTTCTACTTCTCATTCATCTCGCTGTCGACGATCGGTCTCGGCGATGTGATGCCGAATAATGTTCCAGTTTCGTTGAAACGGGTATCACAGCCGAATTATGATCGAATGATTACAGTATGCGCCGGTGATTTCAATATTGTTTTTTATTGGAATGGCGGTCACCAAAGTGGTGAATCGATCGACATATATTGCGGTGGAAAATGGCATTTTTGGTTGGTTTTCATAGATTGAAAAAAAAAATTTTTCGTTTCTGCTCAAAATAAAACATAGTAGCTACAATAAATTTGAATTTGACGCGCTCTTGAAACAGTAATATAAACTAGAGGAACAAGAAAAACTTTAAATTGATAGGGTTCATGATCACAAGACGAGGTACGTCAACATCATCATCATCATCATCATCACTGTTTGCGACTTTGATTTTTTGAAGGAATTGGTCGCCGAGAACAATTTCACGATTCGCTCGATCGCAACATTCATGCGATCAAACGCCGACATTTATGGCGGCGGATTCGGAAGAGTGACGATGCGGCGTGGCGATTTGTTGCACCATCACCATCATTTGACGATGCCGTCGGGTGGTGGTGTCAGACGAATGCCGAATATTCCATCGGCTTCGGAATTATCAATTTAGTAAAATTCATAGAAGTTTTTTTTTTGAAAAATTGAACTATAAAGATTGTTGTTTGCAAGTTTGGACTCTCGATTTTTAAAATACAAACAGCTGAACCCCCGACTAAATATTTCCAAAATTTCAATAATTGAAAATTACACTACTCCTTATATTGCTCTAAAATAAGCGAATCTCCGCGTCTAAAGATTCCAAATTTGATTGGAATAACGATCTGAAACTGAAATTTCAATGTTGTTTCTGCAATTCAAAGATCATCCCAAAAAAAAATCCAAATATTGGGAGCGGGATTTTGATCTCCTAGTATACCATTCTTCAGGAAGTTGGACGCCTACAATCATGCGCCTTTGATTTTTTGCGACAAGGAATTCATTCGTCACAATTCGGCAACATTCACGCGATCAAACATTGAGACGAATTGGTGAAATTGTCACCAATCACACCAAAAAAAATGAATACATTTTATTGCCATGACTGTTTGTTTTCGACATATAGTAAATTGGAAAAGAAGCAAATTGGGGGGTCGAGATGGGTGGAGAAAGAAGAAAAATGATAAACGATCGTTATTTCACACCTAATGTGTTTTTCGGGTTCAATTGGTCAGCAAAAGCCATTTTTTGACCTTATCAATCAAGTTCAATGCCATCTCTTCTTCAATTACTCGCTTGCGGTTATCTCGTCATTTTATTTTTGCGATTTTCAATTTTTGCTGGTATTGTGTTTTCTAATTAATTGAATATTTGATCTGTTTCATTTTCGTCTTCGCAAACTTCATTCAAATCTCCAAAGGCGACCACGCCTTCTCATGTTTTTCACCATAAAAGCCTAGCTGATCGAATAAAAGATGATGTTTCCGAACGAAATTCGACCTAATTGCCATTTTCTCATCAAAGAACCAAACAATGCGCCTTTAAATTAAAAAAACGAAAATTAATTGCGCTCCAGTGTTGTGATTAAAGGAGCATTCATTTTTCTAAATTGTTTGGAAACAATTAAAAAATGAATGATAGAAAATTTGAGTTTGAATTTTTTTTTGCGAAACCGGCAGTTTTGATTGAACATCTAGCTTCTCAGAGAACCTTAAGCAATTTTCCAAAGATCAACAAACTAAAAACACAATTTACTAAAACAACATGCGAAACCGGTTAGCTGTAATAATAATAATAATAATAATAATCATGATAAAATTGGTGTTATTTATTTCCATTTTTGAATGAATTTTAATACATGTTACATTGGTAAATCGAACCATTATCATTATTTTTTAATAGTTTATTTTTTTCATTTATGGATAAATTGAAATTGATAATGAAAAATAATAAGGAAATAGACGATCCTTTGGATATTATGAAATTTGAAAATTTATTATTCCTTCTAAAAATTAATTTCAATTAAAAGTTTCAAACGATTTTTTTTCTGGTGTGTGTTGATAGATTTTTGGGTGATGCGCCTTTAACTACGGTCTCGTTAGTTATTTTGAATTCTAGGACATTTTAATATTTAAAAAGAAATTTCAATCAGACCCATAAAGACGAAGAACCGGAAAAATAAATATATCAATAATCATTCATTAGTGTCGAGACCATGGCGAAAGATCTACTAGCGTATTACAGTTGAAATTGAAATTCCAATTGGAAATATCATAAGAAACTTTGTGACAACAGTGTGATTAGTTAGACAATTAATAAAAGATCGGAATTAGGGTGACTATTCGCGGTGATTGATTACTACCAAATGATCATCTATTCCGAACGCATTTATTTGGCATGCGGTTCATATGCACAAGTTTTAGAAAAAAAAAATAGCTGAGTTGGGGAACGTCTACTTTTGTCTTAATGGAGGGAAGGGCTGAATAGGGGTAACATTGAAAACTGATATTTCTGAATGGGGGTAAGATGATATCAAGCATAAATCCATATGAGTGTTTGCGCGCGCTTTAAGCTAACAAGTAATAAGCTTAGATAAATCAGTTGGGGGCTTCGCCTAAGGAGTTGCTGCTCTAATCCTGAAGCGAACTGTTTGAAAAACAAAACCAATTAAAAATTTCACGGTTTCACCTTAGCCTTTTATTTGCGGAACCCACCAACAAAATAATTACAATTTTTTCTGCTTCATCTTGGAAGGGTCCTACGCCTGAAATTCTGAATTTATAAGCGCACTCGAAATAAGTTTTTGTAGTTCGATTCTGGCGACGATTAAATTTTTCACATTTTTCAAATATTCGTCACGACTTTCCACCCATTCAGTATATACCGAAAAAAGTGTGTACACTCGCACGCAAAATTACACATATTTGATTACTTTAAAAAAATTTTTCTCGAATAAATTTTGTGATATTTGACGTCAAATTTTAATTGAAAATTAACTTTGGCGTAAAGTTTGACAAAAAAATGTTGAAACTCTTCGTTTGACAGAAATTGTACGAATTCAAAAAAGAAACCATGTATGTGTCTAGAAATTTCGAATCCCCAAAATTTGCGACGTATTGATCTTCAGAAAACAGCAAACTATTTGTATATAAAAATGAAGAAAAAATTACAATTCCCTAGGAAAAAACCGCCCTTTGAACCGCTTCCTAGCAATTTTTTTAAAAATTTCATTTCTTCAAATCTCACATGTCTGGAAAACTAAAAAATTTGATCTTTGACGGTCGAATTGCGTGACAAAATTCCGACATCAGTGGTCACCGCGGGACCATTGACACACTACAGGATACAATGGTAGAGTTGCTAAATGCAGGAGACAAAATAACCTGATTGCCAAAGAAAGGCTAGGCAATAAATTATTGGTCGTTCGTTGCGAGACCAAAAAATGTTCAAATCGAATTGAACTATGCCTTAACAGTTTTCGATCGACGTCATAATTTTTCTCAAAATAAATGTGTAGTGTGAATTCTTGCAAACCATCTGTTTGGGAGACTATTTTGATAAGTTCAAAAAGTGTTTATCACCTTCACATGACATCATCTCGTGTTTGTCCGACGATCTGTTGGACCATCGCTTCGTTTCTAGCATTTTCTGAATTTCTCAATTTCAGATGACTAACGAAAACATTTCTGGAAGCGGATTCCATCATCGGAACAAACACACCGCCGTTCTAGAAGGTATCCAATTACTTTGATTTCTTCCTAGAATTATTGACTTCCAGGGATCAATGAGGAGCAGGGAAGTCTGGAAGACGAGGAAACCGACAATGAAGAGGCGCATCGCAAGAATGGAACTCAAATGGATCAACTTGATGTGAAATCGGCGAGCGATCACGATGACGATGATGAGGAGCCGAAGCATCTGACGTACATCAAAATTATCCGGAATGCCAATGGATTCTGATGCTATGATATGATTTCAGGCATCGATCATTGAGTGTCTCGAATGCGGCTCTTGATGAAAAGCATCGTTTTGAGGCTGAACAGCAGCAAGCGCCACCAGCTCAAAGATATACAAGGCATATGTCGATAGATCAGCGAGGGTGAGAGATTTTAAGACTAACATGAATATTTTTGAATCTCATCGGAAGTTGAAACAAATTGTTTTCAAATCATAAAAAGTGTGAACAATCGAATTTCAGAGGTAATTTGAAGCATCCGACGCCTATCTCTCGCGACCAGGATGCCATTGATCGCTATTATGAGCGCAATCATTACACTGTCACAGGTACGGCGAGCTATTCGAACATGTTTTGCGCAAAAGCAACCAGGTTTCAGGACGGGATCGAAATGTGGACTTCTATAACAAACTGCCACTTCATTTGCAGCATCGGATGGGCGGAACACATAATTTCGAATCGCAGAGTAGAGTGAGCCGCATGAGCTCACCGGGAGCCTTGGGTGAACCCGTGGTTCCCACGACAAGAAGTAGGAGACGTCTAGCTTCCCGAAACAATCTGAAATTCAGGATTCGACAAATCGGTCTACTGGTTCGTCTTCAATCGCAAAAAGATCGGCTTCCGCCACATATTCATCGTGTTGTTCGTCATCTTCTACACTCTTCTTGGCGCCACCGTCTTCTACACCATCGAATCGGCGAATGAGCGAAAGGTTGAGAGGCGTGGCGGCAACGAATAACTCGAATTTCAGCGGCGTTTTAGGAGGTGATGATTCACGAGAAGAATCTTGAAGAGTTGCTGACAAAGCTCGCTGAGAATATCACCGAACGCGTGAATGATCCGAACACGTCGACTAACACATCAATCATGAAAGATTACATCAAAGTGAGCATGAATGTCTAGAATCTTCTAAAAAGTGATTTCAGACGGCTTATATTGATCTGATGAAGCTAGAAGGTCAGTACAAAGGTAGCACCTACTATAAGCTTGAGGAAGGGGGTAATAATTGGAAATGGACATTTGATAGCGCGTTCTTCTTCAGTATGAATGTTTATACAACAACCGGTTATGGTAGATGAAGCCCAAGGTTACGGTAATATTCAACCACATTCCAGGTTCCATTGCTCCGGAGACAACATTGGGGCAGTTCTTCACAATCCTCTACGGCTTCATATTCGTACCGTGCACACTGGTGGCCCTCCGCGATCTCGGACAGTTCTTCCTGGTGCAATTGACGAAGCTCTACGCGCATACGATCCAGAAATACAGGTAACAGAGAATGGTTTCGTGTTGGGACCACACAAAATTATGCAAGAAGTGTTTAGAGATCTCATCGGCGACAAAAATGTGGACCAGGATGAGATAATACGGCTACCGATTCGCGTTTGCCTATCATTATTGTCATGTGGGCTTCATCGCTCTCATCATCTAGACCTGATCATTCCGAAATTCCAGTATATCTCGCCGGTTGCACAATGTTCATCTATTTCTACGACGATCTTCTCGGTCCGGAACCCGGCACCGGAATGTCGCTATTCCTCTGCTTCTACTTCTCATTCATCTCGCTGTCGACAATCGGATTAGGCGACATTATGCCGAATAATGCGACGGTGACAAATTCGCTTCAGAAGTGTCGTTTCTGATTTTCGAAGTTTCCAGTTCTCGCCAATCATTTCGATAATGTTCTTCGTCGGAATGGCTGTCACCAAGGTCGTCAACCGATCGACATACATCGCTGTTGAGAACGGAATATTCGGTTAGGCTTAATCTTGAGAAAATCTAGTGGCATCTGAATTCAGGGGTGTTGACCTTAATCGATAATAAATTGGATTCAATGTTCCGACGGGTCGCTCCCGAACCGCCACAATCGACGGGAATCAAGACGCCTCAACGGCAAGGAAGCATTGACGCCGCTTCAATCTATCCGGTAAGCGCTGTAATTCAGTACCTGTCATACGCATTGGAACATTCAGGACGAATCAGCCAACGAGATGCTTAATAACGCGACGGTTCGCTCGATTGCGAACTTCATGAAATCGAACGCCGACATTTACGGCGGCGGATTCGGACGGGTGCAGTTGAGACGCGGCGATCTGATGAACTACGACAATCAGAATACGGTGACGAGTTTGTCGCAGATTCGAAATCGAGCGAACAGCGCCTCACAGAATGCAAAAGATCAAGGCAACTCGAAAGAGCCGGTTTGAAACGAATAGGAATCGAAAAATCTGTCTATGAGAGTTGTTTGTATTTATCGTGTAATAAATGTTCATATTTCTAAAAACCAAGTTAAGGATGTATCGCTGCGAGACCTAAAGTATTATTTGAATAGCTCATGGTCCTTTCGAGACACCACATTTCGGCACAAACAATATTTTTTTTTAGAGAAACACTTTTTTATTTTATAATTTTTTAAATTAAAATCGTGAATCTGTATGTTAGATATATTCATGAGAACACTTTGTTTTGGTGAAAACCCGAAATCTAAACTTGAGTGCAGACATAAATGATTCAAAAAAATTTTGTCGCCGATTCGATAATTGCTAATGGTCCCACGGCCATAAATGGTTTGCGAAGCGTACATTTTTGCATTATACATGTGCTTATTCTCAAGTATCTGAAAATCTATCGGATTTGCAAAACAATTTCATTTTTAATTAAAATCGAAAGTAAATTAATCTACATAGCTCGAAGTACACGAGTCTTTAAATTCTATTTTAAAATTAATTAGAAATAATAAAACAATCGTTTGAAAGATTGAATCCACGTTTTCAAATTGAATTCTAATTTTTTTTAATCGATTTGGATTACTTTATACTTCAATTTTCTTCGACTGATTACCATTTAAATGAGAAAACACTATTTGCTTAAAAAAATTATTTTGCGGTTGTTAAAATTTGGTTGGCACATTCTTAACGCATCAATTACGAGATAAGATTAAGGAAAAAAATGAGAAATGAATGCTAACAATATATAACCAGCCTACAAGTAGGTAAAAATGACAACACCTCAAAACTGTGTGTGTGCGCGTCAACTCGTGTGTGTGTGTGTGTGCATACACCATCGTGTGTATACCATCGAAATTATTAGCGTGTTTAGATTTTTCTCAATCAACTTTAGAAATTATTATAAGATTGTAAAATTTATTGAGATAATTTTTAATTTGCTCAATAAATTTTAGAAAATCTTATAAGATTAAAAAAAAAATATATTTTTAAGTTTATCGATTCTCAAAAATTTTTAGAAAGTATCATCAAACTTTAGATTTTTTAGAGTTTATTATTGAATATTTGATTCTCAAAATATTTGATTTGATTTGCCTGAGCACGTTTAGCTACAAAACATCCGAAAAAAAGTTTCTAAAATAGAATTTTCAAAAAATCAAAAATTAGAATCAAAAAATGTTTCCCTCCAAAATTCCACACTTTTCTAGAACAGCATTCACGTGGTCTTTCGTATTTTCAGCAATTCTCTATTGAACTTCTTCTTTATTTTGGCCATAATTACAATCGACACCCTACGTCTAAGAAGCACCCTTTAAATTGGTGCCTTCAAATTTCTCATGTTTGTTTTTTTTTTTTCTTTTAGTGAATTTAGCCTCCAAACATTCATTTCGTGATAATTATTTGTTATTGAGAATCGCAAGAAAACGTGATCCTTCGGGATTTTCCAAACATCGCATTTTTTTTTCTCGGCGCGGCAATTCAAATTGGATTTAAATTATCTGGTGATTCACTAGGATTCGAAAATACTTTCTCAAAAAAAAATAATTGAATATTGTTAGCATTTTTCCCCAACAATTTTGTGCCCTTAATTAATAGGATACAAATTTGTCAAAGAGAATTGCTCAAATTTCCCGTTTATTATGAAACATCCACAAATTTCAACACCTAACTTCAGAATAATTCAATTACTCGGGCAAATCATATAAAATATTTTGCGCATCAAATATTCCATAATAAACTCTAAAATATTTTGAGAAAATCTAAAATTTATTGATACTTTCTAAAACTTTTTGAGAATCGATAAACTTAAAAAATATTTTTTTTATCTTATCGGATTTTCTAAAATTTATTGAGCAAATTCTAAATAATCTCAATAAATTTTACAATCTTCAAATAATTTCTAAAATTGATTGAGAAAAATCGAAAATATTATAGAGACATGCTAGTTTCTCAATGAATCTCAAAATATTTTATTCGATTTACCTGAGTATCAACAAATGTTTTCAATGATTGCCGCGGGGGTTCGAGCACATAGTGCATCAATTTACGCTTCGCAAACCGCGCGTATTCTAATTAATACTTGCTCTTTTTTCCAGTTACCATGACATTCGACGACTGACTGAATCGAATCGGTTTCATTCTGGCGACGATTCTCGCAAAATGATCATCCCTTTTGCTCATCATCCGTCGTTCAATATCGCAAATCTAAACGATTCGGTGTATTTTAACTACAAGGGAGCTGAGATTGTCTCGTTCGTCACCAGTGTTCGCCATGCGCTCTCGACATTCCTTCTCGCGGTTCTCGCATTGACAGCACTCGGCCTTCGTCTACTAGGCAATGTACCCAAGTTTTCAATTTTTTTTTTGTTGTTGTTTTGCCAGAAATTTTTAGCTTTCAAAGCGAATTAATTTCTAAAAACGAAAATCCCACTTTTTAAGGGTGATTTTTGAAATTGAATTAGTTTGAAAATCAAAAAAAGTGCCTTTGTTGCGAAAAAAAAAAAGCGCCCTAAAAGAAATATTCATATATGTATTTGACAAACCAATTTTCAGAAATCCAGACGCCACATTGAAATAACCATAATTCTGTTCGCCACAATTCTCAATGATGTTGTCTTCAACATGATTGCCGGCGAGAATTTTCTACCGGAAACTCTCAAACGCCTCAGCAATTTCAACGCCTTCATCGATTTGTTCTTAACGAATCTGCTGATTTTGGTGTTCGGCAAGATATCGGCTATCAATATTTTTAAAGCATATTTCCGAATCAATCATGACAAATATTTTAAGAACAGGCAAGCCATTTTAATCAAGCTCATCATGTCGATTGATTCCAGATGGTCGAATCCGCTGATTCTTGCGATTCTTGCGTTTTTGGCCGTCTTATTATCGGAGCTTTTCAAAGAAAAGATGCGTCTTCAACGAATTCATCACAACAATTTTGGAATTCTGGATTTTTCGCCTTATGAGAATATTAAAAATGTAAGTTTTATGAGAATTAAAGGGGGGAGATGTGAGATCCAACCAGTGTAAAAATGTGTCGTCAAATAAAATGCACAAGTCCGTTGCGGATTAGGCAATTTATCTCACGACAATAATCATTGTTCACTCGGGACCATTTAACCGCGAATTTTCGGTCTTTTTTTTGATTTTTTCATTTCTTATATGATTTCGATGATATTTTAATGTTTTTTTTTGAGATTATAATCCCACATTTTAAAAAAACTATTTGAGATTATCGCGAAATTGATTGGAATTATTCTTTTTTGGTATCACTTCGTTATTCGTATTCTGATTCTTCGAAACTATTTTTTTATTAAAAATTATAATCGAATGATTTAAGACCATGTAGAAATTAGAAATTCTAGGAAGATTAACAATATTTTTCACAAAAAAATTTTTAAAGGCATTCGAGTGTTGAATAGCCCGAAATAATGATATTCCATAAATTTTATAATTTTTTTGTTTATGTCAAAAACTTGAATGATTCATTAAAGAGTACATTGATTCCGTTAATTTTCATGGCATTTTTGGATTAAAAAAAAACAACAACAATTTTGCGGCATTAAATTTCAAAATTATATACTTGGAGCTCGAATTTAAAAGAATGTGCTTGACCCTTCACAACTAGTCTACAGTAATCTTTTCGTAGAGGGGTCTCACCAACAATGTTATGGTAGTTGGTGGCCCAATTTCCCCCTTAATTTCTGATTTTGATGCACCTCGATGGGTTCGCAATTCGCTTTTACTCGAATGATCGCGTTGATACTTGAAAGAGAGAGAGCAACTCTGCAAGAAAATTGCACAAATAATCAGAAGAAGTTCTGTCATGAGACACTGTTGTCCATGTTATCAGCGAACTGGTGGGTCTGCGCCAACCGTTCCGCAAAATTAATTATATGATGCAATTATTGATAATGTTCATTGGCGTCTCGTTCTCGACCGGTGGCAATTAGAAGAATGATCCCTAATTAGGAATTCAAACCAAATATGTAGTTCAGAATGAATAAAAATCGTACATTTTGTCTTAATCATTGCAAAACATTTTGGATTCCTCTTCGGGAGCACTGGAAGTGCTGAGCCAGAGAGCTGCTGGGTTAGCAAGTCTTATGACCGTTGACGATTGCTTTTTGAAAGTTCGCCGTGAAATTTTTCTTTCCAGAAGGTTGAAAAATTACTAAAAATATGTTTCAAGTACAAATTTCAAATGAAAATATTTTTATGAACAAAGTTTGAAAAAAATGAAAAATTGGTAAAATCGAAAAAAGAAACAAAAACAATTTTTCAGCATGATGCAATTTTGTGGTCTACTAGCTTGCGTAACTGTGTTTTGCGTACACAGTCAAAATTTCAGCCGGCCGCGTGTGAGCCAAGTTATGCTCAAAAAACACTAGGCGTACATCATTATGTCCAAATCTGTAGTTGAAAATATCGAAAACCGGGACGAAAATTTTCGTGCTACTAAATTAATTTTTCTTTTCTTCAATTTGGCAAGTTGTGTGTGTCAGTGACAAATCGTATAAAAACGGCGACACGTCATTTTTCAGCAAGTGGTAATGCTGGAAAATTAGACAAAATTGAAGAGAAACTTTTATGTTGCTTATTTCGCGTCGAAACCACAAATTACTGGATTCACTAGTATGCGCCTTTAAATTCGTTTCCAATGAAAAATATAAACTTACTCCTATTCTTATAGGTTTAAAAGTGAATACCCAAAATGGATTTAAAAAAACACTTTAAAATTTTCAGATTTTCACCAAAATCAATAAGTAAAACGAAATCTCGTCGATTTTCAGGGGTTCCTTTTGACGCAACTGATATTCCAACTGCTCTCATGCCTCGCAATTCTTCCAATTGTCCGCCAAGAGCGCGAGCGAGTTCGCATGAAGCAGAAATCTCGAGCTTCATTCGTGCGAACTTTCAAGCACATGGCATTCGATGAGATTGTTCTGCTCGCTTTCACGGTAAGCGTTTGCAAAAAAAAAAAACGAAACTCTTCTTCTTTGTTCTCTGCTCGATCATCAATGATCAGCCGAGACTCTGTAGCTGATAACCGAGCACTGTTTTTTTTCCAATGCGACGACGCACAGGAAGCGCCACATTTTTTGCGACGAGAGAATTATTGAACAAAATTTGCAGGCGAGCTACGCCTCCGCATTGGCCGTCGCATTCGGCTCACGGCTCGATGCGCGCGATTTTGCGAATCAGGCGATTTGCCGACTCGCACATCTCATTCCGATGAGCATCTACGCGATTATTACCATCACTGGAATGTTTCCGTTGTCGAAGAGAAGGGTCAAAATCACGTCGTCAAATCCAACGATTACGAATATTACTTATATTGATTAGACTAATTATATATATGGGTATCGAAGAGAATCGACCAGTTTAGGCTTCAAGTTTTATAACCTTCTAATTATTTTCGATTTAATATAGCACAAAAGCGCTTTAAAGGCGCATGCAAAAATATGGTCATTTCCCGCCAAGATCCATTTTTTTTAAAAGTTTGATTATTAAAATTTTTTCTTCGAAATCTCTAGAAATTACTTGAAAAACGAAAACACCACAAGAAATGAAGCTCAGGATCTTATTCCCCTTCACACAATATCCCATTTATCCTCTACCTCATTTCAATCATTTATTGTTTTGTGTGCTCATTAAATAAATGATTCTTTGTGAGAAATTTCATAATAGCTGGAATTTTTCTAATTTCTTGGTATTTTCAGGTTTTTAATATCTAGAATCTAGAAATTCTGATTTTACAGGTGTCGATTTAACATTCATTTTAAAGGCGCATTCTTGAAATTTAGAAAATGCGGCATTTGAAAGTCTCAAAACACTTGGACTTTTAAAAAAAGAGATAAATCGTATGCGAGTAGATTTATAGAGAGCATGCTTTGTTTTAGGCTTAATAAAATTTATGAGCATCGGAGATACAATTCAGACCCGTTTATGGTCGAAATGTTAATTATTTGGGATTCATATGCCAATAACATGAGATAAAGTTTATATTTACTTTTCTTTCACATTGACATTCTCATTCTGTTCATGTACTCGAAATGAACTTGTACGTATGGCAGCGGCCGATCAAATTTTTGCCGCCGTTTAAACCGTATAGTATATTCCTCGAATATACTATAAATCCAGAATTGAAGACGCACGTCTGGCCGATATCACGTAGCGAAGAGCCCTCTGTACTCTCTCCATTTTCATGCTCTCTATCCAGCTGTTAATCAATCCAGTCAATATCTCCAATTGGCAATTTGGCACGACGCTCCGCCCACCACCAGGAATCTACTAATCGCGCAAAATTTTTTTTTTTTTCGCTATGGTCTCGCCCGGACTACCTACTTATTTCGAATTCTCGATGAATTTGAATTTTACTGACAAAAAATATTCATGAAAATGACAAACTCATCATGAAAAGTTTGATAGTTCACGGGAAAAAAATGCTCATGAAACTCGAATATGTAAAGAAAAATTGCGAAATTAATTCCAATTTAGGGAATGGTGGGTTGTGCAAGAAGATAAAACGCATATTTCCGGTTTTAATACATCGTGCCGAGACCAAGTTTAAAGGCGCATTGTGACTCATTCGAAAATCCCAGCCATTTTGCATGTTTTACAATCAAGGTTGACCCCCTCGACACCAACGAACAATTCGACACTCGACTACAAAACTACAATGAGACGAAAACCAAAAATCGCATCCACGAGTAACCACGCCGAAAACGATGCCACTTAATGCCCACCGCGTTTTTTGTACCCTGCTGTTCGACGGTGTAGTATAGCGGGTTAGAGCGGCCGACTCCGCCCCCGCTCACAAAAAAAAAATTTCCGACTCGGCGTTTTCAACTCGGACGCGAAAAAAAGACGTGTCCGCGCACACACATCACACCACCACCTTCGCCATCATCACTCAGCATCGGTAAACACGTATAAAAGGCGCGTCTCGACGGGCAGTTCTCAATTATTCAAAAATCGAAATGTCCGAGAGCCATATCAAGGTGGAAGCGGTCATTGCGAAACAATACCTCGCCGCCGATCTCAATGAGATCAAGCAGATGCAGGAGGAGTCGAAGAAGGTAATCCGAGTGTTGTCTTTTAATAATCTCAACGAGAAGAGTCTTGTTCAGAGCCAGCGGAAGCTTGAGATCGTCTGGAGGAATGTCATCCTATTTGCCATGCTTCATTTCGGCGCTTTGATCGGCTTCTATCAGCTCTTGTTCCAAGCCAAATGGCTCACTGTCTTCTGGGGTATGCCTCAACAATCCATGATTTCATCATCACAGAATTGAATTCAGTGTTGCTACTGCATGTTGCCGGAAGTTTGGGCGTCACCGCCGGCGCTCATCGTCTCTGGTCGCACAAATCATACAGCGCCAAATTGCCGATGCGAATTTTCCTGATGATTTTGAATTGCATCGCCCGTCAGAACGACATCATCGAATGGGCGCGCGACCATCGATGCCATCATAAGTGGACCGACACCGACGCCGATCCGCACAGCACCAATCGCGGAATGTTCTTTGCCCACATGGGATGGCTTCTCGTCAAGAAGCATCCACAAGTCAAAGAGCAGGGAGCCAAACTCGACCTCTCCGATCTCTACAACGATCCGGTGCTCGTATTTCAGAGGAAGTGAGTTGGTCATCGATCACGCGACATTTTGAATCCATCGGATTTGCCTCTTATCAACGCGTGACTTAAATGCAAATTATTTACAGACACTACACGCTGCTATCAATTCTGTTTTGTTTCGTGCTGCCTGCAGTGATTCCGGCATTCCTCTGGGACGAGAGCCCTTTCATCGCCTTCTACACTGCCTCGCTTCTTCGGTACGCAATTACTCTTCACGTGACATGGTGCATCAATAGTGTGTCGCATTGGTAAGAGAGAGAGTGGGAGAGTAAGCGGTTTTTCTGCAAACTGTCCTGTTTGTTCTCAGGATCGGCTGGCAGCCATACGATCATAAGATCAGCTCAGTGGATAATATGTGGACGACGGTGACCGCTGTCGGAGAAGGTGGTCATAATTACCATCACACCTTCCCACAAGACTATCGAACCTCGGAGCACGCGCCATTCTTGAACTGGACCAAGGTGTTGATCGACACTGCTGCAGCTCTCGGTCTCGTCTACGATCGCAAGACATTCTCAGAGGAGGTCATCAAGCGACAATGTGAAGCTCATGGATCGCTGAAAGAGCGTGAGCTGATGCTCAAGAAGCTAGGCTGATTCGAATCTTAATTATTTATTTGATTTTCATGAAACAATAAACAATAATGTAAATAAACCCATCTCATTCACCAGTATTGTAAATGTATAACCGTCTTGTGTTGATTCTCGACTTGGGCTGCTCGGGCTCCTCCTCTCCGTCCCATTGCTGCTCGAATCGCTCTTGCGTCTGCACCGACGCCACTTTGATTTGCGACGTCGTCTGCGTCGAACTGTTGCGCATTCGCGCGCGCTCGTCAAACTTCTCATTGAGCATCTTCTTCTGATGGTTGCTCATGAATTTCATCAAGAACTTGTTGGCGCCATCCATACTCTGCGAGTATTTGCCGGCGACGTCGCCGCCCTCATTGTTCATCGTCTTCTTCTTCGAGCCCTCGATGCTGCCCAATTCCGACACTCCGATCGATTTCTTTCGGCTCTCTTCGGCTGCAACGTCGTGAATCAACAATGTCGAGTCGAAGTGAGTTTTACCTGCCACCGACAAGGTGTTCTTAAAATCATTCTCAATGTCCTGCACAATTTTGTTGAAGAGCAACTCGAGCTTCATTTGAATAACATTGATCGACATCGAGACGACAGAAAGACCACCCAAGATGAAAAAAATTCCGCCAACGGCGACCGAGTGCTTCGGAGTGATGTCACCAAATCCTGAAAGTTTTTCCATTGCCTATTATTTTTTGTTGGTTTTCAATTTTCAAAGGCAATGCTTAAACTGCTAGTATATGGTCCCTACTTCAAGTCGCGCTTACTTCCGAACATCTTTCACTCATTTTCTTGACCTGAAAGAGTGCAAACCCGCAAGAAACTCGATACCTATAGTTGTCATCGATATGAAGAAAAAATAGACGGATTCGAAGATGGTCCATTCCTCGAAAATAGCAAAATAGCCGACGCAAAGGACGACCCAGAACATCAATATGACGACGACAAGAAACAACGGCACCGATTTCGAATCGTCCGCATCGTATAAAGTGCGTTCGACGAGCGGTGCGCCCTGCAAAAAAAAGAATGGAGCCAACTGACGGACGAAGACAATTTGTCAAAACTCGAGAATCGCTGTTATGACACATTTGCGACAAGAACATTATAAATATGTTTCAATTTCGGTGACAGCTGCTTGCCGACAAATTATTAATCATTGATGTGGTCCGACATTCTTGGAATCGAAACTGATTTGTCCTACCTCTTCAATGGTCCCAATTTTTTTTCGACGCTTCAAAAGTGCTCGGAATTTGTAGTACCAAGTGATGCCATGTTTCTTCCAAAACTCTATAAAAGTTGAACCATTGTAGTACCAAGAAATGGGGGAAAACCATCGGAATAGTAAGAAAGCATATTTCCCCAATCGTTGAGAATTGTGATCACCATCGGGATTCCGACCATCGCGTACAACATTGTGAATATCCTTCCGGCAATTGTGGTAGCAGCGAGGTCACCGTAGCCTGTAATTTGTAATTTTTTTAATCGAAACTGTGACAAATCGGCTCAATTCCAGAAATGGTCTCGAGACGACGTGTACTCCACACGGACAATGCACCGCCTAACAACGTGGCGTAAATCGACACGACACATTGGCTCAATGCCAGAAATGGTCTCGAGACGTCGTGTACTCCACACGGACAAAGCACCGCCTAACAACGTGGCGTAAATCGACACGACACATTGGCTCAATGCCAGAAGTGGTCTCGAGACGTCGTGTACTCCACACGGACAATGCACCGCCTAACAACGTGGCGTAAATCGACACTAATGTTGTGAGACCCAATTTCGACAATAGCACAGGTAAATGAAAATTTCGAAAAAATAATTGAAAAAAATTCGATTTGAAAAATTGATTTCGATTCAAAATTCCTCGAAATCGATCGAGTTCTTCTCATTTTCAATTTTTAAAACGTATTCGATTATTTTCGAATCTGATGAATTTTTATTGATCGCGACTTTTGTCAAAATCAGAAAAACTTTTTAAATTGGTGTTTGACGGATCTCGAATTTCAGTATAGATCGACGAAATTGTAAATTTCACGCGCAAACAGCACGCCACATAGCTAATCTTTGTTTTTTTAATTGAAAATATATTTCAAATACAAAAAAAAAACGAACCAATTGTTGTATAAATCGTTCCCGAATAGTACAATCCGCCCCAAATGTCCCATTTCGTGTCGAAATTGCCGTCGATGACAATTCCCATCGATGAGTCATAATCGGCTAAAATCTTGCGAAGTTTCGTCTCCGAGTAATCTTCGATGGTTGTCAAGTTGAAAAACAAATGCTGAAATTTGAGCGCCGATTATTCTCAATTCTGAAATTTTGCCTCTCGCCTGCAACTTGTCAATAAGAATCTGTTTGGCGGCGATGCTCGATCGAAGAATTCGCGTGGTTTCCGACTTTTTGATGTTTCGCTCGTTGTCCGCCTCGAGCACCATGAACATGTAAGCGCCGAACAAGCTGTACAAAAGCAGAATGACGATTTTGGCGATGTGATGAAGATGATAGCGCTCATAATTGACGGCGACTAAGTTCCAGAACATGCTGAAAATTGAATATGCTTAAATAGTTGAAAGCATTGATCTCATTTCGTCTTAGCCTCAATTTTTGTTTGAATTTTACATTTACTATCAAAATGCTGCAAAATAGCTTTGTGTCTTCCAGTAGCAAATAATATTAATGATTTGATTTGTGATCAACGTGCAATTGGCGAGGCGCTTCTCTCATTGCTTCTCGCCCCCCTCCGGTCAAGACCAGAACAATTGTTGCATGATTTTTGAAATAATAATTTTTAAAAATACATTTAGTTTTGGGAGAAAGGAAACTATAGAAAGTAATATTGGAATCTGGAATTCACATTGTAAATTTTTGAGAAAAATAATGGTTTTATGGAGATGATTATTTGATCTTTTGATCTTTTGGAAGCGTACTACATTCTTTCATAAATTGACTAAACTAAGAAAAATATTTTCGTCGCAAGACCATGATTGACAAAAATTACTTATTTCAAAATATTTGATGAACTATTAAATAAAAAATCATAAGTTTCATGACTGAGGTATTTCATTCACAAAAAAACGAGCATCCTGCGCTGATTTTTGATTCGCAGGTTATCCAGAGTACGGTATCCAAATTGCCACTGTTTGAATTTTTGAATTACCGCCTTGAAAAAGCGCTATTAAAAAAGAACGCATCAACTTTCAAAATTAAAAAATTACCCAAAATTAGCTTACCCTCCTCTCAACATATTGGCAGCAAATAATAACTGCATCTCAGCCAATAAAACTCACCCATCTCGATATTTCGTGGCGATCATAATAATCTATGATAGATATGCGACAGCGGAATATAAGCGAGCAAAAAAATCGGATGAGAGAGAATTCTCTCCCACACATTTGATGATTCCGGCAGGTTTTTTTTTATTTCGAATGCATTCCACCGGGCTTCATCGAATCATTAAAACGGCTCATCATCAATATTACTTTGCGTCGGCGGCGTCGTAAACGACATTCAGGAGAGGACGATGCGGCGGCGACGACGGTCGACCGAAATTGTGAGGCGCGCCGAGCACTGGTTGAGGTAGCACGGACCGGGAGCGGCGGCAACGGACGGCGACGGCTCGCCGCGTTCAGCACAAATGTTGATGATAGACCTCGGCGTTGGTTGTCTCACCGGCGCGTTGCCATTAAAAATCGGAGCCGGCTAGCCAATGCCGAAAATTTTACAAAGATTTTTTTCGTCGCCATCAATTAATCAATGAATCGCGATGCGTCCGCGAGATCGAGTGAAAGAGATTCCGATCGATCTGCTATCAGATATATAATTTAAAAGAACGTTTGTGTTGTTTTTTTTTTTCAAAGTGTAAAAATTGTGTGGTGAGAAGATGAGATATCGTTTTGTTTATCACTTGACAAGAGTTCCGTTTAGTGGAAAAATGATTTTTATCACGTCAAAGTTCACCAAAAGTTTCGAAATTTCACATAATTGTCTGATTAATTATTGAAGCGCACGTGCAAAAATTGCAAAAATTCATCGAATCACGCCTTAAAGAAGTCCGCCTATTTTGAAAGACTGTTGGAATACAAAAAATATTATTCCCCAATTTGCTTATTGTATTGTCGAAGTCAATTTATTGAAGGGAGGCGAGGGACCCTTCGAAATCAGTGCCGATTTACATCAGTGTTTCAGTTCACTGAAAGTAAGCTAAAGTGCAAATTACGCAGTCTTGAATAAACTGAAATGTAAAGAAATGTACCCGCGTAGAACAATCCCGACTGAGCAATTAATATTCGGCCAATTGCAAATTTTTCTACTATACTAATTTCGCGAAATCGAAGGTCTCCAGCTCTCATCAGTCGTTCAACAAAGTCAATGGTCCGAGCAAAAATTGGTTCCAAAATGATTGTCACCTTGTACAATGCTGATTAATTTCTTGTTCTAAGGTGTTTATTAAAGTGTACTGGAACGAGTTTTTGTATTTTTTTTTTGAAACGTTATTTCGTTTTTTCGATGCTCACCTAATTTTGCCTCAGCTTATAAGCTCAAATGTTCTTGTGGAAGTTAAAAATTGATGAAAATTGAGATGATGTCAAGAAAAGGCCCGTTCAGACTATTCATCAGATCAGCATCTGGGCATCATCTAGACACGCAATTGAAGGTTGAGGCGATGCATTTTGGCAACAAAAAACTCTAAAATCTAATTAAAAATGTATTTTTTTTATAATTTGAATATGATTTTGGAATTTTAAATTGCTTTTTAATCTTTTTTTTTTAAATCGCAAGGCCATAATATTTATTTTGAATTTCGCCGTTGAAAAAAAAAACAATTTAGTATGATTCCGACTACCATAATTGGGAATCAGCGAAAAAAAAAAACGACGTGCGTCTTTCATAACCAAATCCGAGAAATATTTTGGAAATTAGAAAATCTTAAAATTTTCTGTTCAATTTTTTGAATTTTCTTAAAATTTTATTTTATATCCAAATTACAAGAAATTTTCGTAAAAACTAGGAGTAAATTCAATTCAATCTTTTTTTCGAAAAACTTTAAAAACTAAAAATTAGAATCCCTTTAATAATACATTAAACATGTTTATTATCTTTAAAAAAATGAACTTGTGATATCTTTCAGTAAATACCAGTATAAAATTAAAATAAATATTCAATGAAATTTGCGCCATCAATTCGCGTTCGGATGCGGCATTCCAAACTTCCTGTGTCTCGGACCTAAAAATGATTCTCAGACGGCAAATGTTTTTTTTGTTTCTTGTCTGTGTATGAAATTCGATCGGCGTGAGTCTTTGCTCGAAAACGCACCTGTCTTTTCGACACATCTCTGAACTACCAGATAGAACATTATGAGGGCACAGCTCGACAATATTACGGTTATGAAGATTATAAGGAACATGACGATTCGAGAAATACAAATCTGATTCTAAATAATCAGCAGTTTGAGAAGCTTGATCGAAACCAAAAAAACGCACCTTGAATACGGTTTGAATTTTCTTGGAAGCCGAAGGCGATGGAGACGCATTCCCTAGAACTGAAAACTTTTGACGCTTAACACGAGAATCACAATTCTAACCATCTTCGGCCATATCCATTACTTCTACTGACGGCGCGATGACATCGATGTCAGCGAGATATCGAGTTCGCAAATCCCGTCGAATCAATCTCGACATTCTGAAATATCTAAAATTTCAGATAGAATGGGACCATCATCATTTTCGCAAATGATTGCGAAGCCAATTCATACGCTGATGGTGAGATCTTCAACACATCCATCGGACCATTATCATCAGGAAAATCATTGTCATCATTTTCAGCGGCGATGTCCTCGGAAAACTCGTCACTTCCAGCCTTCTGAAAAAGTCAAATTTAAGAACCGAGAATCTGATGGGAATCTCGACTTCGGTAATATTCTGAGGTCTTGGGAATCCTGGAGGAATCATCTTGGCGAATTTCGACTTTGTCTTCACCGAATTCTCCTCATAAGACGGCTTCATAGAATTGACGCAATGCATCGAAGGATCCTTAAGAACAATTCCAAAGAGAAAATGATGAATCTCCAGGATTCCTTACAAAGCATTTCGACGCTTCAGTTTCTTTCATTTCCACCCGAATCATACAAGAGAAGAATACTGTAGGTTTGTCAGCGAATTTGAAGACATTCGACGTTTGTCCGGCGACGAGATTCTCGCTATATTCCAGTTCTTTAAGAATGAAAGTATCCAGAGAGCATCTGAACATTCCATCTCTAATATTCGTTTCAGATCATTTCCAGCCAACCCCTTTTCATCAACCAGCTTTTGCCCGAATCCTTGTCCATCATCAACGACACACGAGTGAACTGTCATGCAGAACATTTCCTTGTTTTCTCCATCACAAGACCATCTGATCATGCGATTACTGTAATCTACAGTACTCCTGCGATTGACTTACTTGTGATAGACGGTGTCTCCAACAGTGGCGTAGGTGAGCGGCTGACCGTGCTCGTTGTCGCTCAAAACCTGTAATTTGGCAAGAGGATAATTATCTATGGTTAGCCGGCTAATTGGCGGATTTCGAGACGATTGTGAATTATGGCCAAGACGAGAGTTTCATAAAAAAAGGACCTCATATTTACATACTGGACCATCTAAAACTTCATTCTGAACCGCTTGTGGTAGATCTTCTGGGGTTTGCATACTGTAAAATGATCCAGAATTTCAGAACATCGAAACTTGAACCCTTTCGGGAATCTACCTGACGTCTAGAACATTCGTCACACTCTTGTCAGCTTCTGAATACTGACACTGAACCCGATATGATCTGTCGCTCTGAGTTAGGAACACTGGATGGAACATGACGACGATGGTGGTGTCGAGAACAATGCCACGTGGATTCATCTACAGTAATCCAATTATTTAAAATGGCGAACTCGATGATTCTAATACGATTCGCTTTCGTCGAATACCGCAATCGGAATCCACCGGCATCACAATCTCTAAATCCGATCCGGTCGTGTCGCCGCGAATTCGACAATCGGATTTGTGAAAGAAGCCCTGAAAATGAGTCGTCGATCCGAATTGATGGCATCCTATAATCGAACCTTTGAGTACAAGTTGCCGTTGAATGGATTTGCGGTTTTTATGCGAACCTTGATTTGTCGGACGTCGCAAATCACCTCGGGATCGCCTAGAAGTCGAACGCGTCAAAAACACATTGACGATGAAAATCTCACCAATAATCGAATTTTCGATAACCGACGCAGCGACGGCCAAATTTGGTAGCAGAACAACAAGGAATAGCATCGCGTCTGAATGACCATTTTGGGAAGCAGCACCACACATAATTCGAACCGAGCGCCTATATACATAAATGGCTAATTTAGCGTTTCGAAAATGGCGTACGGTTCAATTTAGGTGTGAACCAAGCCGCCACTCGGGGCCCGCCGATCGCCGAGATAATTGGAAAGTCGCAAATGAATGATTTATGGAGGGGAAGGGCAAGATTGAGGACTTCGAACGAGAAAAAAAAGCGAAACTCAAGTCTAGCTTAAGAAAACGGATGGTATAGCATTTACATATGGAAAAGTTCAATTTTGAAGGCTAACAAAGAAAAGGACGTCATTAGATTCGGAAAATTAATAAAAATCATGTACAATAGCTTAAAAGACGTCAAAGCTTACAAATAGATGGACTTTGGGAATGAATCCTTAGAAGAAAAGAAGAAGCTTAAAGATAGAGAAGAACTAACTAGAAGCAAACGGTCCCATGTGACTCAAAGGAACACAGAACGCTTCAACGCTTGCTGGACAATTATTCAGAAAAATCCCATCTGAATCGGATGAAGCGAATATGGTTGCGTAACGGTTATGATGAGAACCGCCCAAATTTTTGTTGGCGACGCCACCAAACACTTTCCATTTCGCGGGCTTTCGATGGTAATCCTTGTAAAGCCAAGGCAGGACATCCTCAAGTTTTGCTTCTTGGCGACACTTGTCGTTGAGCATTTTGTACTTCACACCACGAATTCGCCGGTAATTATGAAGCGCATAATGTTGCGTAATTGTTGACACTTGAGGTCTTCGACACTGCAGACCGGACCGTCGTTTTGAGGCGGAATTTCGGAAATGTTTCCGTCGTTCAAAAACCAGCGAGGTTGAGGCGAAATCGAAAATATTCACAAATTTCCGAATTCCTGAAATGCCCGGTTCAAAAGTTTTTCTCAAAAAAAAATATTTGATGACAGAAACTTTTGTTTTTTTTTTTTAAATTTTCTCCAATTCGATTCTCCCATCAATTTTCCCAATTCCTTATCAATTTGTACATGTTTTTCTCAATAAATTTTCTCAATTAATGAAACTGCCCTTATCTTTTGTATTGTAGACGTTTATAATTGCGAACTACAATATTTAAAGTGCAAGTTGATCGAAATAAACACATAAACATATTTGGTGATGTTCTGATTTCGTGAAATAGTGAAAAATTAAGATGTGGCCGAATTTTCAGTGGCCGCCGAATTTTGCGGTCATCTCATTTTTTGCACGCAATTAACGGTGAAATATTAATTAATCGATGTTGTGAAACGATTACTATGAATTAAAAATAGGATAAAATTTTATTTTTAAAAGAATAAAATATTTTTCAAATCTTCAGCAGAATTCTGGCAACGTTTCTCATTAAAAATAAATTAATGAGATCGAAAATAATTTGAAGGCCGATGAAATCCATTGAAAGCCTTTCAAATTACATCTTCTGAATTCATTAAAAACGCTTCTCGGAATTTGCGCTCATTAATAATTCCGATCTCGCTTTTCATCGCGATCGCCTTCAACAAAAAGAAAACAACAACAACAACAGCAACGATTCGAAGACACATATCCACATTTCTAATGAAATATTCATTAGGTCGCTTGAGAGTGTGTGTGTGTGTTTTTTTTCATCTCTTCGGATCGCACAAATCACTAATAATATATTATATTTCGCTCGCGTAATGGGCTCAGGATGCCGGCGGCAAAAGACGGCCGCCGGCTGGCAATGAAAGAGCACAAAATCAAATTTCCGCTCTCGCTGGACCCACGGCACGCCTCGCATCTGTGTCTCTTTCATCGAATTGAGCTCGTCTCGGCTCGGTTGCTCGTCGTCGTCGTCGTCGTCGTCGTAGTGAATTCATTTCTTCGTCGCTGCTGCCGCTCGCCCGGCTGGTTTTTTTTTTTCCATTGCACATATTGGAGAGCTCATCCAAATTTGGGCGAAACTCAATTGTTTATATTATTTCCGTCATTCTGAAGCGAGAAAAAAAAGGTTTTGAGAAACTCGAAATTATTTTTTTGCCAATGCCGCAAAATATTTGTTCTCGCATGTTGTCGAAAACTTTCCCATAACATTTTCATTCGCAATTTTTCATTTTTTGTGTATAAATGAAAAATATGTAATTTTAAAACTTGAATCGGACCAAATCAGTTTGGTCAAATATTGCCGCATGCTCTTCAGCTTCTGTTTACCTTCTTGTAAAACAAACAAAGAGAGACTGATCGTCTGAACCCAATTTTCTCACGATTCGGTTCTTCGAAAAACTGAAAAAAAGAAGAATCGAGACATGATATTTTCAGGAGATGGGCTCAACAATCAACGATTGGTACCGAATCGAGCCGCTCACTCAGCAGAACGGCGCCGAAATCTCGCGGTTTCTCGTCAAACATTTTCTCGTCGAGGAGCCACTCAATCGCGTAATAATAATGAATCATTCTTGATGAAATTTTCAAGTTTTTTAGGCGTCGGGAATGACCGTCAAGAATTTTATGCCATTCGTCGAGAATCTCATTCTTCGCACACTTAATGTCCCATTCTCATATGCAGCGAGAAGCAATGGTTAGTTAATTACCCCCGATAATTAGTCGCCTTATCATTTCGTTCCTTGAACGAGACAGTGAAGGTCAGCATTTGCTAAATAGGGTGTGATTCATTAGTAATGACAAAATGATTGTTGTATTTATCGGCTGTTTATTGGCCTCTCAAATTGTTTCTACACTTGGGTCTCGCGAAGAAATATTTTGGTTGTTAGTCGAGACACAATACAACATTAATCATCCTTTTCTAATGGTCCCGTAGCGATAGAGAGTAGCTTTTTCAAAATATTTTGAATAGAAATTTCAAACACTACAGTAATCGCTTCGAGACCCAAATATACATTTGCATTTCGTAGTTGTTAAAGCCATTCAAGTTTTTGGTAATCCATATCTCGATATTTCGAATTTGAAATGTGTCGAGACACCGTTTAAAGGCGCACCAACTATTCAACATTGTTTAGAGACGAACGAGATCATCGGCTGCTCAATGTCATCACTTTGGCGCAAATGTGAGCACTCGGAGCCTCCGACCGATGACTTCTCATTCGGCGGTCGCGAGAATCCGTCGATCGGCGCCGTCGGCCGAATCCTCACCAACCTCCATGAGAGATTATTTCTAATCAAACCCGAACTGGATACCGTAGTCCATTTGTAAGTATAATCATTTATTAATTATACATGTCATAAGTTATAATATTGAGTGAATCACAATAGTCGGTTGATCGGTTTAGCGTCCCCACATTCCCCATGGCCTGTACATTCCCATTCCCCACGGTCGGTACATTCCATAACCACCATATCCGCCATACCCACCATATGGCATACCATATCCCCATTGGCGTTTGGCGCGAATTCTACAATATTGTTGAGATTGGGATTGTGGATGGACGTCGACTTACGGTGAAGCATCATCGGCCAGGATCATTGAGCACGAGATGATGACGAGAACGAGAAGGAGGAATAACTTCGACGACATTGTTATTGTGGTTTTATTTTTGGAATCTTGAAGTCATATCGAACCCCCTTATATAGTATTTTTGATGAACGATCCGCCCCCAACCCAATCATACGAATATTGTTATTGTTGAGTGTAAAGTTCGTCTATCATACTCGGCAAAGAGAGATAATGACGTGGGATACAATGTGAAGTCATCAGGGAGGTGTCGTCGTCCATTTCTAGGCGACTATCCAAAAAAAGGGGTTTCTGGAATGTTCATTTTGCGGTGGAAGGCCGAGGAAGATGATGAGGCGCGGAAGTAACTTTTCTCTCCAATATTTCCTTGTGTATTCGGCAAAATCGTGTTGGTTTATTGGTTTCTGCGCGCCATTTTTGTTGCTGTTGGTGTTGTTTTTTTGTCGCACACAACGCCGGTTTCATATAACTCGATTTTTGATTGATGGTTTTCAGGGAAATTTTGAGTGTCGCCAAGGAATTTCAGCGAAAGGGCGTCGCTTCGGCGCTTATGAATCGACAGGAGAATGCCGACATGCTCAAGGTATGGCTCGACAATTTTTGAACACGCTGTATAGTAGAAAAATATGATTTGCAAAAAAAAATTGAGAACAAACTCCATAAACTTCCGCCATGTCTTTAATCGCAATAGAAAAACTTGGCGAGACCCAAATGACATGAAATCACCGTTACACTACCATTTCTTTCTTTCTTTTTCGTAAAAAAATAAAAAATCCAGCAAAGAAATCTGAAAATGAAACCGTTTGACACAAAGAAACGGTAGTTTAAGACGCATGCCATATATTGATGCGATGGGTCTCGATGCGAATCGTAAAGACACGCTTATTTTTGGTTATTTTTTAACCTTTTTTATGGGCCCTTTAAAAAATGATCCGAATAATTGTGTTGTTTCGAGGGATTTTTAAATTGACATTTTTCTTCAACACATATTTTGTGGACTAATTTTTAGAGGTCGTCAATTTGGCGGCCAGCCTCATAGAAATTCAGAAGAGTCGAAAAAATTTTTGTGTGAATGACAAAAATTAATGCAATTTTGATGAAAACTAGCTAAATCGGGGGTTTCTTTTCGCAATTTGCATACGGTTTTAGAGTACATATTCAGATAGTTTTGTTGCGAGGGCAACCAATGATAATGTTGTCGCCGAGCGGCGACTGATGTAGATTTACTGGTACGCCGCACGCAATGGTCTCGCCACGTGTGGAGACTTATTTTGAAATTTTCACATGACGTGCGTATTATTTTCTTGAATACTTTTAAAATATCACTGAAATTAGAGCCGATCCATAGAAGTCAAAATTGCTAGTTTGTCAATGCGCGTAAATCTACCCGCGGACGCCGACAAGACATTCTGTTCATCTTAAAGCAATAATTAATTTCAGCGATATTGGGCATCTGGAATTGCCGCTGAAGTTTCCTCATACGCGAACCAATGCTTAATGAAGAAGCGAGGATACGAAGTGACCTCGTCAAATGATTCAATTTAATCGATTTTTTTTTGATTTCAGAGCCTTGACGAAATCCTATTAAGCAACGAGGTTGACATCAACGGAAAACGATTGCTCGAATGCGACGATGGAACAGATCGCGTCGTTCTCGCCTACAAACACCTGGTCTAATTTCATACCAATAAATGCATAATTTATTAGAAGACGGTCACGAGTGAGCCCGGCTCGCTGGGATGCGTCGAATTTTTGTTGAATCTCAATTGGCACGCGCCGAATAATAAATTGAGTAGGAAATCGCGATAGCAGTCGTAAAATAATAGGAGACATATGGAAGATACGAGGCCATGCGAGGTGAACACGAACACGCAAATGTCATTGGCTACTGGAAACAAAACAATACTCTACTTTCGGGATTTCTGAATAATTTATGAGGTCCTCACACGAAATTAAAATCGTATTCATTTCAATAAATAAATAAATATATATATCAAATTAAAGTTATCCAAATTTTCACCTGCATCCATCTTCATTATTTTGATCGTAGTATAAATAAATACGAGAAAATTTTTACAAAAATGGACTGCATGAGAACCGCATTTTGCGTACGTAGGTCTTGCCGCGAACAATTCGGTTAGAAGTTTTTTTAGAAAAGAAATTTTTCAGCAAACTCATCGACAAAAAGAAACTGCGGATTTTTTTGTTGTTATTTAAATGCCACAAATTTCCCGCGAATAAGGGTTGTTAAATCTGTGGCCACTGGCGGCAATTCAAAAAAAGAAAAAACCAACTCAGCCACGAGATTGGCGACCTGGCCCGATCATTTTGTGGAGATGACGCCCAGTTCAATAGAGCGCGTTTGCAGAATTGACTTTATACAATGGAGATTTTTCAAGTTTCATGGACCTGTTCATAAAATTAAAAAAAAAATGTAAAAATCGAAGACGAGAAGCTTCAAACGGTTTGGTACCGTTTTTGTCTGTAAACACGCTAACGCAATTTCGCACAAATTTCGCAAACACATATCTATTTCCTTTTCAAATGATTTTCTTTAAAATTTAGTGTCTGAAATAAATGAAAAAAAATTATACATGTAATTCGGAAAATTCTCACATCAATAAATTTGTTTTCCAAATGATCGATTTTTCGAAAAAAAAGGAAACATTCAAACGCTGAAAAACCATTTCAAACCTAAATTTTATTTCTATTTCTTTAAATGTATTTTTTTTTACATTAAAAAATTATTTTATGAATAGGTATTTCCATTAGTTTTCCCTTTATGTCTTCCATCCCCCCCAATCCCAATTGCCGCATTCTCTATGCTACGAAAAAGGATACGAACGCGGATGCAGGTGAAAACTGAAACCAATTGATGGTTTCAGTTTAAATTGAATATTTTTAGAACTCGGTGCTTCTCATTTTTCTTACGTTGCCAATAATGATCGATCATCGTTGTGACCAAGCAATATCCAATCGGAGCATAGCATAGAGTCGTCGGAATCGCGATTTGTGCAGCAAGAGAAGCGAGAAATTTGATCTGCATTCGTCTGGTTTTCTTCGACAAATTTTGGAATAGCGTCGAGAAAAAGAGCAACCAAGAGGTGTGAAGAGCAAGCAAACCGCACTCGCTTCCAATGAATACTAATAAAAATATTAAATAGGGGAGAAGGGTTTTATAATCGAATTGGAGGAGATACACGGCGGGATCGAGAATATCCTTAGGAGGGCATCGTTCGATCTGAATCCAGCTAACTTGTCGGTGACAGACGGATATTCAAAAATTTCTGGCAAATTGCACGTTTTCTCTCTTGAGGCGAAATTAACAAAATTTTTGAATGTCACATACATACATATACTATTGTTTTACAGGTAGTACCATCGCAAAAAAAAAAACGAGCATCTTCCACATTTGTGGACCATCGCACTTTTTCGAGGCGGTAATTCAAATTCGAATTTAAACAATGCGAATACGGATATCGTTGTCTAAATCGGAGCAGAGTGCTCGTTAAAAAATTTTTTACGAGCCCCTAGTCTGCATGCGATTTTATAGATTTTTTTTACTGTGGAAATTCTAATGAAAATCGAATAGTTCGACGACTGTTGTAGATTTACGCGTTCGTGTTTGGTCTCGCCACGCTTTCATGTTTATGTTGTTGTTTTCAAATGAATTTTGACAATTTTTTGTTGAATGTGTTTCAAACCTCATTGAAACTAAGAATTGCCAAAAAACGGAACCTAGAATCGCGGCGAGACCGAAGCGATCGACGGACACCCGTAAATCTACCCATTTATTCATTAGTCGCCGGACGCCGGCAATACGTCGAAGCGTACCAATTTTAGACACAAAATGTGTCGAATTCGATTCGAAACGAATTTCTAGAGCACAATTGACATTTCACCTTCAAAAAATCAATTATCGCTTGCAGCTGGTTTATGGGTGCCGTAAATACTGCTGGTAGCGTCATATTCCCATATATGAGAAAATTGATAATAACAATAATAACAACGTAGCGAGTTTTTAGTTTCGTCAAACTTCCAGCCGGGACCACTGCTTGATGCCGATAAATGAATAGAACGGCAATGCTGGCGATCATGACTGGAAAAATCACTCATCAACAAAATGAATAGGTATCGTACATACATTGCATCAAATAGAGAATGAATTGAGACAAATTGATAATAAAGTTTTCAGATATTTAAAATAAAAACTCATAAACTTACACCCGCAGGCCCCAAATCCAATATAAATGAGTTGTGGGACAGTCATTCCTAATTTGAAAAGATATCCATGTGCTCTTCCGCCGATCATGCAGAAATAAAACCTTGGAGCGATTAGGACTGAAGCTAGTAGATCAGTAAAGTAGATCCTTCAAATATTATTCTAGATTTGCGTTTCAAATCTGCCAAAGTTTTACCAAATTTGAAGGTTGAAAAGGCACCATTTAAATCCATGCATATTATGACTTGATTTAAAAATAATTGTGTAAAATGCTTAGAATAAAAGCTTATTTTAAGGTTAACTGTGGGAAAACCCTTACATAAAGCGTTAAAAATCGAAGAGAAAATGGTCATTGAATGAGTGATCATCAAGAAGCTCGATTCATCAAAAACAGGCTTATGAACATGCTGACAAGATGATCCAATAAGGGTATATTCGTTATAGGTATAATTTGTGGGTTCCTGTAGCAATCGTACGATATAATCCTGAAAATGCGATATTATTCCATTTTTTTAAATATAATACACTCACATCACTCATAGCGCAAAAATCAAAAGAATAAAATTATTATGAATTGGCGATTCACCTGTCTTCGATAGTTTCTGATGAAATGCTTTCAGAAACATTGCAGAAATTCTAGGCGAGCTTTCACAATTCCTCAACGGAGTCAACCGAACAAAAGATTATTTGAAACATTTCGTTCTCTTCCCGTCGGTACGAGCAAACAATGCGCTCTCCATATTTGCTCATAACAAAACAATCAATTGCCATAGTGCAAAATGTTTATTCAGTTATCAAATTTAACACTTTCATTGTTTCGAAATGAAGCTGAGTAAATCCCTGTTAGCAGCTATATAAGGGCAAATTTTGGTGCATAATGTCACCAGCAAAACGAAATGTTATTCGTTCTCACTACCGCTCTTCTCATCGGCTCAACTCACGCCGCAATTGGAAGTGATTTGAACTGCACCTCATTCAATGGAACCGCGGTAATTTCGCAATTTGAAGAATCGAACAATAGAATTTCAATTTTCAGTTCGTTTACACCGCGTCGGCGACCATTTGCCGGAACACTATTCCCGATGCCAGTTGTGCTGCTCTGTTCCCACCAGCCGCCGCTACTGACCCACTCCCGGCGGCTGGAACTGACGCTGCTCGACCATTCAAGTGCTACAGCACTGCGACAGCTACTCCGGCTCCAATCGACGCGGGACTCAAGGATTCCGCTTTGAAGCAATGCGCGAAACACTGCGGATTCTGCTGTCAGACCGATGCTTACAATTGCCCGAACAAAGCTCGTAAGATTATGCAATTCTACTAATATTATTCATTTCAATTTTTTAATGTTTCAGAGCCAGGCATGAACTGCGCCGCCATCACCCAAGATCAATGCGACGATCCGAAATGGCGTGTCGAGATCGCCAAGGAATGCCCGGCGGCTTGTGGAATGTGCAATGAAGGTGGATGTGTCGACGCCGTCAAAAATTGCGCCAACGACATCACCATCTGCAACAGCATCAATATGCAGACATTTGTCAACGCCAACTGCCAGAGAACCTGCAACCGATGCAACGGAAACAACAATGGCGGAGGCACAACCTGCGGAACCGATAATGCCAAGTAGGTCAAAAACAATGAAATTTTGTCGATAGATTGGAAATTTGCAGCTGCGCCGCTTGGGCGAGAAACGGATTCTGCACCAACCCGTTCTACACCACCCAAATGAGAAGAGAACGCTGCCCAAGAACATGCAAACTCTGCTAAGCTTCTTCAAGTTTTCCAATGATGTGACGACACAATGACAATGCGCAAAATACAAATGATTTGACAACATATGGGTGCTACTTGTATGCATATTCCTCTCAATAATCATGTGCTTTCAAACGGCCTGACCAGCCATTCGAAATAAACTTTTTTTATACAAGATTTGATCGATAGTCAATTGCAAAAAATTTTTCAACAAAAACTTATTTTTAAAAATCATTTATTATGCGAAAAGCCCCCGATTCAGAAGTGTATTAAAATGAAATGAATCAATAAAACGAAACGAGGCAACTGTACAAATAATCAAAAATGGTTTTTTGTTTGCTTGGAAATTGTATACTGTACCAAACAAAAATCAAATGATTATCGAGAAACTAAATTGAGACCATTTTTATTAATCAAGAAAGTGATAATTAAAAAACACCATCACAATATTCTGCCTTATACAGTCGATTGAATCCCAAGACGATTTTTATGTTGATGAAATGTGATTGTAATCTGTAGGTTGTGGAAAACTCCAGTTAAAACTAGATGTAAAAAAAAACTACACAAGGTTTTTGGCATTTTTTACAATTTCTTTTTATTGTTGATTTTTCTAAAATCTTTATTGAGATTTAAAAAATATAAAAATAAATAAGGTAAAAATATTGGATTTTTGAAACCAGAAGCAGTCTTTTCCCAAAAAAAAACATCTTTACCTGATTTTGCGAAAATCACGCGTCGTGCAAAATCAATGGTATTGTCGAGAAAAAAAAAACGAAAAGACGATTTGGTTTCTGTTCATTGATGTCTCCCCGGGAAAAAGCAACGAGACCTCGTGGTTGTGCGTTCTCTGCGCTCAAACATCTTCCGATAATGCTCTCTGATGTTCTTCTCCACCAACCTCGTGCCCTTTAAAACCGCGCGTTTCTTCTCATTTGTTTTGCGATTGGTCTGCATGAAACGATATACCCGCAAATTGCGTGCGATTTGTCGGCGAAAAGTCATCAACAAATCGGTGACATTGTTCCAAACAGCTTCCAGAAGACAACAGTTGATGCTTCTGTGTTTTCTGGCGATTCTCCAAAAAAGGTAACCGATACTATCGCGTTGGCTTTTTGAATCAATTGTTGACTTTCTGATAAAAATAATTTTCGCTTTCCGTATCGCATTTTTCGATCGACGTTTCCCGTGACCCAAAATTTATTCATTTTTAGTGTTTTCAATGTCAATCGCTCCTAAAATCGCCGTCATTGGCGAGGGTGTCATCGGGTGCACGACGGCATTCCAATTGACGCGAGCGATTCCGAAGGCCTCGATCACCGTGTTCCATGACCGCCCGTTCGAGAAGACGTGCAGCTACGGACCCGCCGGTCTCTTCAGAATCGATTTCGAGGAGAACAAGTTTGCTAGAAAACTAAAAATGTCTTGTGAAACGCTTGAATAATTTAGGGAATATGGCCGCGCCACGTTCGCCTGGTTCGCTCAACTATGCAAGAAAGTGAGCGGCGCCGAAACCGGCGTCAAATTGATCTCAGGTCACATTCAATCGGATTCGAAGGAGCGTCTCGAACAGCAGCAAAAAGCCTACGGCGATATTGTCTACAATTTTCGATTCCTCACTGATCGGGAGAGGCTCGAAATGCTCCCAAATCCGCATAAGTATGTCATTTTTTTAAAATAATTTTCATAAAACTGAAAAATAGGTATGCAATCCACTATACCGCCTACGCATCTGAAGGAGGCAAGTATGTTCCTTATTTGAAGCGTCAGCTTCTCGAAAAGGGCGTTTCGTTTAAAGCAGAAGCCGTCGAAAATCTTGACAATCTTGCTGATCAAGGTTTCGATGTCATTGTGAATTGCGCGGGTTTGAACGGCGGTCAAATTGCCGGCGATGATAATGACATCCGTCCGAATCGGGGAATTGTGATCGAAGTCGAAGCGGCGTGGCATAAGCATTTCAATTATCTCGATTTTATCACGTTCACGATTCCCAAGTAAGCAGCTAGACAGTGCGAGTCTAGGGGGAATTTCAGGGAGAACTCCGTCGTTATAGGCTCAGTGAAACAAAGTGGACGCAACGATTTGGAGATCACCGATGAGGATAGGAACGATATTCTTTCGCGATATTATGAGCTTCATCCGACGATGAAAGGCGCCAAAATTCTTCGCGAATGGTCGGCTCTACGACCAGAGCGAAGCAAAATTCGAATAGAATCTGTTGATAAGAAATCTGCCAACGGAAAACCTTATACGGTATTTAGGTGTTGAGATAATTTGAGAATTCTAATAGTATTATTCACAGGTGGTTCATCATTATGGTCATGGTGGAAATGGATTCACATTGGGATGGGGGACTGCAATGGAAGCGACGAAGCTTGTACAAAACGCTTTAGGAAAGAATAAGCTTTAAACTCTATTGTATAAATTGAACATAGTGTAGTTTTACAAAAATCGGAAAGCCAAATATAAATGTTTAAAGATTATATTTGATCAGGTTATGTGATACAATTAAAAACTTTGATTGGGCGTTTATTCGAAGCTGTGCAAACGATGATTATTGGTGGTATAAAACGATTGTCAGTGATTCTGTATCATTACATTCATTCCAAATTCATTTGGGAGAGAACCATGCTTTTTCTATTGGTCTTGGCATTGGTCGCATCAGTTAGCGCGGAAGTCGGAAGCGACTTGAACTGTACTGTCTTCAATGGAACTTCTGTATGTTTAATTCATGACATCGACTTCAATTTAATTAATTCTAGTTCGTTTATTCACCAACTGCAACCGTCTGCAAAAACGCCATCGCCGATGCGAGTTGCCTCGCTCTCTTCCCGCCAGCAGCGGATGGAGATCCGCTTCCAGCTGAAGGAACTGACGCTGCCAGACCATTCAAGTGCTACAGCACTGCGACAGCTACTCCGGCTCCAATCGACGCGGGACTCAAGGATTCCGCTTTGAAGCAATGCGCCAAACACTGCGGATTCTGCTGTCAGACGGATGCTTACAGTTGCCCGAACAAACCACGTTTGTTTACCGACTTGATAATTTGAACTATGCTAGTGGTTTAGAGCCAGGCATGAACTGCGCCGCCATCACCCAAAATCAATGCGACGATCCGAAATGGCGTGTCGAGATCGCCAAGGAATGCCCGGCGGCTTGTGGAATGTGCAATGAGGGTGGATGCGTCGACGCCGTCAAGAATTGCGCCAACGACATCACCATCTGCAATAGTATCACTATGCAGACATTCGTCAACGCCAACTGCCAGAGAACGTGCAACCGATGCAACGGAAACAACAACAATGGCGGAGGCACTGCAACCTGCGGAACCGATCAAACCAAGTACTAATCATGTCATATGTGTAATATAGGAATATGCCTAATTTGCAGCTGCGCCGCTTGGGCAAGAAACGGCTTCTGCACCAACCCATTCTACACAGAAGCTGTCCGAAGATCGCGATGCCCAAGAACGTGCAATCTCTGCTAATCGGCGAAAACATAACAATGCACACGCTCTTAATGACCTACGGGATTCGAATACAAATCGCTTTAAACGGCCTGACCAGCCAAATTAAAATAAAGTGATTGGTATCAAGGATGACTTACACATATCGAGATCTGAGTGAATTCAAACTCACAGGTTTTGCTTTAGGAGGAACTATGAAGCTGGGTGCTGCCAGCATGAAATAATGCCCATAAGTAACAAAAAAGAAGATAGTTAAAAAAAAGGAAGAACGGAAAGATCATCACATGAAAAAAATTTCAAACTGAAACTACCATTGTCCTATGTCATACGGATTTTCGAAAATAATTGTATACTGGCCAAATTCTGAAGATATCCACGATCAAAAATATCACAATGGCAAGACATAGTAATTGTTGATGTTTATAGATTAAAGGCGCACAATCGTGCCAAGACCTCACCTCAATTTTTTTGGAATTTAGCGAATTTGCACAAACCGATAAGAATATTCTTCAAGAATGTCTCAATTTTCAACTCGTGCAGTCGAATTGAAGAATTTTCCTGTATGGTGCCTTTTCTGAAACATTCTTGCCACCTGAAAATACATGTTTTCAGTAGATGGCCCACAGTTTATGCTTACCAATCACAATCATCTGTATTATTAGGCAAATTTATATCTTAATTCGTTCAACAAAATTCCGATTGTCAACTTTATTTCAATGGCTGGTCAGACCATTTCAAATCAATAAGAACAATCATCGTTTTTTTGAAAAATAAAGCCGTATGTGGTCAAATTTAAGTATGAGCATTGTCCAATGGTGTTCATCGTCGTCGTTGATATTGTTTTAGATTAGCAGAGATTGCACGTTCTTGGGCATCGCGATCTTCGGACAGCTTCTGTGTAGAATGGGTTGGTGCAGAAGCCGTTTCTTGCCCAAGCGGCGCAGCTGCAAATTAAGCATATTCCTATATTACACATATGACATGATTAGTACTTGGTTTGATCGGTTCCGCAGGTTGCAGTGCCTCCGCCATTGTTGTTGTTTCCGTTGCATCGGTTGCAGGTTCTCTGGCAGTTGGCGTTGACGAATGTCTGCATAGTGATACTATTGCAGATGGTGATGTCGTTGGCGCAATTCTTGACGGCGTCGACGCATCCACCCTCATTGCACATTCCACAAGCCGCCGGGCATTCCTTGGCGATCTCGACACGCCATTTCGGATCGTCGCATTGATCTTGGGTGATGGCGGCGCAGTTCATGCCTGGCTCTGAAACATTTAAAAAATTCAAATGAATAATATTAGTAGAATTGCATAGTCTTACGAGCTTTGTTCGGGCAATTGTAAGCATCGGTCTGACAGCAGAATCCGCAGTGTTTCGCGCATTGCTTCAGAGCGGAATCCTTGAGTCCCGCGTCGATTGGAGCCGGAGTAGCTGTCGCAGTGCTGTAGCACATGAATGGTCGAGCAGCGTCAGTTCCAGCCGCCGGGAGTGGGTCAGTAGCGGCGGCTGGTGGGAACAGAGCAGCACAACTGGCATCGGGAATTGCGTTTCTGCAAATGGTAGCCGACGGGGCGTAAACGAACTGAAAATGAATTTCAGAATAATCTTGCAATTTTGCGCATTACCGCGGTTCCATTGAAGACAGTACAGTTCAAGTCGCTTCCGACGGCCGCGCTTGCTGAGCCGATCAAGAATGACGCAACGACGATGAACAGCATTGTGTGAAGTGATGTTTCGCACCGAGTATCATCGTTTTATACAAGCTCATTTCAATTTACTCAGCTTTGTACTCGTGCGAATTTTTGATAAATTTATGAATCTGAACAAATAATTTTTGCACCTTCGTCCGCCTCTGTCGATCAGCTTGATTTGAGGTGTGTATTTAAACTACCGTAATTGAACAAATATGCAAAAAAGGACATCGAGCAAAAGTCAGTTCGAGAACAAAGAGCTCTTCTATATCACGGACAAAATGTTCGTTTCAAGATCCCACCATGTTTTTTTTTTGTTATCAATTTTGTGATCGTTCTTTTCTTTCAAAAACTTCAACAACTAAATATGTTTTTTGTGCCTTCTCGGTTCTTAAAACCAATCGGAAGCAACAAAATTTTTCTTCGGAAAAATGTAGACCATTTTCAGAATTATAAATTTACTCAATTGAATTTTTGACATTTCTTTTAAAATCTTTCAATTGGGATCGACAAAATTATCAGCCAACATTGAGCCGGTCCGTTTTAAAACTGACTTGAATTATTTATTCGTTCTAATTTAAATTTAAATTACCGCCACCTCAAATAATGCGATGGTCCACAATTATTCAAACTACCCCTTTCTTTGGGAGAGTTACACAAGTTTTAAACTGATTTTTGAGATTTTCTGCAATATCTGCACAATACCGTATTTTTATGTGATCAAACGATTGTAGACAATTGAAATTGAAATCTTCCGATTCAATACTTCAAGTTCGTTTTCTCTTTTCAACCATGAACTCATCTAAATATGGCTTGAACAATTTGTTCAATTACTGAATAAATCACACAAAATCACTCACTCAATTAATAGTGTTTCATTGATTCGCAGTCCGCAGATCATCAGCAATACCCGAACAAACGGACCCACATGTCGTTGATCTGAGACTTTCATGAAATTGGCTGTTTTGACCCGTCATTCACTAATCAAAATTATTCTGATACGCGTCAGATTTTGAAGAAGGCTTCGAGTATCCGTTTCCTCATTCTAACAGCAAACTGTGATAATACCCGTAATGGAAATATGGTCGTATTCGAAGGAATTCCAAAAAAAACAAAAAAAATCAATGAAAAAATTACGAAAAACCAATGAAAATGGTCTTGACGCAAAACAAAAAGTGTAGCTTGAGTATATGGATAAGTTAAAGGCGCATCGAGGCCTCTTTTTAAATTTTTTGGCATTTAGCCATTTTTGTGGAGCGACGTCCACAATAATACATGCTTTAATGCAAATTGAAAACAATTAACCTGATTAATTTATTTTTATGTCTCATAAACAAATTAGTTGTTTTTATTCCAGCCTATTTTTAGTATCCCTTCTCATTTCCTAATGTGCAGGCATGTTTTGTTTTCGATAAAAAACCCAAACACATTTTCATAGTTGTGTTTCATCTTTGAAAAGTATCAATTTTAAAACTAAACTGGTGGAAATCAATATTTTATTGCGTATGAGTTTGGCTGGTCAGGCCATCACACCCGTGTGTCATTTAAAGAAGTGCATTGTTGATGAAGGCGTTTAGCAGAGGTTGCAGGCTCTTGGGCAGCGAGCTCTTTTCGCAGAGGCCGAGTAGAAGCTATTGGTGCAGAATCCGTTTCTAGCCCATGCGGCGCAGCTTAAAATGACAATGTAAAACAGAAAAATGTTTGGAGATGCCTTACCTTGGAAGATCATTTCCGCAAGCTCCTCCTGTTGATCCGCCAGTGCTTGGCGTTGTGGCCGCAGAGCATCGGTTGCAGGTTCTCTGGCAGTTGGCGTTGACAAATGTCTGCATAGTGATACTATTGCAGATGGTGATGTCGTTGGCGCAATTTTGGACGGCGTCGACACATCCACCCTCATTGCACATTCCACAGGCCGCCGGGCATTCCTTGGCGATCTCGACACGCCATTTCGGATCGTCGCATTGATCTTGGGTGATGGCGTCACAGTTCATGCCTGGCTCTGAAACATAAAAAATTCGAATAAAAAATTTAATTGCATAATCTTACGAGCTTTGTTCGGGCAATTGTAAGCATCGGTCTGACAGCAGAATCCGCAGTGTTTCGCGCATTGCTTCAAAGCGGAATCCTTGAGTCCCGCGTCGATTGGAGCCGGAGTAGCTGTAGCAGTGCTGTAGCACTTGAATGGTCGAGCAGCGTCAGTTCCAGCCGCCGGGAGTGGGTCAGTAGCAGCTGCTGGTGCGAACAGAGAAGCACAACTGGCATCGGAAATTGCGTTTTTGCAAATGGTAGCCGACGGGGCGTAAACGAACTGAAATCGATATATATTAAATTAGTCTCACAATTTTGCGCATTACCGCGGTTCCATTGAAGACAGTACAGTTCAAGTCGCTGCCGATTTCAGCGCTAGCTGAGCCGATCAAGAATGCTGAGAAGATGATGAAGATCATTGCGGATGCTGATTCGAAAATTTCTGAACCATTTTATACGAATTCGCTCAAATTTGCTCAGCTTATTTTCATATAATTGAACACTGTTCAAACAGTGGAAAACAATGGTTTCATTTGTAAAAAAGACGCATACATGATTTGCCCTTTTTCTCAAACAATGACGGTTCAATAGAACCAGTGAAATACACGAATCCTAGTAATCTGTGATCTACTAAAAAAAATATTAATAGAATACTCAATTTAAATATAGTTTACATTAGAATATTCAATAATTGATTTCAGAGATATTGAGAATTGCGCGATTTGCAAAGAAAATCGGCTACCAGAATTTTTCGTGGTAAGACTTTATATGTAGGTTGGATCTGTATAATACGTCACATCTCGCAATAAATTTGGAAATAAATTGCGAGAAAAAAATGTTGACCTCATGTGAACCGCAAGCCGATGAGATAGCGTATGGTTGAAGGAGACGTAGACAGCGCATATAGTAATTATGAGTTTATTGAGCTTCTAGAAATTTGCTAAACGATTGTATGGGAATTTGACAAAAATAAATCCACTTTCTCTCATATCGCAGAATTTGCGCAGTTTCTTTTAAAAGTCAGCACGCCTTTCCGAGAAAATCGGGGCAGGATGCTCGTTTTTGAAATATCGCAAAAAAAAATTGTGGACCATCGCACTTTTCCGAAGCGTCAATTCAAATTTGAAATGAAACGATCGGAACTCGAGCTATCGTAATACGGTTTACCTGCGAATCAAACTCTCCGTCAAGCGTCAATTGGAGCTTATAATGCATTAGTTTCTCTCAAAGCTCCGCCCAATAACTCAAAATGCTCAATACTGTGATTGTCGCCGACAATTCTTGCACATGATTACTCACAAATTGTCAGATTTCCAGCTATCCACTCTGCGCCTCTTCGAATAATGAATTCGCTCTCTTTCTTGCAGGTGAGACTTTCATTCTTTTTTTCATTCGGCTGACATTACAAATTAATTCCGAAACTGCGAACATGAACGAGCAGGTCGCATTCTTTGATTTCAAATTGTATTTGAACTCGAAAACCGAGATCATTGACATGTTCAACAATTCGCATGATATTGCCATTGTCACCATTTTCACGATGAATTCGAATCGCGATTTCAACATTTTTGAATTTATTATTGTTATGTTATTGCTTATCATTGCTGGCCTCATCAATTTTGTTGGAGCAATCGCGATAAAAAGAGCTGGGTGAGTTTGAGCTCATGCTCATGCTGGAACCGATCAATGTTTCATGTTTCCAGCATGTTTCAAATAATCAAATTTATTATTCATTGACTATAAGGCACCATATTTGCGACATAGCTAAATAAAAAGAAAATCACCCTCACAAGTGCCTCCAATTTTTCAAGCAAAACAAGATAATCCTCTTTGTAACCATCTGCGGACATTTCCGTGATTCGTCACTATAAATGCCAACTTTTTTTTAGTAATTTAAGAAGTGTCTGAACTAAAATACCGGTTTTTATGTGATCTTTTTGGCATTACGTTATCTATTCTCTATCTAGTTGCGAAAATTTGAGCGGGAGTTCAAAAACCTAACCAGCATTATTTTTAATCTATTTATAATCACCTGTGACGAAATCATAGTCAGAAAAAATAATTTTATTTGAAAATCGGAGAGGGAAAGTGTAGGTTCCGAAAATAATATCAAATAATACGAAAGAAATTTGAGAAATCAAGAGCCACCAAAATTTGATTATTATTTTTTGGTTATGCTGAGAGATTTGTGAAACAGCATAGCTATTGTCGTCAAATAAAATGCACAAGTCCGCAATGATTTAAGTATTATTAGGTTCTTTTTGTCATATCTACTTTTTGCATCAGAGCTGCACGGAATTCCGTCTTCCGTCTTCCGTTTTTTTTTTTTTGAAAATTTAAGTTCAGTGCTGTTATGTTTTGCATTAATTTCCACCAAAAATTGGGAACTCAAAAAACTCACGTGGAAATCGAATAGTCGTCAAATACAATGCATATGGTGCAATTACGCGGTAAACTTCATTCTTGGCACAAGTTCAATTACCCGCTTCAATTCACACTAATGCATCGAAGATTGCGTTGAAGGATAAACCTGAAAGGACTTGTGCATTTTTTTGTATTTGACGACGAAATCCGGCACTCTCTAAATTTAGAAAATTTTCAGAACACCTCATGAAAATCATCGTCATTTGCTTATAATTATTCTTGTGAATTGGTTCGAAATGTTTCTGAGCAAATCACTTGTTTTTTTATATGCAAATGCTTCATGGTAAGAATTTTTTTAAGTGATTTTCGGTAAAGATCGGAGTCGAAAGTGTTTCCCAATTATCAATTTTAATGCACAATACATAGCCCTCCATAAATGGATAGATTTGTTATTTCAAAAATTGCCCCACTTTTTTTTTCCTACAAAGTAGAAAATTAGTTGTTTTAATGTGAATTCATGAGCCCATATTCTGTTTTTTTCACGTTTTGTGAGTTTCACCTGAAAATTTTTGTCTTTGAAATTTCGAGTTGGTTTCTGGGTTTTATAAAGGGCGAATATGAGTGGCGGGATTTGAAAGCCCCAATTTGAATTATTGTATAATGCAGATTTCAAAACCCAATTGCCGGCTATACTATATCCACTTTTTTGCTAGACCAGGATTGCACGGAAATTTTTATTTTGTAGAAGAACGAAAGCGAAAAAATAAAAATTATCCGTTTTAACGGATTTTTACGATTTTCGAAAAAATATCGATAAAACATTTTCATTAAAAAAAAGCAAATTATTTACACAGAATTATTTATTTTTTTTGCATTCCGTGCAAGACGATGCCATCAAAAATTTATCAATCTTAAATAGAGCGACGAAATAACTTTATCCTTCAAAAATAAGAATTTTTGGATAACACAGCATGCTAACCTAGATGGGGCTCTGAGGAAAGCGATTTGCTAAAAATAACATTACTTTAAAATCCCGTTTTAGCCAATGCCTGTTTTTTTGACAATGAGGATTAATTAATTCAATATTCGATCATCAATGGGGCCATTTTGGAGTCTCTAAATCAAATTTAAAGTGAACCTACGAATCTCACAAAATTACTATCACATTTCCTAATATGAGAGCATTTCTATCTTATTCTAAAAAGAAACATTTTTTCTTTTGAAAAGTTTTTTTTTTTGAAGAAAAATAATAATGGCTTTCTCATGCACACATTTCATGTAGTGGTTTTGAGGAGATCGCCACATTCCATATATGGAAATGTTGGACCAAAATTGTGGATTTTTGTTTCAAATGGGTGCTAAAAAATCAGGGAGGAGAGCAACAAATTGGGTGCAAAAAATTATCCTTAACAGCCCGAAATTGACATTCAAAGTGTTGCGCCAAGATCGCTCCGGTGTAGATTGAGTTCCAACTAAACTAAACTGAGGAGGATGTGAAACGTGGAATTTCGAACTCTTCCGGAAAAAAAGACAGTGACAAGAGTGTTCATTTTAAGAATTTGTAGATCAAAATGCGCATTATTCTGGAGCATTATTCTGGGCAGCATTGCTACGATATCATTATATGTTCATTGGAGCTGTGATACTTTTTGCGATTATTCTCGAAAGGAGTTTTGCAACTTTTCACATGGAGTAAATAATTCCCAAATTCATTTCATCGAGTTCAATCGACAAAAAATGTTTAGTGATTACGAGCGAGTGCCTCGTCGATGGTTTTTCTGGAGCCTAGCCGTTTTTTTCAATTCACTATGCCTATTTCTATCATGTTTGGCCGTGTCGAGTGTCCTCCAATTGAAGCTCACATTCGTCGTCTCGCTGACATCAGTTTGCCTATCAATGCTGGTAATCATAATCACTTAAAAGAGCCGTGTAATAATTTTCTTTCCAGACGCTTGAGTTCACTTTCCGCATCAATAAAAAGCAGCTAAGGTCTCTTGAAAGCCATGACCATAAAGAGGCCTATACGTTGAGCAGAAAATTTCAGCTTCAGGAGAATGTGAACAGCTTGAAGGTGAACGATTCGAATTTGAAAAAAAAACCTCTGATAAATTCGATTAATTTGTTTCAGCTAATCCGCGGGGTCGCGATAATTGTTGGCTTTTTCCTCGTATTCGTCGTGCTCACCGAATGCCTTCCAGTGTTGCTCAATTTTTCAGACGGCTGGATTCGCCGATGCAATTTGATATTCGACACTTGTACCCATTTGTATGATGATGATAATTTTGCTCACAATTCAGTGAGTTCTTCAGAAATCCATTATTAATAACTCCCGGTGCTGTTCTATATGTGCCGACGTATCGAAAAACGCTGAAGCACGAGATGAATCGCGTCCTTCATATAAAACCAAGCACGGGGAAGCCGTCGCTTCGCGAAAATCCGACAAGAAGTCAAAACGATGGAGATTTATACTTCGAAATGTTCAACAAGACAATTAAATAGTTTCACTTTCCAATATGCTCGCTCGTTTGGCCATACTTTCTTTCTCGACAATCTCTCGCTCTTTCTTATACTCGTCGCACCTCCAAAGCTCATCTCGAACATCATCGAGGAGAATGCCCAACTGGTTTTTGCCCTTCCAATTCGCCTTATCAATCGCTTCCACGTCGTTCGTGCCCATTCCTAGACAAATAAATGATTTATTGGAATTGATTTGCTCAACTCACCAATTCCCCAAACCGTATCGGTTGGCGATGCTTCGACAAGCTCAAATCCGCGCGTTCGGAATAGCGATAGTCGGAATCGCTCGTTTTGTGTGAATTTTCCAACTAGCGCTTCTCTCATCGCCGCAATTCCGACCGTCGCCCATCTAGAAAACAAATGCTATCATTTTCAGCACAAATCCTCTTTTTTTTTGGTTTCGAATTACTTTGTCAAATCGGATCTACTCATTTTCAGTTTCCTTCCAATCGCTTTCATCTTCGCCGGACTGTTGCTTGCCAATATCTGATGCGCCGATTCCTCGTCATTTATCAGCATCGCTTTGCGGAACCTGAAAAAGCTTACATCTAATTTTTATTTTGAGTTATTAATAAAGAATTACATGAAATATTGCTCGCTGCATTGAAATCGATATTCCTTGCCGTGAACTCTTGCCTTAAATGGGCTTGTGGTGAAATTCGAAAACAGCGTTTCGCTGTAGAAGAGAACCAGTGAAGGGTTTTCTGGAGAGTTGCTGATATATACAACTGTGTCGGTTGCCATTTTGTCTGAAATTTCAATTCTTCACAATATATGTATGTACATATTCATTAAAGTGTGCAAATGTGTATGTATATTTAAAATAGAGCCAACGACAAAACATTTTCTAGTGCTCAAAATAATCGGACTCAATTATTGTGCCATACATGGTCTTTTGATACTGCGCCGCGGCATCTCTCTGTGAAACTGAACGAATTGCTTTGAAAAAATTGCGCCAAACCGTTTATTTATATCAAACATTGCGCAAAATTTCGCAATTTTTCGATTTTGAAATCGCTTATTCACTATGTATCGCATAGCAAAAAAAACGAGGAGTGCAGAGAAATAAAGAAGAGAACACACATATTATCGATTTTCACCTTGTTTGTTTGTTTGTTGTTTACAAACTGAGCACCCGGTTTACTTGATATTAAATATCTGTAATTAGTGTTAATTATTCGTCATGTTATAATTTGATCACTTCTCGTTTTCCCAAAATCGTCGAGCCTTTGTTGATTCTTTTTCGACAAAAAATTGCGTTTTCGTTCCGCCTCTCGCTTCCTACACTATTTCCAAGGCAACTATTTCCAAGGCGACTCCCATTTTCGGTAAAATGATGGTGTGTTTTAGAGTTCACAAACAAACGATTTGGTTGAAACGATGTCCAACACAAATGAGAGGTTCGTTCGTTTTGAGTTAATCTTTTTGTGTTTTGACCGATTTGATGTGTAACATCGAAACAGCAGCTGTCGGCCGCCACCATCTCGAGCGAACTTTTCGATTTTGTCACATTTCAGAATGTTTCTGGAAGCGGAGACCGCGTTTGGTCTCAATTTGCTCAACACTTTTCCGGCCAATGAATCCCTCGTTTTCTCGCCATTATCCATCGCTCTTGCCCTCTCATTGGTGCACGCTGGCGCCAAAGGCGACACCCGCACCCAAATTGGCGATACCCTTCTAAAAGGATCGAAGGATGATGAGTTGGCTGGTCATTTCTCGAAAATTGGAAACGATTTGAAGAATCCGACAAACAGCGATGTTCAAACCAATGTTGCCAATAGAATTTTCTTGAAGTACAAATTGAATGTCCAAACGCTTCATATCGACTTTTCTCGTTCAGAAATGGATTCACCGTTGAGAAGAGCTATTCCGAGTTCGTTGAGAAGCATTTCGCTGCTGACGCGCAAACCATTGACTTCACCAATGGCGCAGAAGCGGCCAAGGTATTCAAACGATCTTACGTTAACAGAATCCACTGTTCAGATTGTCAATGAGTTTATCAAAAAGAACACCGGCAATAAAATTGACAATGTCGTGCAATCGAGCACCTTCCAAGGTAATCAAGATCAATATAAGTTCTATAAACGACTGCTCAGATGCTCTTGCTCTCTTGGTCAACGCCATCTACTTCAAGGCCAAGTGGAGAGAGGAATTCACGAAATCGGGCGCAGAAAGAGAATTCTCCAAATCGACCAATGATGTAAAAAAGGTAGATTTTTTTTTTCGAAAACTTGAAATATTGCAAATCCGCAGATTCCGTTCATGAGCAGCTACATGGAAGATCAAGACTATGCCGAGGATGACATATTCCAAGTGCTTTCTTTGCCCTACAAGGACACTTCCTATCGTTGTTTGTTCTTCCTTCCAAAGGAGAAGCACGGACTTGCTAGCGCTCTGAAAAAGCTCGACGACAAAAGATTCCAAGAACTTGCTGGAAAGACAAAGACAACATACGCAACTGTAAAACCACATGTTACTATAAACTACTAAAACAATGGATCATTTCTAGGTTCATCTACCGAAAGTCGATCTTAAGAAAGAATTAGAGCTGGTGCCGATTCTCGAACAACTTGGAATCAATGACGTCTTCAGCAACAATGCTGATTTGAGCGGAATGGCAAAAGGTGTGAAGATCAGCGACGTTATCCATCACGCAGTCATTAAAATTGATGAGGAAGGCACCACCGCTGCCGCCGCAGTCGTCGTCAAGGCTGTTCCGATGATGGCACGAATGGAAGAACCAGTGGATTTCATTGCCGATCATCCGTTCCTTTTCGCCGTCGTCAAAGACAATCACCCGTTGTTCCTTGGCACATTCTTCGGTTAATTTTTATGCAAAAAATTTGGAATAACATAGTATATCTAGTTTCTTCACAAATATTCCAAAAAACCAACATTGCGTTTGTTGTTGTTTCATCTTCAAAAAAAAAAACAAGTGTTGTTCACCTATCAAGATAGCAGCTGTTGTTTGTTGAAAAATGAATGCAACGAGAAGAAGCTTCACAGATAATCATGGAGCTTCATCCCGAGGCAAGCCTCGGAATCGATTTGCTCAATGATATCGGAGTTAATCAAGCTGTTGTTATCTCGCCATTATCCATTCTTCTCTCTTTGTCATTGGTGCATTTCGGCGCCAAAGGTCACACCAAGGAGCAGATCAAAGACGTGATAGTGAATGGTACGTGATTATTTTATTGTTGATTCTCTTATCAATTCCATATCGCCAAAAGTTTCTTCAAATACAAATAAAAAACGGTTCATTGAAACTAAAAAAAAAGAGAACTTGATTAATCGAATCAACGTGAATTTAGGTTCCACTCATGAAAATCTTATCGAACATTTCTCCCATTTGCAAAAATTAATCGGCAATGAAGTGAATGATGTGAAGACAAGCATTGCGAATCGCATATTCCTCGCAAAAGACATTGAAATCAACGAAACATATCTTACCGGAATCAATGATCACTATAAGGCTTCTGCGCAGAACATCAATTTTGATGATACTCAAAATGCCGCCAAGGTGTAAATTGACGAGTTTTCTGAAAATTGACAAATTTAGATTATAAACGATTATATCAGCGAGAATACAATGAAGAAGATCACAAATATGATAGGCGCGGATTCGTTGAAAGGCGTCGATGCTGTTCTGATCAACGCAATTTATTTCCAAGCGGATTGGCGGGATAAGTATGCATTGGGTAGCGCGAAAAACCAGGACTTCCACACAAGCGCCACAGAGAAGCGGACGATTCCGTTTTTGAAGAATCACGGCGTTTTCCGTAAATATGCCGAAGATGAATATTTTCGAGTGAGATTTTCGAATTCTCGAAGCTCACACAGTTTTGTTTAGGTACTCTCAATTCCTTACAAGGATAAATCAGCCTCGTTTTTGATATTTCTACCAAAAACGAGATTTGGATTGATGAAATCTTTAAACAATTTCAATGGCGAAAGATTTCACAAGCTTTTCGAAAACCTTACATCGGAATATGTCAAGGTTATTACATCATATTTCTATTCCCAAAATGTCTAAAAATAATTTTTAGACGGCATTCCCGAAATTCAAAATAACGAAGGCTTGGAATTTGAATGATGCATTGAGTAAGAAGGGTCTCCGCGAACTTTTCACTGAATCTGCCGATCTTTCTGGAATCGGTCATAACGTCAAAATATCGAGTATTTCTCATAGCGCGATGATCGAGGTTGATGAATGGGGAACTCGAGCCGCGGCGGCGACAGAAGTCAAATTCTACACGACGTCGGCGATTTCTGGAGAACCGATTAACTTCGTCGCGGATGAACCGTTTTTGTTTGCCGTCGTCAAAGAATCGACACCTTTGTTTATGGGAATTTTCGCGTGATTCAATAAAATGCCCATTTTTTGTTTGCGAACAGTCACCTTGATAATGAAAAGAGTGTGTTTAAAATTAAATGAAAGAGAAAATATTGAAAAAAACCGTATGGGGAAAGGAGAAAAGAAAAAATTATTCGGAAAACAGAAAATCATTCTCTGTGCAGTTTGTTATCTTGATGTTTGCGGACCTTAGTAACTACAGTATACTTCTCGATATATTAATGAAATTATGTACGAATTTTTCTATTCGGACGTCCCATTTCGAAGCCAAAATTCCTCAAAGCGCATTAAATAATGACTTTTAAACTTTTGATATTTTGCTGTCACTATTTCAACTCCTCTCCCTAGTTTTTTCGACCTTATTTCTTTACATGCCTCGACGCTCTTCAACTTGTTTACACCCTTCTCCCCACACTTTTTTTGCTGAACGCGCATTTCACAAACGTTCATTCCTTCCGAGTCGCAATCATGGTTGGTGGTGTCGGCACGAACGAGTAAGTTTCGCAATATTTATTATTCAATAATCAAAATTCCCAGCACTTTCGTTGACAGCGAAACCGCGTTGGCGCTCAGTGTTCTCAAGCAGATCCCAGCTGATGAATCATCTGTTATATCGCCAGTTTCGATTTCTCTCGCTCTTGCACTTCTTCATGCTGGGGCCAATGGGGAAACAAAAGACCAAATCAACAAAGTACTTGTCAACGGTGAGATTCTTCCGTAAATAAAAATAATGATAAATTTCAGGTGGCGACGATTCTGACTTGAAAAGCAACTATGGAAAACTCGCGGCAGCTGCTAAAAATTCCGAAAATGGCGTGATTGTGAATATTGTAAATCGCTTGTTCACCGAAGGTTCAAAAATTGAAAACGATCAATTATTCATTGTTGAGAGATTTTTAGTTTTTCGAATATTTGCATATATTTGAAAAAATTACAGAATTCGCAAATATGAATGAAAAAGAAATCGAGTTGAAATTTTTCGAGGTTTTCAGTGGAAACGTTTCATTGAATGCAAAGTTCATTGATGACATCCGTTTGAATTATCAAGCTGGCGCACAAGCGGTCAATTTCGAAGAACGCGAGCAAGCCGCTGCGGCCATCAACGATTTCGCCGATACGACAACCAGTGGAAAAATCAAGAAGCTTGTGAGCCCTGATGATATGAAAGGTTTTGTTTTCCAATCATCAAATCGATTGTAATTTTCTATTCAGATGCTATTGCCTTCTTGGTCAATGCCGTTTACTTCCAAGCTGAATGGTTGGAGAAGTTTGACAAAAACTCATCAATGGAGTTGGAGTTTGAATCTAATGAGAATTCCTCAAGGAAAATTGAGTTCCTGAATGACTATGGAGTTGATCGCGGTTATGCTGAGAATGACCTCTTCCAGCTCTTATCTCTTCCATATGCTGACACCTCTTTCAGCTTTGTCATCTTCCTGCCAAAGGAAAAGTTCGCGTTGAAGGCTGCTCTTGATGTACGAGTAAAATCCCAACGAATATGAGAAACAGCGTTTTTCTTTAGAAGCTTGATGCAGCCTCCAAGCCCTTCTTTCTCAAGTCTCCCAAAAACACTTGAACGTGTCGATTCCTAAAATGAATATCTCCAAGCAGACCGACCTTAAGGAATGTTTGGAAGCTGTCGGCCTCACTAAGGTCTTCTCTGATGATGCCAATTTTTCGAATATTGCTAGCAACGCCAAAATCACTTCGGGAATCCATAAAGCAGTCATCGAGGTTCGACTCCTTGCTAGTTTTCCTTGACTCCACGCATCCTTACAGGTCGATGAAGATGGTACCACTGCTGCCGCCGCTTCAGCTTTTAAAGCAAGCTTGGAATGCATGCAAGAAACAATCGACTTCACCGCCAATCATCCATTCCTATTCGCTCTGGTTAAGGAGAAGCACATTTTCTTCCTCGGAATCCATGCTTAAAGAATTCATACATATGCTGAAATTTTTAGAGATTGATTTAATAAAATTGGTAGTTTCTTCTGGTAGAATTCACAATTTACTAAAAAAAAAACAATTTGGCTTGAATTTAAGGTTCGGAGATCTCCAAAATAGGTCTTGAGGCGAAAAGAAAAGAGCAAATTGTTTCATGCTTTAAATTTTTATTACGAAAACCTTCAACCTTAATATACAACATATAAATACACGTGAAAAAAATTGAGCATAAACAGAAATTGTACATTGAGTCGAGAAATGGACGGATTTAGTATCCTTCGGAAACGAGCTTGTCATAAGCATCGAGCGTCAAGAAATCCGACATCTTCTCTTCGGTGGCGAATTTTTCGAGAAGCTCGGCCGCCTCTGGAATACGATTGACAACCGAACCGGCGCGAATGAGGCGGCGTTCGGCTTCGGCGGCGATCGTCTGCTTCACAAGAACGGCATCAATGGTTCGGCCGTCTTCGAGTTTCGCGTCATGACGAAGCCATTGCCAGAGTTGAGCACGCGAGATTTCGGCGGTCGCCGCGTCCTCCATCAAGTTGTACAATGGAACACATCCGGTGCCGCGAAGCCATGAGTCAAGATAGCCAAGTGTGACGCTGATGTTGTGACGGAATCCGGCTTCAGTGCGAGTTCCTTCCGGAATCGCGGTGAGGTCTTCCTTGGTGACTGGAGAGCGGGAAATCTGAAAGCAGCGATTTCAAGCCTTTTTTTAGAAATATTAGGATCGTGCTCACCTTCTTCTGGATTTGATTTGGCGACGGCATCATGCTATCAAAGACAGCCTTGGCGACTGGAACGAGACCCGGATGAGCCACCCAGGTTCCGTCGTGTCCATCAGTCACCTCGCGCTCCTTGTCGTTCCTGACGAGCGCGAGAGCCTTGTCATTGGCGACTTGATCATGTTTGATAGGAATCTGCGCGGCCATTCCGCCCATCGCGTGAATTCCACGCTCATGGCACGCCTTGATCACCTCCAATGAGTAGTTTCTCATAAACGGCGCCGTCATTCCGATTTGGAATCGGTCGGGAAGAAGGAATTTGCGGTGCTCCTGGAACGTTTTGATGTAGGAGAAGATGTAGTCCCATCGTCCGCAATTCAATCCAACAATGTAGTCCTTGAGGGCGTAGATGATCTCATGGAGTTGGAAGCTGGCAAGCAAATGCTCAATGAGCACAGTGCACTTGATGGTTCCCTTTGGTAGTCCGAGCTTGTCTTCAGTGTATTTGAACACATCAGCCCAGAGTTGCGCCTCCTCGGCGGATTGGAGCTTCGGCAAATAGAAGTATGGTCCCGAGCCCTGATCGATAAGGGCGCGAGCGTTGTGGAAGACGAAGAGTCCAAAATCGAAGAGGGATCCCGACGTTGGCTGATTGTGAATCAGCACGTGCTTCTCCGGAAGATGCCATCCACGTGGACGGACTTTGAGCACAGCGCGTTCTTTTCCGAGAACGTATTCCTTCTTGGTGGTCGGATGCACATAGGAGATGTTGTTGCGGACGGCGTCATAGAGATTGATCTGACCTTCAAGCTGATTCCTCCATGTCGGCGAGTTTGAATCCTCAAAGTCCGCCATGAACACGTTGGCTCCCGAATTGAAGGCATTGATGATCATCTTGCGATCGGTCGGTCCGGTGATCTCAACGCGACGATTCTGCAAATCCTGCGGAATCTCGGCACCGCGCCATCCAAAATCGCTGCGCAACTTCTCGGTTTCAGCGTTGAAGTCGGGGAACCAGATCGACGAGTTGATGTCCTCCTGAACGCGTTGGCGTTTCGCGAGAAGCTTGAGACGACGCGGATTGAATTCGGTGTTGAGGTCGCGAATGAAGCGAAGCGCGTCCGGCGTGAGAATCTTCTCGTCGCCAGCGACTGGACTAGCGGTGAGCTGCAATTAGGGACGATTAAATTAAAGTAAAAAAAAAAAAAACAAATATTAGACTACCGAAAGGATCTCCTCGTCTTCGGTGGCACTTGCAGATGTTTGGAATTGAGCCTCTTCGGTGGATCCTGAAAGCGCGGTGGTGCTCGAAAGTCCGCCAGTAACAGCCTTCGAGACACTATCAAAGTATCCGGTTCCGACTTCTCTCTGATGCTTCACCGCCGAGTATCCGTGCTTCTCCGCCTCGAATTCGCCCTCCTGCAATTTCGAGTAGGCGAGCATTCCGTGCTCCTTGTAGTTTCGCGCCAAATCGAACATGCTATAGCTGTTGGCGTGGAATCCGGCGAGTGTGATGAACTGATATTTGAATCCCATCGCGCCGAGCTCCTTCTGGAACTTCTCCATTTGCGTCGGCGAGAGATGCTTCTTCCAGTTGAACGACGGCGAACAATTGTAAGCGAACATCTTGTCCGGATACTCGCGGCGAACGCCTTCAGCGAACTCGCGAGCATCAGCGATGGTTGGATGCGAAGTCTCCATCCAGATGAGATCGCAGTACGGAGCGTATTGAATTCCGCGCTCAATGCAATACTTGATGGCTGTCGAATCCTTAAGCCGATAGAATCCTTCCAACGTTCTTCCAGCATCATAATCGATGTATGGATGATCGCGTTCATCAATATCCGATGTCAATAGACGTGACGATTCGGCGTCAGTTCTGGCAACGATGATCGTCGGCACACCGCAAACATCGGCGGCGAGTCGAGCGGCGTTCAAATGGCGAATGTGCTGCGCAGTAGGAATGAGCACCTTTCCACCCATATGACCGCATTTCTTCTCCGAACCCAATTGATCTTCGAAATGAACACCGGCGGCGCCGGCTTCAATATAGGCCTAGAAATAGAAAGAAATTGATAGTGTTATCATCATTCGGTGTAATAAACAAAATAGCAAACGAGTTTTTCATTGGTTGGTTAGAGGTCACGGAAGAAACCCAAAACAACACTGATCCCCTCACACCTTATTTAGATCTTCCTGGCTACCCTCTCGCTATTTTCAACTAATATGTTCACATTGATCAATTGAACCTCGAGCAGACAGGGGTCACTTTCGTGGTCCTCAAGGCCAACTGCTCATGTCAGTTGCTCACCTTCATCAATTCAAAACAATTCAACGCGCCACCGAAACCGGCTTCTGCGTCGGCGACAATCGGTGCATACCAATCGCGTTGCGCCAGGAAGTCCTCGGCTTCGCACGCCTCGATCTGCAACAATTCGTTTGTTGTTTGTCCATTCCATATTTGGAGAGTTATCATTGAATGATAAGATATGCAGCGTTGCGTCGAAACCACATTCATTACTAACCTGGTCGGCTCTGCGCAATGATCGGTTGATGCGGCGCGCGAGTTCAGGTCCCGAGTTGGCTGGATACAGCGACTGATCGGGATACATGTCTCCAGCGGTGTTCGCGTCGGCAGCAACTTGCCATCCCGACAGGTAGATGGCCTTCAATCCAGCGCGGACCATCTGAACCGCCTGATTGGCCGTCTGGGCTCCGAGAGCAGGCACAAAGTTCTCTGTGTGCAGCAATTGCCATAACTGGAATCAATGGCTGATTTGCAATAATCAACGGGACTAAAAATCTCTGCCTACCTTGTTCGCTCCTCTCGTCGCCAATGTGTATTCGATATCAATCGATCCGCGAAGTCTAAGCACGTCTTCAATCTTATAATCGCGTTTGATTCCCTTGAATCTTCCTTTGGGTGCCGATTTGACGACCTTAAAATGACGACCCTAACGTCTTCTTCGATTCAAGAAAATACTTACTTGATAGAAATTCTTGGCTGTCTGCTGCGACATTATTAGTGGCGAGGAGCTTCTGAAAAAAAAATATTAAGACAACGTCAACGATGGCAACACAAAATTTTTCTAGAGTCGTTTCTCATCAGCGACGGTGCCTTTTAAACAAATTGGCACCGTGAAGAGGGTGCACGACGACGAGCGCGTGATTGTTTGTTGGACCCAGGTCTGAATGGGCGTGGCCTACTACTACTGAGAGATGTCTGAATGACTACAGCGTGGTTCCGCAGAATGCTACCAAAAATGGTAAGCATCGATTACATATATTAGTTGGAAGCAAACATCAAATTAATGAGTCTCTCCGAAGACTTGGTGGTGGTGGTGTGATTCCGAATCGGTTTGCTTCCTTCCACAGGTTCACGATCTGATCGTTCTATGGGTAGATCATTGATCTTAGGTAAGCTTCGTTGAAATATAGACTTGTTGACGATTTTTGTGTGCTTTAGTGTTGATAAGAGCAAAGTGCAAATAAGTCGGTCCAAAATGCGTGTTTTCTTTTTGTCTGATATTGGAAGAAGAACAAATTTAAAAAAAAGATTGATTTTTCAAAATGGGGGGGGGAATCCGAAGAAGGACGATTCCATAAAGACACCTATTGATTCTCGCCGCTTCTCGGAGAGAATTTTGAAATTCTGCAAAGCACCCAAATGGCATCGTATTCTCTAGGCATTGTCACTTCTTCTCCGCAAAATAAACCCGATTCGATTCTCGTTGATAAATATGTTTACCGGCGAAACCACGTGTGTCCAAAAAGAACCCGCTGATATGAAACAAGGTCAGCAATCATTCTACCCCTCTAGTTGCACTTTGCCCCTTCCAAACACCATCACATCGCTTCTGATCCATTATATTTTTGCAATCGCCAATTGCTTTCTTACATCGTGCTCGTTCTTTCAGCGGACTATCACGGTCTGAAAGTGTCACGTTTCGGCGTTCTTTGATGTCTGGCGTCTCTCTATCGAACGCCGCACGACGGTGTAGTCGACGTTACATTTGTATCAAAATCAATTGATACGACGATTGTAGAGAAAAGGAATCAAGTTGGATTTGATGCGGACTAGTTTTTGAGATCGCGGATTCGATGGTCCATTCTAGAAAACTTCATAATCACTATAAAAATGATGAAAAAGGGATCACTTTTTTTTAAATAACGTACAAATCAAAAATTGCTAAAACATGGAGAAAAAGTGGATTAAAACTGATCTTTTGAAATCCTCCTTTCATCCAAAATGTTTGACTTCCTATTTACCCCCCAAAACAATTTGCTTATCAAATTTTATATCATATAAACATTTTAAGGGGGTATTCAAATAATGAACACTGGCGTCTAGTCATTTGAAAGGAAATGTCTTGAATTTTTTTGAATTTCGAATTCAATCAGATCTTGAGACAGTGCAATCGTCGCAGAATTGCAGTGATGTGATCAGAGAACACTTCATTTATTGCTTGCATTGTAACATATGGCCGGTTGGGAAAATGTTTATGCGAGATCAAAGTCCTGTTACTAATTATTCCAATTCAGAAACGTTTTTTTTTATTCGTTGGGTTTCAACAAGAAATTTAATGGCATATTTGACAAATTGATGATTAAGATCGTTTAAGGACCATATGGTTTGAAACCATATTTAGGCGGTATTTTCTAGTATCTTTTATTTCGCGCATTTTTCAGAATACTCAAAATTATAAAGCTAACAAGGGAGGTCTTTTTGTCTTAATTTTTTTTGATTTTTTGCATACAGATTCTTTAGACAATTTCCAATTGAATGAACTAGGTCCCTACATGCGTCAACTTCTAGTTATCGAGATGTGGACCCTCAAATTTTTAGCCCCTCCCCACGTGAATTTTGCATAAAAATGTGCAGAAACTCAAAATGAAATAACGGGATGTCTTATCTCGCACTTATTGTAAACAAATAACAAATAGTTTTTTGGCAGTTTTTCCATGCGAGACCCAAGGCGGCAAATTCAAAAATCCAAAATATCTAAATCAATATTCTCGGCCTTCACCTATGGAAAATCTTTGAGAATAATTGATTTATGCAACCATATAAACATGATCCAGATCGACGTCATTGTTTTGACGATATTAATGATCGTAAAGCGGGCACATGGCGGCGTATTGATCAAAGGTGCAAAGTACAACGTGGCGAATCTGGGTGTTCTTTGGTGTCGTTTGAGAAAACACAAGATAACGGTCGGGTCGAGAGCGCAACATGTGTGGCGAAAGGGGCTCCCCCCGATTCACTCAGCTGAGATTGACGAATAGAGTTCGCTGAGACTATGTAGTACAGAACAACCGAAAGAGTCAAACCAAAACTTTCAAATTTTTTTTTATTTGGTGGGAATCATAATGCTTTACAACGCGACCGATTATGTTCTGCGAGTTTAATTCAAAGCAATCTTAGTATTAACAATGAAAACCTGAAAATGGAATGTTATCTAATATATTTTGAAAGCATTAAAATTTCTCGCACTGTAATGTGCCTGTAAGAAAAGTGTCATCGTCAATGTAGACTCCATGTAAGTCTTCTACCGCTTTTCGAACATACGGGATCAGTCCAAGATCCTTTTTCATCATACGCTCCATCGAAGATTTTCTCATACCGAGCTCCAAGCTCATCTTTCTCATGCTCCGGTGCGGATTTCGACGAATTCGTTTTCTGGCGACCTTGATCCTCTCCGAAGTGATAGAACTGCGAGGTCTTCCACTTCTCGGACGGTTTTCAAGTCTGTTACGGTTTTCCAAACTGTTGATCGAGAGATTCCGAGAGCTTTTGCTATGCAACTGTCGCTCTTTCCTCACGTAGCCATATCGATAATGGTACCTCGGTGCACTGAATTGGCTACCATTTCGGTAAAAATGAAGCTAGGAACTAGAAAATTTGGGAAAAGGGTAATTAAAACATGCTGAAAAATAAAAAATAATAAAACTGGTCCACGAAAAATGCGCCAGAATCTGCCAGAAGACCTCAAACTTGGGTTTCCATAATAATGGGCCACCCTGTACAAATATTATCGACGTCCAGTGACTGCTAGAATTGGCGGCCAAGAAGAGGCGGCCTTCTCGTGGTCTCGTGCGGACTAACTTGTCATTTTATGGATCGATTCGATAATTGTTAAATCGAATGACGTGGAAATGTCAAGGAAATTCCAAATTCTTTAAAAAATTGCCGTTCACATGAAAATAGCAAAATAAGCCTTCGCCTGTGTCATATCAGTTAACTATATTTATGAAACCAATGCTGGATGTGTATTGGAACCAACGACTAGGGAATGGATCGCATACGATTAGAAAGGAAAATCAGCCAAATCGAGCCATTGCTATCAACCCGAATCGCCACCTTAGAAGAGCGACCATTTTCACGTAATTTTTAACCCAATTGAGAGCACTTAAAGAAATTATACAACGGGTTATTCTTACCTTGAAGGTCGCTTACAATAACGCGGTTTCTCGATTTATTTTATTTATTTTTAATTTTCCGGTATCCAAGCGACAATATGAAGTGCTTCAATGCTTCATGCAAACGATCAACCGGTCAACACACCAAATACTACGTTCAAGCTAGAAACAAGTGCATGCTTGACGATTATTTTTGTTAAACAAACTGATGAGCCGTTCGTTGACATTGTGATATTCAACAAAAAATTTTATTGCGCAATCATGCCGGTTCTGAGAATTTGGGGTATAAAAGAGCTGGGAATCACCAAGAAGAATCACATTTGGCAACAATGCGCTTCTTCTTCGTGCTCTCCGCTCTATTCCTTCTTGCTTCGGTAATTAATTAATTTTATAATTCGTTTATAATTATTTTAGGCAACGTCTCTTCGCGAAAAGAGACAGTGCGGTTGCTCAGATCAGCCGACGTGCTCCTGCCAGCAATCAACCCCACAACAGTACACCTGCGCTTGCCAGCAACAGGCTCCGACTTCTTCCTGCTCATGCTCCCAGCAAGTCGTCCAAGTTCAAACTGCAAAATGTGTTCCAGCTTGCCAGCAGAGTTGCACCCAACAATGCTCTACTCCACAATGTAGCCAACAATGCGTCCAACAGTGCCAGACAACATGCGCTGCTGCCCCGGTCATCCAGACTCAGACTTGCGCTCCAGCTTGCCAGCCAGCTTGTCAGTCAACTTGCGTCGCCCAACCCTCAGCTGTCCAGCAATGCCAGCAACAGTACTGCCAGCCACTCTGCCAACAGGCGCCAGCGGCCCCTCAATGCCAGCAATGCCAAACCGGCTGCCAGTCTTATCCAACGGTCGCTCCTCAACCACAGGTGGTCAGCATCGTGCTCCAGCCAACCATCACACAATCCGCTCAATGCATGCCACAATGCCAGTCTTCCTGCCAACAGCAATGCGTCGCCCAGCAACAGCCAGTCCAGCAGTGCGCTTCATCCTGCCAAACAACTTGCCAACGATCCTGCCAGCCAGTCCAGGTGCCTTGCCAGGAGCCAGTGAGCACTACCACCTGCTCCTGCCAGGCCAACTACTCCCCATGCGGAAACGGTCAATGCTGCAGAAGATAGATACGATGTAGACATCCAATTTTGTCTGTACAGGGTGTCATTTAAGTTCCCGCACAAAAGTTAGACGCCATGAAAAGCTTGGCTGTCGCACTTTTCGTGCACCAATACAATTTATTTTTGTTAAATAAGGTGTATTTTACTTACTTTTCAAGTTTCACTTCATTCGGATGTGTTTCCGAGAAATGGCGAAGGCTAACATCCATTGCGCTTCCATTATCGAACTTCATAAGCGAAATGAGCGCCCGACAGAGATCATTCAACGCCTCGGTGTGCCTCGTAGAACGGTTTAAGACACCAACAAACGTTTCAAGGAGCTAAATACGACCAGTGACCTTCCCAGACAAGGAAGACTCGTCTCAGTAACCACTCCTCAGAAGATCAACGCCGTCAAAACGAGGATCAGGCGAAAACCGCACAGGAGCATAAGAAAGATGGCGTCAGACATGGGAATGAGCATCTTCGCTATGGAACAAATGGTCGAAACGAAGCTTGGACTGACCCCATATCGCGTCCAAAAAGCGGCAATTCTATCGGCCGTCAACTAGCAGAGACGCTTCGAAAAAGCAAAACGACTTCTTGCTCGCACGCGGTCTGGACAAGATCTCGTCACTGTCTTCTCCGACGAGAAGCTATTCACTGTGGAGACGGCATTCTACTCACAAAACCATTGAGTACTTGCCCAGACATCCCAGAAAGCTTCTGAGAAAGGAAGAACAATTCATCCAGCCTCACATCCTGCCAGTGTGATGGTTTTCGGTGCCATCTGCTCAACCGGGAAGTGCCCCTGGTTTTCGTGGATCAGGTGGTGAAAGTGAACAAAGAAGTCTACGTTCGGGACATTTTGGGGAAGCATATGATGCCCTGGGCCCAAACGCATTTCGGTGGGATGATATGGGTCTTTCAACAGGACGGAGCACCCGCCCCTACTGCCAAAACTACTCAGGAGTGGTGCCAGACCCATTTTCCCGACTTCATCAAGTCATCCGAATAGCCTGCTTGCTCCCCAGACCTGAACCCGCTTGACTTCTCCGTGATGGGGTCTTGCAGGAGAAGGTCAACGCAAAACCCCACTCAAGTGTAGAGGCTCTGAAGAAGACATTACTGGCGGAATGGGACAATCTTTCCATCGAATACCTGCGTACCACAGTCACATCCTACCCGAAGCGTCTCCGCGAAGTCATAGCTGCGAAAAGAGGCCGAATCGAAAAGAGTTAATAGATAATTATTTGTTGTACTATAGATAAAAAATATTTCGAGTCTCGTTTGATTTGGACTTTTAGTTTCAGAAATATACGTCTTCAAAGTTGTGCGGGAACTTAAATGACACCCTGTAAATAGATGAATAAATATTATTAATTCACTGATTGATGATCTGAAGTTGAAAGTGTTTTGATGTTGTCCGCAACACGCACAGAATACGACATTTCTCTCAAAATCGAGTCTTTTTTTGCAGTTCGTATTGAAGTTTTATAGATATTTTTTAATAGATGGAATTAGGTTTTTTTTCAAATATTCATCGTGGTTTTTTTTTCATTTGCATCATATCTGTAGAAAAGCCGTAAAAAGAATCATATTCGGTCAATGGAATGTGCGTGATCTCTAAAGAAATTCGATTTGGGTTCGTTTTCTCTCCACTCGAAAATGATTTCTTCGGATAAAATTTAGAAATCCATGATGAATGTATGATACTATTTTCTGAAAGGAGCAGGTGTCTGAAAATTAAAAAGATCTCAAAAGATGGGAAATTTATTTTAGATTTCAGATGAATCTTAAATGTTATTTTATTTTTTACGACTATGAAAAAAGGACTCCGTCGTCTTCATTGATTCATCAGTCGACTATTCCATGTTGAACCCAAGGCCGGATGGGTTCAGAGACAAACTCGACGAACAGCTACACCAAATGCGAGATTTTTGCTAGGAATCTGATAGATTAAGCCAACATCCGAATAAAAGATGAACCGAAAGTCGAGAAATTCTCAGAACGCGATAATATGATTTTGAAAATATGAAGAAAACTGACTGAAAGCGACACTGCTGATTGGAATCAAGTGAAAACGACAAAGAGAGAAGCTCACAAATCAGTTAAGAAGAATTTTGGATCATTCAAAGAAACCCGCGTTCAGCTTATAAACAATCAATTTTTCTCGAAGAGACTTGGAATTTTCAAATCCAAAGAAGCCCTACACAAATTTGTGCGTTTCGGTTAAATTTCTTTCTTTTCTTTTCTATAGTTCTCTAAAATTTTTGACATCAAAGCAGCAATATGAAGTGCTTCAATGCTTCATGCAAACGATCAACCGGTCAACACACCAAATACTACGTTCAAGCTAGAAACAAGTGCATGCTTGACGATTATTTTTGTTAGACAAACAGATGAGCCGTTCGTTGACATTGTGATATTCAGCAAAAAATCTGATTGCGCAATCATGCCGGTTTTGAGAGTTTGGGGTATAAAAGCGGTGGGAATCAGCAAGAAGAATCACACAGGACAACAATGCGATTCTTCTTCGTGCTCTCCGCTCTATTCCTTCTTGCTTCGGTAATAAATTAATTTTATAATTCGTTTATAATTATTTTAGGCAACGTCTCTTCGCGAAAAGAGACAGTGCGGTTGCTCAGATCAGCCGACGTGCTCCTGCCAGCAATCAACCCCACAACAGTACACCTGCGCTTGCCAGCAACAGGCTCCGACTTCTTCCTGCTCATGCTCCCAGCGAACTGTCCAAGTTCAGACTGCACAATGTGTTCCAGCTTGTCAGCAGAGCTGCACCCAGCAATGTTCCACTCCACAATGCAGCCAACAGTGTGTCCAGCAGTGCCAGAATACATGCTCTGCGGCCCCGGTCATCCGGGCTCAGACTTGCGCTCCTACTTGCCAACCAGCTTGTCAGTCAACTTGCGTCGCCCAACTTCCAGCTGTTCAACAATGCCAGCAACAGTACTGCCAGCCACTCTGCCAACAGGCGCCAGCGGCCCCTCAATGCCAGCAATGCCAAACCGGCTGCCAGTCTTATCCAACGGTCGCTCCACAGCCACAGGTGGTCAGCATCGTGCTCCAGCCAACCATCACACAATCCGCTCAATGCATGCCACAATGCCAGTCGTCCTGCCAACAGCAATGCGTCGCCCAGCAACTGCCAGTTCAACAATGCGCTTCATCCTGCCAGACGACTTGCCAACAATCCTGCCAGCCAGTCCAGGTCCCTTGCCAGGAGCCAGTGAGCACTACGACCTGCTCCTGCCAGGCCAACTACTCCCCATGCGGAAACGGTCAATGCTGCAGAAGATAGATACGATATAGACGACCAATTTTGTCTGTAAATAGATGAATAAATATTATTAATTCGTTGATTGATAATCTGAAGTTGCAGCATTTTCGATGTGGACTGCCAGTAGCGATTCTAATTATTCATATTAGTATTACTTTTCTTAGTAATCGTTTCAATTAATAATAATAATTTTTAGATTGAGACGAGGGCTGTTAGATGAGCTGTTAAAAATTCAATTTAAAAATCAGTTTTGTAATATTAAAATCCACTAAGCAATTCGAAAAAAAACGAACCATGGCTGGTTTTGCTTTAAACCTCGGGGGTTCCACGGGGTGTTCCCAAAAACTATCACAAAACTTGTTTACCCTGCGAGTACGACACTCCAATTTCACAAAATGTTCCGCCGGTTATCCCAAACCAAAAGGTGTCCCCCTTTTGTTTGATATGCTAAAATTTCTCTACTTTACGTTAAAATTGGATTAGAAAAAACACTGAATTTTTAAAAAACACTCAACCAAAAAGAAATGCCACAACTACGACATTTGTTTTCGCCCCATAATTAGCGTACGAAGGGTGTACGTGGATTTGATCAGGCTCTCAAACATTCTCATATTTAATGCTTCTAGGCAACAATTTCTGTCCGGTGCCATGTCCCGGCTATTACGAGCCGATTCTGCATGTCATCGGCGTCATCTCGACGATACTCAACGTGTTCGGCATCTATTTGACGATGTACCGATCGACGCACAAATCCAAGTATCGCTTCTGTCAGCTCTACGTGCAATTGACCGCGTTCTGCACCGAATTCGATCTTTCGATTATCAATCCCGCCTATTTCTATTTTCCGATGATCGGCGGTATCAATTGCGGAATGTTTCGGCATTTTCAAGTCAAATATGAGATCACCTCGCATTTTTGTATAGTATGTTCATCGATAATCGACTAGAAATTCTCCAATGCCATCATCAATTTCAGACGATTTTCGCTTTCATATTTTCACTTCAAGTGCCATCCATGTTTTGCTGCTTCTTATACCGTCATCAAATCGCTGCAAAATGCTCACCATCAGCGGTAATTTCTTGTCGTTTTAATCCAGAATCTCTTCTTTTCAGATTATGACATTCAATAAGCATACTATTTATCTATTACTCGCCATTTTTCACATAATTCCAGTCATGTTAACGATTAGTCTTTATAAATCGAAATTGACAATGGCGGAGAAGAAAGAATCAATAAATTTGGTATGAATTTCAATTTGTTCACTAAATATCTACCAAGTTTTTTACTTTTTTATTCGGCAAGTTCAAAATAGCTTAATTGACCAATTATGGGAAAAATCGCATAAAATGTGAAACTAGAAAATAATTCCAAAGAGGAATAATTTCACTGTTCAATTTTTTTAAATTTAAAATTTACTTTCTCAATGTGGCCAAAAATCCATTTCATATTTGAAAAAAAAAATTATTTTTTAGCTGGAATTTTTTTGAAATATTTTCAGAATTATCCCGATTGTTATCATGTGCTTCAAGACTTCACATTCGACATGTATGATCCGAATATCAATGCGAATTTTCTAATATTTGTGTTCCTCGTCTCATTCCTCATATTAATTTCGATAATTTCGTCGAGTTTTATGACCTGGAGAACCGCGAATATTCTGAACATGTATCGCGCGATCATGTCAACGCGGACCTATCAAATGCAGAAGGCGTCGTTGACAGCTCTGACAGCGCAAGTCAGTCGTGGTTTTGTAATTCTACAGAATATCGAAGTTGTTCATTTGTCTGTATACAATTCATATGAATAACTTTTAAAAAAATTTTGTTTGACGCAAAAAGTTGAGGAAAAGGATATCAAAAATTCACGTTCCGCTTCACAACCGCAAAGGTGTGCATACACACACGCGCAAAATTGCACACATCTGATTTATTTATTTATTTTTTCATCAATTCTCTTTTATCAAAGAAATAACGATTGAATTTCGTTTAATATTCTGTGGCGTGAAATTTCAGTCAAAAACCGGATAATTTTTGATGTCAAAAATCCAAAATTAGGTACAATTTTAGGGGGGATAATTAGGGTCTCTAAAAAATTTACTTGTTCATATATTTTTTTTTCTCTTGAGATCTCCGCTCCCTCAGTGATTTTTGGCATTCCGGTCGCTTCGGTTTATTCGGTAATGGCCGGAAATAGCAGCACGTTCCACGGTACCCCAGCAAGCTTCATCATTGTCCAAATATGTTCCGAGTTTCAGCGTTCGCCGCAACCGCTCCGATGTTCGTCTCAATGCACTCGATGGCGTTCACATTGTGCCTTATATTCACAAATGCCCAATTTCGGCGAATTGTGTTTCATCGCTTCTACAAGCACTTAAAGTAACCAGCACCAAATTTGTCATTAAAGGAATTCCTCTTTTTTGATTTTTTTCAGAGTTCAAACCACCAATTTCTATCCTCGCCGTGTTCATACGGTATTTTAATCGATTTATTACATGCTTTTTGTTCACGATTTATTTTGATGACTAGCTTTTATAATTAATTCGGATTTCTTCAAAATCGTTCGAGCCACCATAAATGCTTCAACTGCACACCCCAAGAGTTTGGCGGCGGCGCCATACGGGCCGAGATTCTGAAATAATTGATATTAATAGAATATGTGAACAAATCAGCAATCAATTTGTGTTTATTTGGATATTTACGAAAGAGAGAGCAATTATTGCCGACATAACCGAATACTGTAACTCGTGTGGACGCATACTCTAAATTTGTGTGCAGGGTCTTGACGCGAATCAAAACGTAGTCTCTGGCAGGCAATAAATTTTGTTTGCTTTTTTCGAAATCTCTTTATTTTTCATAGCATTGTTGATCCATTAGCTAAATTTCAGATGGCAAAAGCTCACCTCAAATGACATAGCTAAACTATTCCCATAGATATTGGCAATAAGTGACGGCACAAAATCACAGAAAAATGTTGTGATACCATCGATAAGTGCTAATTTGTTCGCCTCGATGGGGAAATTGTTAAGAAATTCTGACGATTAGACACTCACCTGCGACAATTCCCTTCGAGCGATGGATCGCTCGCCGCATTTGTTGAGAACAAACAGCTTGCATGACAAGATGAATGAGAAGAGGCCGGTAAACGCGAAAATTGCCTGCAAATTCACAATTCGAAAATTCATTCAGTTTCGCATGAAAGATTACTGTCTTATGTGTGGTCCAATATTTCCGAAAGCATCCGTTTACGGCACATCCAAAAGCCACACAATTTTGCATTGGACCAAGTTCAAAGTTGCAATATTTGAATAAAACAACATCTTCAAAAATGCCGAAACATAAACTGAAGGCTAATATGGACACTGTTGGAAGGCTCTCGCGATTGTTGTGGAACCATATTGGAAGATATGCGGCCTGAATGAAACCTGAATCATCAAAAAGAGCATATTTCTTTTACCAGTAGTCTTTCTATTAATATTTCCAAACTAATAATTGATCGCGCTGCGCCGATATTTGAAGAAAACAGACTTGTATAAAACAGAATCGGCTTGTATACTGATAATCGTCGTGGGCACCAAATGTAGAGAATTACGAAGCCGAGATATGTTGCGACTGAAAATGTGAAACGAATCTGCAATTCGATTTTCGAGATTTACCTAAACATCCGAGAAAAACGTCAATGCAAAATCGGTAATAAAATAGAATATAATCGTGGCCATGCTTCTTCACTCGCCTTAATTAATTAACGAAATCATAAAGACCAGACAACGTGGACAGCGGCCGTGGATTTCAGCGGCCACAGAAATTAGTCTTCGGCAATTTTGAAAAAAAAAGAGCACCTTGAATAAGAAAACCATCGCACAATTTCGAGGCGGTCATTCAAATTGGAATTTAAACAGTGAAAATTCGGTTTCCGTATAACGGATAACCTGCGAAGCAAACTCACTGTTAATCGGCCGCAAGGAGCTCGTAATGCCTTAATTTTATTATCTAAGCTCCGCCCAATAACTCATGCATATTTTAAGAACAAAATCCTTAATGCTGTTTTTTTTTGTAAATGTTAATTTCTCTATATTTCAAAATTTAAATGGCTAGAAATTAGTGGAAAATTGGCCGTGAAATTCCGCGGCCGCCTTGAAACTCGTCCGCCACTCGCATCCTAACCGTTTCATTTTGATAAAAAACTGAAAATTGAACGTCGCGGTGAATATCGATGAAACGAAGCCAATAATAGACATAAATAAGGGAATAATATATAATGGCATTGTTCGATGATCGAAATCGCTGAGAAATTCGACGAGTATGCGATGGACTTGGCTCGGATGATGGCGAAGAGATATGAGCAACGAAAAAAGAAACCTCTCCAAATTATTTATGAAGAGAATTTGTTGTCGATTCCTCCTGAAAAAAACATTTGTCTAATTGAATGACACTATTTTTCATGGAATTGAAATGAAGCACTCGAACGTCATTAGAGTTATTGTCGCGCGACTGCGGAATATTGGCTAAATGCCAAAAAAATTTAAAAAGAGGTCTCACCGCGCGGTGTGAGGCTTTAACCTATCCTTATACTTAGGCTCGTAAATCTACACGTTTATTTTTGCGCCAAGACCACTGTCATTGTTTTTTCTTTTTCGCATTTAGCCAATTTTCCGTAACCGACAATAAAATAAATAGATACAATTCGAAATATCTAACCAAGACGATCAAAAAAATTGGGAAAAAAACGAAAAAAAGAATTCTTTCGGAAAAAAATTTTTATGGAGAACACAACTTCCGGATTTTTTTCTGTATCGCTTTGATTTTTTTTCAGCACGTTTTAATGACAACAGACTTCATTCTTCGAGAATTGTTTTCATCATACGATTGCTCAAAACGAACTTCAAAATTATTCAATTTCTAGGTATAATGGAGCAAGGCAACAAGAATTCGTTATAATTTATTGAAATCGAATTAGCATCACATTTTTAAAATTTGAGAGAAATGAATTGAATTTTCGATTAATCATCATTAAACTCTCAAATAACCTCCACTCGGCTGTCACTGCCAACATTTTCTTGGAACACGCGTGGCGAGTGACAGTAGAGAGGATAGAAATAAAAAAGGAATGTTCTATTTTTAACTACATATTTTCAAATCAATCTATATTTGGTTGTCACCCACAATATTCCAGGAACTCCCAAGAAGATATTGATGCGCGAAATTCGCCCTCAAACGACAATTTTTAAAAAAATTGATCAAAAAAGGCCAATGTTCATTGACTCATACTTTTTGACTTGACTCATGATTTTTGACTCATAAAAATTGTATCATGATTTTTTATTCTTTGACTCATGATTTTTGACTAGTGATTTTTGACTAATTTTTTTTTGACTAACAATATTTGACTAATGATTTTCTGAATTTTTTTAGTTGAGATTCCTGCAGTTTTTTCAGTATTCAATTCTGTTTTTTTGGCCAATATTGATGGGTAAGAAGCTGAAGGGTGGGAGGAATTGGGAGAAATGTTAACACAGTTTTTATTCGATAACATATTTATTAAAAACTTTTAAAATTAATCAATCATTGAAATTTTCGATAGATCATTATACCGTTAAAACTTTATCAAAATGGTACTTCTAACAAAACAGCCTTCAAAAAACTTCTCAAAGTATAACAATGTCTTATTTTTTGAATATACCGTTTTTCCTGAATTTTGATGAGAAATCGAAAATTATGTCGTTTTAAAACAGGCCTGACCGTATAAGCTAAAATAATTTGCAAAATAAATTAATAAAAAATCACTTATCGCGTTATTCCATCCATTTCCCTCTTTTATTCACGCTCAATAATGAATGATATCGAATAAAAACTGTGTTTAGTTGTTTTCATTAAAATAACGGAGACTACTAAAAAATATCAAATCATACATATCATTTGGCCTACTACGGATATTCGTTTAATGTTACAGTCGATTCCTTCGGTGGATCCGCTTAGCTGGGATTACGCTTCTCATTGAAATCGATAAGCGATGAAATGCCAAAAAAAAACAATTTTTTAAGCTTACAGAAGTTAGAAGAACTTTTTTTCCTTTCAGTAATAATCTTTCCCCCATTCAGTAATAACATTTCTTCCAATTCCTCCCACCCTTTAGCTTCTTACCCATCAATATTGGCCAAAAAAACAGAATCGAATACTGAAAAAACTGCAGGAATCTCAACTAAAAAAATTCAGAAAATCATTAGTCAAAAATTGTTAGTCAAAAAAAAATTAGTCAAAAATCACTAGTCAAAAATCATGAGTCAAAGAATAAAAAATCATGATACAATTTTTATGAGTCAAAAATCATGAGTCAAGTCAAAAAGTATGAGTCAATGAACATTGGCCATCAAAAAAATTAATTAAATTAATTCTCCTTTTATTTTATGACTACATATATTTCGAAAATAATTTTCGATTTTTTGAAATGAGCTGAAAATTTAGAAAAGAAAAAAAACGAATAATTTTATAAAATCTGCAGAGGAAATTTTAACATTTTAAGTTTTTTTTGAGTTTTACTTAAACAAAATCAGCATAGCTTTAAAAAATTGCAATACGGAATGAGAATACGAAGAAGAAACAGTTTTTCCTTAAAAATATTTTCATAAAATATTTATTTTTTGTCACTTATTCATTTAAGCGAAGGGGGGGGGGGCGACTATGAATAAAATTTAAACTCAAAATTCTTGTAATCATTTAAATTTTATTTAATATGAAATTCATAGAAAACTATTCACTAGGCATTCAAAATGTGAATTATTTCGGGGAAAGTTTCAGACAAGATTTTGAATATGGAAAGTAAATTGGCTTTTCTTCGAAGATCAAAATTTTCAAACTCAGATTGGTCATTCAATTTAGTGGAATTCATCTGTCTTCGACGACATGTGATTAATAAAACGTTCAAAGATTGAAGCGTTAGGTGAATTGGTTGATGAGCAATGAAGTATTGCCTCGAAAACGAAGGCAATTTCCTCTGAAAATGAAAAACAAGACCAGATGGAAATGAATAATGCGAAGTTTCTTGTTATTATAAAGTTATTGATTTTGAATGAAAATGCAACGCAAAATCAAGTTTGTCTTCGAAAATTTCCCATCTCATTTTTTTTTATTTATCAATGAAATCTGTCATATAGTCGGAGACCGACGCCGACCAAGAGCTATTATTATTCTTGAGATTTTTGTCGTCTTGAAATTGCTTGCCATTTCTTCCGCGTCAGTTCAGTGCCGATTTCGTATCTTTTGGCAAAAATTGAAATTCTAAAGTAATTTTTTACAGATTTACTGCAGAATTGGATACAGGAATTTATGGTCCGGCAAGTAAGAAATATCATTTGTTTTGACGATGATGGTTCGATCCCAACGCGTCTATTTCCTATTTTCAAACAATCAAACTACTTTGATTGAAACAATAGGGCACGAGGAGAAATCTCAAATTCATAAGAGCAATGATAATTACGAAGCAATTTTCTGCAAAGTTCTCAGCGAAATCAACAAATGATCAAATTCTTCACTTAAAATCCGTAATTTCTTCTGTAGTATTGAATTTGTCCCCCTTTTCAATGATTAAAAGTGCACAGAAGCATTTAGATAAGAATTTCATGCATTTTTTTCCAATTTCATAAATCATTATTTACAATTGTTTCGGATGTATTGTGGTCGTCGATGGCGTTGGAGTGCTTGGTGTATAATTGCCATTATTGAGCACTATAATAAGCACCGAGCCAGCGAGCAATCCGCCCCAAATTCCCCAAAACAGGACAATAGACAGAACCCTGAAAATAATCAACTTTTCAATTTTTCATTACATACCTTTTATGTGTTTTGATACGGTTCGCTCCAAGACCTGACGCACAAATTCAGGTTATGCGTCCTCAACTACAGTATCGTAACCATTTTTCTACTACATATTTCTATCGCAAAAAAAACGAGCTTCTTGCCTAATTGTGGACCATCGCAATTTTTCGAAGCGGTAATTCAAATTTCTATTTAAACAGTGGAAATTACCGTACCATAAATAACCTGCGAACCAAACTCGTTGTAAACTCACACATGGCGCTTGTCTTTCAGAGAATGTATTGTCGTGGACGGAAGAATTCGAGAAATTTGAATTGAGCGGGCTACCATTTAATTGGTCCCGCAAAACAAAATACAAATAACCAAAGTACTTAAAATGAACTTTTAAAAAGTTCATGTTATTATAGTTAGAAAACGTAAAAATCGCTCCTAAAAGTTTTTCCATTCGAGACCCAGGGCGGTAATTCAAACAGTAAAGCAATCGCAACCCTAAATTCATCCGTCGTCGACTATAATACATATAGTCGGCGTCCGGCAACTGCTGTACGCGGGCAGATTTACGCGCATGCGCCTTGAAAAGGTCTCGCCACGCGTGAACGCTTATTTTGCTGTTTTCACGTGAACTGCTTTATTTTTCTTGAGCATTTTCGCATTTCCTTGAATTTCCAACGTCATTCGATTAAAAAATTATCCAACCGGCCCATAAAATTTGAAATAACCTGTTAGTCCTTGCGAGACCATTTCGAAAGACGCATTCCCGTAAATTTACCCGCGCCGGACGCCGACTATATTTTATTTTAAAAAATCACAATTCTCGAGCAAACCGTATAAAACCCAGAATACGTCTTTTTTTCAAAGCAAAATCATTCCATTAAATTTGAAATAAATGTAAATGTTTTTATTTGAAATCCACAAGTGCATACCTGATAACTCTCCAAAACGGCTCTTGCCTCTTCTTCTCCAATTCCTCAAGACTATACCCAATATTGGCCTCAGTTTTACCGCCCTACAATTTTAGCGGCTTTTGTTTAAAAAAAAAGCAATACACGAGAATCGGTCTCACCTGTTTTCTTTCTCGAACACTGCCGTCGGAGCACACCGAACACGAATCCGACGACATTGCCAAAAGCGATACCCAAAAGAATGCGGGGTTTCGTCGTCGGAAAACGGAGAGACACGAAAAATTTAAATGACACCACATTGATAAGCTCGAGTGCAAATATGCTCTTTTCTGATCGATAATCAAATGATGAATTTTTTACAACAGAAAAAATGAAAATCGTCGAATTTTATTAATCAAATCCTAGATTATTAATCAACAAGTTTAGTTCCATAATTCTCGTTGTGATACTCTTCAAGGAATTGCACAAACCACAACGGAATCGGAATCGTCGCCAAATGGAAAAGCGAATGTGCGTCGAACAGCCAAAAGACGGGAACGAAATCGAGAATTTCGAGCGTCGTCGACAAATTTGTCCAGAAAATTATCCGTATAAGCAGGCGATCCGACGTCCGCAGTTGGCCATAGTTTCGTTTTCTGAAAATTTCGATGATTTTTATGCAGATTTTGTAAAAAAAAACTGTTCCTACCGTTTTATTAAGTACACTATATACAGACAAGTGGTTAATATTGATGCAGAAATGCATACTTGCATATTGTAGTCATATTGGAATCTTTGCTGAAACAAAAATCTGGCCTAGTGGAATCAAATACTACATATATTTCCATAAAACTGTGGTCGAAATCGCGCGACTGCGGACAAGGAGAAAATCATTATTTTCTTTATTTTTGCATTGAAATTTTCCCTATTTTTCATTTTTTCTGCCTTGATCATGTGCGTTGTGTACTCCACACGGACAATACTCTGCAGTATACCGCGCCATCCGCTGTCGTGCGACTTCAACAATGCACCACCATTTTTTTAAATTCAATTTTATACAAATAGAGAATCTTGAATTTAATTTCATTTTTTTTAGATAAATTTAGTGGAGCAATAAAATAAAACATAAAATTAGAAATCTCAGTCTTGTGCTCTCAACAAATAGACGATTGCGGCGCATCCCGGAAAACGCCCACAGATGTTTACAATGAAATCAGCTTTGTTAAGATTCAAAAAGGAGGACCCCCAATTTGGCATCCCTGACCATATGTGTGTCGCTTTAACGGAGCACCTCCGTGATTCTCTAATTTCACAACATCGGAACTTACATTCATTGTATATACATGAAATATATAAAAACAGATGAGTAAAATTGCGAGAAATTTTCTTCTGAAATATTATGTTGTAATTTTTTTTCCCCACACTTTAAAATCACTCACATTTTTCTTCCATTTAGTGTCAATGACATTGTGGGATTAGTGAATAGAACACTAACATAAAATGCCGATAAAATGTAAGCAAAAGCTGAGAAGTAATCCATTTTTTCAGTGATATCACAGTCAAACGAGTGGAACAATGCCGAACTTATCCTGTTAAAATATGGAAAATTACAAAAAAAAAGAGCAACAAAATTTCAAACCATGTCAGCAATCCAACATGTGCGTAGACGACAAAAGCGGTTCGATTTTCCATTTCTTTTTTGTGTTTCAACTGGCGCAGCATTAAGAATACAGTGAGAAGGTTACCAAGCGAAAACAAAACCGAAGCCGGCTCTTGGATGACAATCCCGAAGAAATGTGTATCGATGGCGGCGAATGGCCATTTTCCATGGAATTGCGGTGGTTCGAGTTCATGGCTGAAATTTTAATTCTCATTCCTTGACCTCTCTCCAATTTTTTTTGTTGGAATTTTGCCCATTTTTCGCAGTTGCGCGACGGGGACAATTATAAAGCTTCAAACAAAACATTTTCGCGCAAAAATTATATTATTAATACGATGGCATTTAAACAGTGCCTACAATCATGACGAATCAAACATTATTGTTAATATTATCATTTTGTTTGCGTTAATTCGAAAAACGTTTATTTCTCTTAAAAATTCGCGTTTTTTGAATACAGTTGTTTATAGCTTCACCGATCTGAAAAACGGCAAGACCAAAAAAATGAAAATTTGTAATATCTATAATTATATTCACAATACAATGAGCGCCCTGCATTTACTTCGTAGTTATGTAGGTATCCGACTTCGCACTGTTTAAATTAAAATTTGAATTACTGCCTCGAAAGTGCGATGGCCCAAAACTACTGCGCACAATAAATAATATTTTCCCAGTGGTCTCGCCACGTTTTGTTGCTAATTTCGTTGGAATCTTTTTTCTTTATGTTAATATAATTCATATATCCGGCGCATGAAACCGGAGCATGCAAGCGGTCTTCATGCGACCATAGCGAATAATTTAAAAAAAAGGTTAGTAGAGTCCCGAAAATAAAAAGCACCTCTCGAAAAGCTCAACCGCCTTCCACATGCACTCATATTTGCACCAAAAGCAGTTGCCATAAGCCCAACGGAATTCGCCGAATTTCAGTGGACAATCGAATCGTTGCCGGCAACCATCGGTACAATTCCGGTATAAAACCGTACTGTAATATAAAATGAAAACAATAATTCTTTAAAAAAAAAAGAGGAAGGGAGGAGATTAATAATTTTTAGTATTACTTATCGCCAATCGAAGCCGTGCAAAACCCAATAACAGCCAGAAAAATCCATAGCATTTAAAGCTAAAAATCACAAATTTTTGTCTTCAAATTTTTCAAATAAGGTATCCCAAAGTCAAAACTCTAAAAAAAACAAATTATTGGAAAAAAATGAAATATTTTATCACATTGGCCACAGACAAAAGCATTGTATAAATTAGAGAGAATTCTTTTCGACGAGTAAACAAAAATTACCCGCCAAGGAAACAAAATATCATCGATAAAACTAGAAAAAAAAAGGAGAGGAAAAAAAGAAAAGTGTCAGAAGAAATGGCAACCGGAAATCGAAAATTCCATAGCAAAATCGCTAGAAAGACAAAATTCACAAAAAAAAACTTTGGTTTTTTAAATTATTAAATCAATTATTGTAATAATAATGATAGTAATAATACCTACTAGGTTCTAAACGCGGATATGAGGAACGGACGGGGCTGGGAACAGAGAAACGAAAAAAAACAAGGAAAACACACACAAAACAAATATTAATTGCAAAATTAGACATGAAACGGATAATTATATATTATGTTGGTCTTCAAATCAAATCAAAAAGGAAATGTTTTTTTTCGAGAGGTCTTTTTTTTATTCTCTTTGTTTATTGAGAATGTCCTATGACGGTCGGATGAGAAAACGGCATTGTGAGCAGGTAAAACATTGATGGTAGAGGTACCAGGACCAATATTACCCATTTGTGAGATATCTCGCTGAAATTATATATGTACGTGTTTCAAACAAAAATAGTCTTTTTTTTTACAAAAAAGAACTAAACATACTAATTTCGTCCCTATGTTACTTACTTTTTAAAAACCTTTTTTGTGCAAATCGGTTCATTCAAAAAATTTATCATCCGAAATCCCGTTTTGACACAAAAATCTCATTTCAAGCTTAATTCAAGTCATTTTCTAGTAAATTCCAGAGAATGCAGAAAATCTACGAAAAAATGATAAAATACTCTCTCTCTCTCCCTAAAAATCACCTCAACTTGAAATTATTCCATAACATTATACGAACCGTACAAAAAACATGTTCTGTCTAAGACCCAACTATACTATTTCCGATTTCAAAAACAAAAAAACTCACTTTGGCGATGCAAGAGCAATAAGCGAAAAAGCAAGAAGCGACATCGAAATCAACATTAGGAATAAATGCGTCGGGGACGTTGCGACTCGAACTAAAAAAAACAAATGATGCTGAAATTTTGTTTTCAGAAATGGAATCTTACCAATCATTTCTCGTATTGTACGTTTACCCTCATGTGCCAAATGATAAACCGTCGCACCGATCGTCCCTAGCAGCAAAAGAATTGGAAATGTATAGTACAAAACGCCAGCCTAAAAATGAGCATCATTTCATGGGATCAATCGATTGCCATGACAGGAAACATACAAAAAAACCGTGAATCCCAGCCATTAATGGAAGCGAAAGTAGCGCATAGTAAAATGGTTTGCCGTTATACGTCTTGTGCAGAAGAATACAATAAAGAGTTGAGCGGAATACGATAATACACGCAAATAATACCGAATAATGAAGGAATGGCAACGAATATCTGAATGAAATAATGATCAATAAAGAAAAAATTATTATACTGGGAAATCTTTTAGATTTTTTTCCAGCACTTTTTTGTTGTGACTAGTAAAAAAAGCTTTAAAAATTTTTAATATATTCTAAGCCATTTTACCCTCAAAATACTTTTTTTCTAAACATGATCGACTAATTTCAGATATCTTGAAAAAAAATCATTCAAAATTTCACAAAAAAACTTACAAGGGGAAAACAACTTCATATGAGCAACGCATGGTTTTTGTATAGCCGATAAGCGGATTGTAGCTCGTCGGATACCATTCTCGCATACTCGACTTGCTACATGTGTACAATTGAGGCGAGAAGCTCGGCGGATAGACGAACAACGAGACAAGAGCGGCAATCAGGTTCTCCATGAAGCAGCTGATATGCTCGGCAGCCTCATATGCCCTCGTCCGACAGCTAAATAAGATGATTGAAAATATAGGGGATATTGGTCTCGAGGTGTAAAATTTTTTAAAGAAATGTTGTAAACACTATTCAAAATTTGTTTATGAAAATATGTAGAAGAAAAGAGTCCCCCAATTTCGTCGAGGGGTACCTTTATCAAACAGAAAGCCCTTTATTAGAATGATTCAAACAAATTATTTTATATTCAACATTATAAACTATTTTGTTTAAGCAATTTTGAAAATTGAGGACACAGAAAAACAATAATTAGTAACTGAATTTCACAAATTTTAAAAATAGAAAATCAAATATTCATTCTTCACGATTTCTCGAAAGCCGACTTCAAAAGACAATCCAAATTTTTTAGGCCAATTTTAAAGGCACACAAAAACCACTCACTATTTCCTGGCCGATCGAATAAACTGCATATGGAGTAGTAAGGGTAAGAGTGCGATGAACAGCAGGTACATCCAATCATAAACCGGCAACGGCGAGGTGCACGGCTCGCATATCGAACGCTTCGAGGCGCGATATCCCCAAGGACACGCCTATAAATAATAATTAAAATTGATCAAACAAAATCAAATCTCAAATTTTAAAAAACGTTCATAATATTTTTTTCATAGACAGACTCCTCTCTTAATTTGAGCTCCGCATGAAGTCTCGAATAGAAAAACTTCTTGGAGCGATTTTTGGCGTTTTTCTAACATCAAATGAAAAAGAACAATTTTAAGGAATTTTGAGTACATTGTTCGTTGTTTCCAAAAATACCTATTGTGACTTTCGGGACCACCATTAAATGGCAGCCAAAATTTTCGCTTTTTGCAGCATTCAATTAATTTCATCATGAATGGGAGACCGCGACAATTGATTTCAATTTTCACCTTCGGATATCAATCCGGAGATTCGCCTTACCGCGCAATTCGTCCACTGTTTTCGATTCGGGTCCGATTCGTTGAAGACCGCCAACCGGCCGCAGAATCCGAGGCATGATGGCGCAGCTGTTGATTCTGTGGACACGAGGTCGGCCAACAATGACATAACGACGGACGCATTACCACATACTAAAAAACGATAATCGGCTTAGTAATTTAAAAAATGGTGAAAATTGCAATAGAAAAGTATCAAATCGGTCAAAAGACACCGAGAATTTAACAAACAAATCAGCAAAAAAAACACAAACAATATTTTATTCGATTAAAGGCAAGATGAAAATGGAAAACCGGTCAAAGCTACCTGTAGACTATTTAAATGAACTGAAATAAATCAAAATTGCAAAGTAGGTTCTTTTCAAACATTTCTTCGTCGAATCGAATTCTCGCCGCTCAACGTGTACAATATCTCATTTTTCGGCTCCTCGTTAACGTTGTCCGGAACATATTCATCAGGTGCGAAACCGTCTTCCTGCAAATATAAAAAGGCATATAATGATGGGAGAATAAAGACGGAAATAAAAATTGCGAATTGATGATAGCGGGCGGCTCGTAAAATTTACGACATTTTCATTATTCAGAATGAATTCGCATTGAGAGGGTAAAAAAAAAAAAAAACAGAAATCACATGAAAATTTACGAGCGTGTCTATCTTATACATCAAAAACTTGAAAAAAAAATCTCGATTTGTCTAGTCCATACATGAAATTCAAATGGGCGGCGGTATTCGCTGTGGAAGGACGAATCGTGCGATTGATTTACAAGTGAATTGCGACGTGGGTCTTGTATGGAAAACGTTTAGGCGCGGGTTTTCATTTTCAGAATTTTAAATATTTTAATTATTAACAAAAACTTCAGTTTGATTACATTAAATTTTAAGAGAGTCATTTAATTGACAGACAGCGAAATTGAAAATTTTTAAATTCGTAAACGCAATTTCCGCATTATGAACCTTTAATGAATTATCTCATTTCCGATTGAATTATTATTCTTCGAAAGTTCTCTATTTTATTCTTTATTTGTATATCTGAAAATTAAAATAACTGAAAATTGAAGACAAAATCTTGTGTTGTGTGTTTACTTTTTTCAAATCATATGGTGCGGATTTTTTATTCAAAAATAAATGACCATTAACCGTAATAAAACTTACGAAAAATGTCAAAATTAAAACAAAAGAGAGAATTAATATCGTGACAAGATCCAAAAAATGGTAGTTACGATCAAATGGTGATTTAAAGGTTCATGGTCTATTTTAATCGTGAAAAACCAAATGCAATATTAGGGGATTGAAGTGGAAAATTAAAATAAATTTCAATCGATGGAAAAATCGTTTAAGTTCATCGAACACGTTTTTCGTGTTCAATTATTTTTGACAATATTTTATTCAAACATGAGTCATTTTGAAAGAAAACTTAAGCGTTTCGCCAATCTCTTTAAGTGCACGCGTCCCAAAAATTTGAATGCGAAGATTTGGCTAATATGGCAAGGAAAGAAAGCGAAGAAACTCTTTGAACTCAAAGTCCAAATAAATGAAAAACTCGAAGAGGTCGAATAGAAAAAAAACAACAACGTGCTTCTCACCTTTTGCTGCACTTCTTTTCGTTTTCCATCAAACCTAATTTCGTCGGGCTCATTTTTTTCTTCCTCTTCGCACCTCGCCTCCGCTTTCCACGCCGACCAATTTAAAATCGCCCATTTCGCGGCAATCAACGAACAACATCCTGAAATAATCGAAATTCAACTATGTACAAATGGTTCAAAAATCGCAACCAATAAACATTGCCGCAAAAATGATGACAAACGATATAGTCGGCCAATAATAAAGAAAATGTCGAATAAGTCCGAAACGGGCGGTAACGACAAGTGCAGCTTCTTCAACCTACGAAAAAAAAGATCAAGAAAATCATGAAAATGTGCGTTTTTTTTTAATGAGTAATCTACATTCGCAAATTTGTCCTGCAGTGTGTACACAATTTTGAGCGACTGATGCTCATAATTCTCGATGTAATCCGACGCCATCAAGATCTCCAAGGAGCTGTAGTCATGGAAGAAGCCGGCGAAGTAGAACGGGAAAAAGAAAACCCAACATGCCTGAAATCGTTGAAATTCCATAGAAAAACTAAAAGCCGCCTCATTAAATAATCATTATTGATGAATTTCGTGACGCTATTCAAAATTATTACATGATGTTCGATCATTTCCGTTTTTCTAATCTCTCGAAAGTCATAATGCAAAAATAACAATGTTATAGTCTAAGATTGGGTTTTTAAAAAATGATGCTACTTTAAATAATTTATTTTATGATACTATGCAGATTTTGGGAAGAAAACTCGAAAAATTCTAAATAAAAATTTTCGCATAGGGTTTTTAGAGTTTTTTGATTGTTTGCACTTTTTTTTGCAAAATCTACATAGTACATATAATTAACAAATTTCGATTTTGTGATTAAAATGGGTTTTTCTCTAAATTTCCTATTGTCTACGTCAAATGACTTGTTACAAAATGGAAAATTTTGGCAATATGTCAAGAGTCTCGAAACGCGTAATTTTCACGCGCGAGCAGTTAATACTCAGGCAACGCGTAAATTAACCCGCTCATAAATCGACACCACTCTCGTGAGAAGCATATAACTTTCGAAACTCTGAATAGCCGTCGAATTAGCATAAATTTTCATTTTTTTTACTATTTCAGGAATTCAACGTTCAACTGAGTGCATTTTCAATAATAAATTACAATAGCAAAAAAAGTTTGAAGCACCATTTTTGACATTGTCATCTGTTTTCTAGAAAAACAAAAAGTAACATTTCATATTTATTATTATTTGCCTCTAAGGGAAAATGACTTTTCAAACCATTATTTAATTTTTTTTGATGGAGTGCGTGAATCATAAATGTGGATTTAATTTTTCGTAGCGAGTAAACTAAGCCTTCATAAATCAATAGAATGCCGATGCGCCTTTTCGCAGCTTGTGAATTTCGAATGTCGGGCGGTGAGCAGAACAAACCACCGAAAAGCACAAACAAAACATATATATATATATAGTTTATGGCGGACGGCGGCACATCGTCACCATCGACATTTCATTGTTCTCGTTGAAAAATTAATAGGCGTGGGCGTTTCAAGACACAAATGGCACGGTGACAAGAGTTCGCTCGTTTCGGAACGGATTCATAAAACTTTCAGGATTTTTGGGAAGCGAAATTCTAGAAGCCAGCAAAAACAAATTTGAATATTAATTATACAAAATTAATAAATTAGAAAAGATTTTTTCGTCGACTTTCTAGCAAAAAAACGGCAAATTTTACCAAAAGAGGGCATTTCACTGCAAAAATGAATGTATACACAAACATTTTTCGGCACCTAAAAAATTGGCTCAAATTTCACATCTATAATTGCCTTGAATGCCCTCCCTTGAAAAGTGTGCAACGAACCTTCGTCAAAATGCCGGCCTCCTTGATATAGGCGGTTTTTGTGTATTGCTTCAGCGTGTTTCCGGTTCCATCAATCACCGATAGCACATTTTGGAATAGTCCCAATTGTTTGGTGGTTGCAACGTCAGCAAATTTGAGGCGAACATTCAAATAATAGGAAACGCCCGACGAAAATAATTCTCCCTAAACTAAAACAAATTCGAAATATTGTTGCACAAAAACTCGCCGCCTACCGGCTCATAGCTCAAGCTTGCTGATGGAAACGAGCAGACACTGTGGAGATCGTGCTCGCATGTTTGGAAGCCGATGTTGAGCGGATAATGATGATAAATCGACGAGGGAAGCGCGAAATAGCTGAAATTATTGAATTGTTTGGCGAAAGATTGGCGACAAAAATAGCGAACCGTATAAGGAACGGTGTGCAAACCGCGATGAGCGCGGCGACGGCGAGCTCGGCGACCAGCGACACGACAATGTCGACGGCGCGGTTTCGCGAAACGGCCATCATGAATGCACCAACTATGATTTAAATAAAATAATTCCTTTGAGTTATAGACAGAGAAAAAAAAACAACAACAATTAAAGGAACGCCGAACGCGAAAATCATAAGTTTTCCGCTCGCCGAAAAATCTCCCCTCAAGCCCCATAGGCCGATAGATTATAACTGAAGTGGAGGCCGATGAGAAATCGCGACGGCACATAAGAGAGACAAAACCGACGAAGAGAGAGGGTGACGAGAGAGAAAAACGCGAGACAAGTGCACCATTCAGTTGGCCACGGCCGCGCGCCGCGCGAATGCACCTTTTGACGTCGCCTAATTTGCCAAGGTTCTTTTTTTCGACTTTTGCTCGTGCTTCTAGTTGGAATAATATATCCGGCTGACAGCGACTTGATTTCGTCATGGGAATTCTATTAAATAAGGCGGCGACGACGTGTTGTGGCGGCCAAACAATCGCATTATCAGCCGAATCTTTCACGTCGGAAATTTTTTTGTAGCACCTGAAAATTGTCGCCTACATTATTCTGTGTGCCGTCTCGTCGGAGTCAGGGCCTTATGGACAACAAGCTGGGCCGGATGTGTTTTTCCTATTAATAAATAATGATTAAGCTGAATTCCACGGGGCACATCGAACTAATTAATGCATTAACACGATTCCCAAAAAAAATTTAATTGAAGGCTGGCCAAATCGTAGGCGGAAAATCTGAATATTCGCATATGAGTCAAATTTTTAATTTACATTGAAATTAATATTCCGGAATGTGATGAAAAACGAGAACTTTAACGTAAAAAAAATGAATATTTAAAAATTGATTGCTACGGTTTTTAAAGGAGCACACTTCTTTTCATCTTAGGTCTCGAAGGGTACAGTACCCACTTATTTAAAATTCGTTATTTTTCTATTCTTCTTTTCAATTCAAATCGTTTGAGAATAATTTATTAATGTACAAGCAAATATATATTAAAGCATTTGATGAGGTAATGATTTTGTTAAGGCGACGCCAGCAACGATTCATAGCACATGTCACAAAATCTGGAAACATATCCTGCCATGCAATAAATCGACGCATGACCGAGCACATAAGGATGGGCGAGTTCTATCCGAAAAGTGTTAGATTTCAAGTAGTTCTTGAAATAGCCGAGTGTGATAAAGAAATTCTATAAAAATAACGATGATTTACAGAACTTTTTCGCAAAAAATTCTTACAGGTCCTCTCCTTTCCGGCTGGTTTTTCGTAAGCGTCTTCATTCGAAATTCAAGAAATTCGATAGGATCTTCAACGCCTTCGAGAACCTTCTGATTAAGTGTCCAGACTTTCACATAATCCTTCGTCTCGTTAAACGTTGTCCTGTCAAAACAACCACTATTCTCATTGATAATTTGGCTACTCATTTTCTCATAGAGATTAAAAGCAAGATCATGTGTTCTGGAAATTTGAGATTAAAAATTGGTTTTCAAAAAAGGAACAATGTACTGATTATAAGCTAATTCATGAGCGTAGCTCATATTTTGGCAAAGGCAGAACTCTTCAGGAATATAGGCATCCAGACAAGATCGATTTCTGGGAATTAATGACTGCCAAAGCGAAATTCCGTTTTCTAAAAGGAAATTGAATGTAATTTTTCGCGTTTTTTTTTCTTCTTTGAACCTCCATTTCCAACAATTGGAATAATCGGCTGATCTTTGGAGATTTGCACGAAACTCTTCAATGTTTCAAAAACATCCAAATGAGTCATCAATCTAAAAAAAATGCGAATAATATTAAAATCCCAAATGAATAACTCATTAATAATCAAATATTTTTTCTAGAAAAAAACAACATACCGATTCTCATTTTGTTCTAATTGGAAATATTGGTCGGGGAGGAATTTTTGCAATCGTTGCGGGACCCGAATCATCATAAAAGGATTTCTTTCTTCAACTCGGCCTGTATATGTATTCCCAAACGTGCTGAAATCCATCATTTTCAAAGACTCATAAAACTTCGCGAGAATTTTTACTTGATAGGCATTCCATCTGCAGAGAGGACCATTACAATGGTATTGTCTAAAACGTTATGCGCCTTTAGACCAATTAAGGAATCGCTGAAATAAATATTGTTAATTTTGTGTTATAATTGCAGAAAATTACATAAAATTCGCGTCAAGACCCTCCATATTATCAACAAATACTGTAGAGAAGTGACATTTTTGGGCATTCGAGATCGAGAAAGCCGCCCATGCTTCCAGCAATCGTTTCGTCGTGTAATTCTGAAAATTCGAAATAATTATGACAGAAATTTGAGAATTTTGGCAAACATTCTCCTGGGTGCACATCTCATCGGTATCCGATGGAACGCTTTTGACGAAGCTCGAAATGTCGTAATCGAATCCGGTGCCATTTCGATTCGTCATTGTCAAACATCCCTGATCTGGAAAATAACTGAAAATTGTGAAAAATCTCTGGCGAGGCCCTGCGAAAAAATGCGTGGCCGAATTTTGGAAATTTGAGGGCCGTGAAATTCAAGTCCAAATTTTTTTAAAATTCAGAAACCTTCCGATTTTCAATTAATTCTTACCTTTCATCATTTGCGCAAAGCTTTTTCCCAGATTTACATCAAACAACGAATTGATTTCAGCGTCATGTGAAGTCTGATATTTCTGGAAAAAAATGAAAAAGCCAATAACGATTTTAGGGTTTCAGCTTGAAATTCTTTTTCACACACTCATAAATCAAGCATCACTGCGTACCCAGTTTTGATTCATGCGAACGTTAAACGAAATCGGCAGCAAAAAAACGATCTAATGAAATTATCAGGAGTTAAAGCCATACTAGACTATATTACTGGTTACAGATCGCAAAAATATCTAAATTCCAAGAAAGCTATGGTTACGGATTTTTGCTCAAAACTAAAATAACATTTTCCAATTTTTCAAACAAATTGCTCATCGGCATTATTCGAATCAAGGAAAATCAGAGGCAAATGAGAATAGATTCAAATTTTTTCGGGTTTATACCTTCTCAAATCTTTGAATACAAAGCTACAATGTATGGCTTTGTTCGTAATAAATTTTCAACCAAACTACACACAAAATCTCGTTTTTATCGCGATCTCCCGTCAAAATCAACATTTTGATCGTCTTCGTGAAACCTGTCTTTTATTAAACTAACCTTATTGAACATTGAATATAACAAAAATTGGTTTCGTCTGGAGTATTTGAGAGTTCGTGGAAACTCGCGACTGAATTCTGAAGGCGACATCGAGTTCATGTAGAGAATCGCGATGGAAGGCCGTGTCTGCAAAACGCACTTTTCTCATAAATTCATGACTACGTGCCAGATTGATCCATTTCACATCTCATCTCGTTCATAGATCGCGTGATTTAACATTCATTGAATATTGCTTCCGAAATCAACATTCAGGTTTATGGAATTTCATACCGGTCGAGCCTCTAGAGCCTCTCTCTTCGAATTTTTAAAATTGGCAAATGTCTTCTTATAAGTCATTATCTCATCCGACAAGCATTCAACGCTGAACTGCTCAAACGGAATGATCCTTTCAATGTCATGCTCCAGCTGGAATTCAAGAAATGTTCCGATGGCATGTCAATCATTCAAACCAACCTCTATAATCTCTGGATGTTGAAGGTCCACCGCTCGGCACCTACAACATCTCTCAGATGAGAGCAATCCGCTCGATACAGTATACCTTGTCTCATTCGATTCGGTTATCACAAGCACTGATCTTTCCTCCGAATTCCATCGAACATTTATTGGCAATGATGCGCAACGATTGGGTCGTTTCGGCCTTTAACAATTCATATGCTTGATTTGCCGACTTCTCCCTCCCGTGACCAACCTTTGCTTTTTCTTCAGATGAATCCAAATGTCATCCTCCTTTTCCGATAGTATCGGCCATCGGCATTCATTATAAACGATTGGAGAAAAGTCTACAAGATTTGAAGCTCGCGAATTCGTATAAAATCCAACATACCGTATCTAGGAGCAAAAAATTCACGCGGATCAACTTGTTCCAAAGTTTGAGGTGGGCTTACACCTCGACTATGCTGAAAATTATATACCGAGGCGCCGAGCACTGAAGCGATAAGGAGTAGCGCTTGGATCATGGTCTTCTGCAAGAAAAAATAATACAGTATTTCATTGGAGAGGTTTCGGTAGGCAATAACTATAATTAGAGCGGGAGACATACCATATAGTTGGCAAATTTTCGGAATCTCTCATGACGAAAAACCGAACACAAGTTTGGACGCATTACTGATAATAAGTGAGGGATAAGATCACGGCGGGCCTTTATAGTCGCTCGAATTCAAGAGGCTTGCCGTTATAATTTGTCATTGATCGTTACGTTACGCGCCAAAAAAATGGAATTGGAAGCAAGCAGTTACACCGAATCGGATGCGAAGGCAGTCAGGAATGATGATCAATCTCAACTCATCGATTTGGTCTTGACGAGATAATTAATTGTACTATTTAGTTGATGGATTGGAGGAGATGTATCGAGAGGTTCATATTGCTTAACCCTTTATCATTGGATCAATGAAATTTAATAAAATGGCGGATTTGAAATCGAAAGGGAAGTTTATGAATCCAAGATGCCTTGAAAAATGCTGGGGATTACAAAAGTGAGGGAGTTGATGGTATGCTTTATAAGGTAATATCAAGGATATCAAGGAGCTGAAAAATGGCTTGAGAAGAACAAAAAAACAGCATTTTTTTTTTAAGTTCAATTCAGAAATTAAAATTTTGCCTTGACAAAATTAAATGCGCGTAAGCTAAAATGCAATGTACGCAATCTCGCGTACTTCTCGGTACGTCGAGACGCATTGGCACATAGCCAATTATATTTTGAATTTCAGCCGGTTGAAAAAAAAACTTTGAAAAACAAAAAAAACTTTGAAACCGATAATATTAGTTTTAAATTCAAAAAGAAAATATTCAAACGGGTGGGTTCCGTTTTATACCATTCTTTCTGTTTACACACTGACGTAATTTTGCACACATTGCATTTTACATTATTTTCTTTATGCTGAAAGAGAATAAATTAAACGAAAATGAGATAGTATGCAATTTCCCATAATCAAAAAGTATTAATAATTTCTTATAGCTTCTTTTTCGAAAATTAATTTGAGAAAATTCAAAAGTTTCAAACCTTAGAATAGAATTAAGGGTAAACTCTAAATTAATGCTTATTTAAAGCAAAGCATAAAAATAAACTCATCTGCGGACACGTTTTTGTCAAAAATTGTTCGCAGCTAAATATGTCGAAAAATTAAAGCGGAATTGATAGTAGATAATCAAATTTACACATTTTAAGTATCATTTTAAAACAAATTGAAATTTTTAAAAAATTATTGTCGATATCAAACGACTGAGGGGAAGCGGGACCTTCAAAGTCGCGAAATCAGTGTAGATTTAAATTAATCGTTGACTGAATATTAAATGCGCGTACGCTTAAATGCATTGTACGCAGTCTCGCGTACTTCTCGCTGCTTCGGCACGTAGCCAATAATTTTTAAAATTGTCGTTTGACTCCGACATTATAACAAAAATGAGCATTCCAAATGTGTCCAATGAAGCAAATATTCTTGTATAGGACAAGCCGGTTCAAAATATTCAAAAAAATCCAAATTTGGGTTTTGATACTATCAAAATGTTCAACAACTTTTTAGATATTATTTGTTACTATGAATGAATATCAAGCTAAAAAGAAAAAGGTCTTGCAACGATATGTATTAAAAAGGAAAGTAGTGAAATTTATGAGTCGTTTTTGCTTCAAGAAAAATTTGAACTTGGCAATTCTTGAAAAAAATTGATAAATTGAAAATAAAAGATTCATATTTTTCGAATTTTTAGAAATTTGGTGAAAAATAGTTTTATAAATTTCAATATTTGAGAGAAAAATTGAATTGCAAGAATTGTGATTCACGCCCTTTTATATGTTGCTTACCAATTTTAGGTCTCATAGCGAAGCGAAAAATCTCAGGAGTATATTTATAATTCCGATCATTCTTATAAGATGAGAAGCATTTTAACGAGGAAAAATCGAAGAAATGCAAAAAAGGCTTTTAACCTAATCGTTTTAGAACGAGGAATTTAAGAATGAATTGAAATTAGCAGCTTATAAATGAGTCGATCAAAATAAGAAGCAAAGCACAAAAATGGGTGGATCATTTGTGTTTACCGTCGGTCGGCTTTCAGTCAGCTTTTTCTCAAAATTTCAAAGAATGCCGATCATTCAGCCGATTTTTACATTGTTTGCGATCGAACGGACGAGGCGGGAATTCAAAAAATTGGAAGTAAACCGATCAGGCCAACTCTCGGCTCGGCAGCAAAATTGGCAAGCCTTGTGCCTACCGTAGTTTCGAAGATGAATGAGACCGAAATGATGAAAAAGGGAAGGAGGCGGAGATTATTGAGGCTTGGAGGCGGTCGGATGGTAGCGCTGTCTACGGTAGCGCTGAGATCAATAATTCATCTCTGGGATCAGTTTTATTAATTTGATATTATATAATACAGTCGCAAAAAATCGTTATTCATAGTATATTTAAAAAATAATTAATAATCATTTCGTTTCAAAAGAAAATTTTAAAAATTAAAAAATTGCAAAACTTAAAATATACTTGCTTAGATTTTATCTTTTCTTCAATTATTACGCTCGCAAAAAAAACCGACCACCCTGGGTTGATTTTCGGTGAATTTGACTATCCGTAGTACGGTACCCGAATTCCCTTCTATATTCACATTTGAATTCCCGCCAAATACGATGATTCACAAATATTTAGGGTGAACGGTTTTTTTTTGCGATGGCGATATATAAATGTAGTCAAAAAATGGTAAAGTCACCAAACGATCGGGTTCCATCACGCTTTTGTATGTTTACACGCTGACGCAGTTTTGCACACATTTCTTTACACCAATAAATCTTATTTTAAAATGTTTTTCCTTGAACGTTTTGTAAGAAGTGAAAGGAAAAAAAACGTTAGATTGTAAGATGTGACAATATCATATAATATAAAAAAAATAGTTTTTTTTCATTACTATCACTCGCAAAACAATGAGCACCTTCAGCAATTGTGGACCATCGTATACTTAGGCGGTAATTCAAATTAGGATTTAAACAGTGGGTAGTCGGGTATCGTACCACGTAAACTTCAATCAGTTTCTCTCTCTCTCTATCTCACAGTTAAATTTAAAAAAAATGGTTTTCAAATATTGGCATATGACATAATACACATAATTCATTGTGATATTTAGTGCTGAATCATGAACATGCGTGAGAACAAGATGAACTTTTGGACAATCAAGATTGCCGTTTGCTGACAACGCATTGGATCGAATGCCAATGCGATCTCGTGAGAGGCAGCATATTGATGATAAATGTGAGATTGCGATTAAAGCATACACCAACACACATAGGCTGGATTTCCAGTCAAAAAAAAGTGGGCATTAGGCAGAAAACGCGTCTGAAGAAGCTTGAGAACGTCTCGTAAAAGTTCATAGACGGGACGAAATCGAAAAGGAATGGTCTATTGGCCTCGATAAATGAAGCGCACCATTCATTTCGTGAAGTGAGGCGCCAAAATTCGGACAGGTTTTCATTTATCTTGCCACCTGGAACGAAACCTATTGTAACCAGTTTGTTTTCTCGGAAGTGCGTTGTCGAAATATCAAGCGGCTAGTTTCTTTTTTCTGTGACAAAGGCATACTAGCATTGATCTTTTGATGTCTTTTAATCGCCAAACATCTCGCCAATTTTTTTCCACCGAATTGCGTAATTATGCGAAAATCGCATATCTTCAATGATGATTGGTGGGAAATGTTTGATATAATGTTTTCTAGAAAAAAATAAATTCTATGGTTAAAATCGTTTATGAAATACAAACAGCGAAGCTGCAATTTTCATTAACCCTGATTTTTTTCAAATAAAATTTAAACCAATCTAAATAATATTCTCAGATGTAAATTAATAATATGTTTCAATACTTCAGAAAAAATCGTTTGTCCCGCATAGATTGCCCCAATATCTAAGCGATTGCATTGTTCATTTCTTACCAAATGCAATCACATAAAATTTGTCAAATATGGCAGTAAAAATAACTAAATTACATATCATTGAATATGCCTTCTACTTTAAAAAAAGATATTCAAACATTTTTCACCGAAAATGCGCCAGTCTTCTCGCCTTCTGGCGCATTCTTCGATTTTATGGCGTGTATACGGTGCATGGAAAAATAATTATACTTATTAATAAATCTGTTGTTTTATGCGCTTATAATTTTTTTCACAAAGTTTACGATGAGCAACAAGAAACCACCTTCAACTAACGGAATGCAAAAAGACCCCGTCGACGGTCTGAAGGTGAGAAATATATCAGTTCGGAGAATTTGTGTTCTTTTTTGTTGATTTTTTGCACATCTGTGCTGCAACTGCACTGCGTTCTGTTTGGTCCGCCGATTGCATGCTTTTTAATTTTTACAAGAAATTTGATTTAACAAATTTATTTGCAGCAAGCTTTTGCAAAGTTATCTGAAGAAGTGAAACATCTTGGAATGGTTCTCGGCGTTAATGATGAAGCCGCTACGGTAGCGTCTCCCGCCAAAGAAGCAAAAAGCCAGTCTGAAAAAAGTGATAATAAAAAGCACGAGGTGTACACTTCCTATATTTTCAAAAAGTTATCTGAATGTTTAGCATCCCGATAAGGAATTGACACAAGAGGAGAAAAAAGCTCAAAGAGCCGCAAAAGCAGCGGAAAAGAAGAAAAGAGCCGAGCAAGCGGCAGCGAAAAAAGCGGCAGATTCTCAAAAACCAGCAAAAGAAGCTCCAAAGCAGCAAAAACCTCAGAAAAATGCTCCCAAAAAGGAAGAAAATGTGAATGAAAATTTTGCGGAAGTAGAGAAAGTCGTGAACGGCGTAGCGAACTTGAAAATCGACTCAACACCTCCTAAAAGCGAACCAAAAGCTAATGTCAAATCTGCGTTGAAGCAAAAAAATAATGTAAAAGGCGGTCCTTCGAGAGAAGTTCAATTCGGTGGGACCATGATTAACTATTTTTCAATCTATTTCGCAATTTTCAGATCTCTTATCAAATACTTCAGCAAGGTTGTCTGATTCTGAAGAAAACCTAGTGGTAGCTATTCCAGAAGCACCAGGTGCGTGCAATTTTCTAAAATCTTTGTAGAAATAGCGATAGAAAATTGTAGTTGCGCAACTTGGCGATGCTTCCGCCATCTCCCATATTCATCCAGCATTTCTAACATTATTTGCCCGGTGTGATCGCGAGCTGATCGTTGATTTAGATCAATTATGCCAAGAGTTTATTCAAACGTTTCGAGAGGTTTCGATTTTTTCTTTTCGAAATAAAAATGTTATTTGAATTTTCAGTTCCTTGCTGACTTCGGAGCCTCTCGTGTCGCTGAAAAAGCGGATCCGAGCACATTCGGCAACGATTTAGGCCAATCAATGAGACCCCAAATCGGTTATTTGACACAAAACGGTGCTCGACATTTGCCGTATGCACTCGGCAATATTGTGCGCCAATTAAAACGGGTTATTGCGAAAATGGATGGGTCATATTATAAAATTGGCTCGCAAAGCGATGTCAATATTCAGCAAATGGAAGAAATTGATGATTGGCTTCAGGAAGCGGCGAGGGTAATTTTTTTTGTTCAAAAGAAAAATTCAAATTTTCTGATTTCAGATAAATTTCGAGCCAGCTTACCAGGCAATTGCCTACTACTTGAGTCCAAAAATTAAAAATGCGGAAGGCGTTTTGACGTATGATTGGTGTCCCGCAGTGAATTTCGTTCTTCATAAATCCATTGAATCCTATCCGGATTTGCGAATTTGCTTCGTCGACGCGGAATTGAATGGACGAGGTGTCCGGCACGTCAACAGCTTTGTGGATAAAGGCTATAGATGTCAGTACACTGATCTGAAATCGATTGGTTATGCTGTATCACAGGTGAGCTCCTTTAAGAATTCCTTAAGAAGACACGTACATTTGATGATCGCAGTTATCATCGTACCGATTCTCCATTTTCCGCAACAGAGATCACCCGATAACGAGTCAGCGGAGATTCGTGTGAATCATGGTTTTTCAAAACCAATTAACCAATTAGGCTCCTCGTGATCACCGCTGATTTACTATGGAATTTGTGTTCTTTTTTGCAGTGCTCGATGGTGATACTCGGCTGCTCAGCGATTCTGTCAAACGGATGTGTGGCGACGAGTCGCGGCTCGATTCAAGTGGCGCTCGCCGCCAAAGCGTTCAACGTGCCGGTTCTCGTCATCTCGCAATCGTTCAAATTTGTCGACAAGGTAAAACTTTCGAAATTTTCGATTACCGGTTTTCTTCTAAATCGATCTCTGCATTTATCATCGAATTTCGAATTGCGCACGTTTTTGTTCTGTGGTGTGATATGCCACATATGTAGGATGAAAGTAGTCAGGAAATTTGTTGAAATCTTGTATTCTGGTGATTTCTGACATTCAATGGAATGCATTCCAGGTTCAATCTTATCCGAAAATGGCCCTTTTGGATCGCGAGAATATTGAGCTCGTTCCGTCAACTCTTGTCACCGCCGTCGTCACAGATATCCGGATTTTGCCGCCCACTGCAGCTTCTGCTGTCTTAAAAGCTAAAGCACTTGACGTTGATAATTAATTAATTAATTAACTATTATTGTTTCTTGTTATTCGTTTTCAAAATGTTCCTCATTCTCATCTATATCAATTTTTCTTTTTTGTTCGTTTTGTTTTCTCAGTGAATTGAATGCTCCCGATTCTAGGAACAATTCTTATTTCTCTCTTTCTCCGCTTCCCTCGCCTTAAATAGTCTCGTTTAAAAAAAAGAAATGATGGGTATTTCTTTTGGTTCTGAAATGTTTATTGAATCCCACACACGCACACACACATATAATTTTAATATTATTAAAACGATCATTACCCGCCTAGAATACAATCAAAAATCAAGTGTTATATACAAATACGAATACTGTGAAAATTAGAAAATCAACGGAAGCACGATGGCGATGAAGAGCGATGGAATCGCGGTAGCCTTGATCAATGGGGCTTGAATCATTTTTGGATGGATGTTGATGAGGTCCGAAGCGCTTTCAGCGACGACCGCGTTCGATTTTGGTGGCTGGACCGGCTGTGGCATACGATAGGTCTTGATGTCGGCGCACACTTGTGGCCACTTGGTGACCGCATTCGTGTCGAGAGCCATCTTTTCCATACTTCCGAATGATCGACGAGTCAAGTCGATAACGAGCTGAGCGGTCTCGTGATCGCAAGTTGTCGCAATTGCAGGAACATCGCAGTGGAGTGTGCAAGTGATGTACCTTTAAATAACGAATCTCAATTTTTGAGACGAGGCCTTTTTTTTAATAATTGGCGTGTCTTACTCGCAACCCTTCGACAAATACTCTTCGGCTTTTGTGGTGTCGCCGCTGAGTGCCAAATTTCGGAAATTGTCGACCATTGAGGTGACGGCGTCGTGGTGAGGTGTGCACGTTTTCACGCATTCCTTGTTGGGCTTCATTTGAGAAAGGCATGGGAACTTGCGGCGAATCGCTGAAATATGGCAATTTCGCCGCTTTTCGTACACAATTGTATTGTCCTAATTGAAAAAAAAAACACGAATTTAAACCGAACTTTCGTCATTTCTTTCAAAAGGTCGCACGCGCGGTCATTCGGTACACTATTGCGCGTTAGAACAAGAGGCTTACCGTCGAAATTGTAGACGCAATAATGATCGATGATCTCAGCGCTGCGCATAAGAAGCTGATGAAGGAATCCTGGTGTGCATTTCGATGAGCAGTGCTGGAATTTGTGGTAGATTCTTAAAAAAGGAAGGCGAATGTGTGGTTCTGGATTCAGGTTGTCATACGTGCAAAACTTCTCGAAGAAAGTGGTGTTTGAGAAGGAGTTGAGGAAATCATTGTAGTTGAGCTGGATGAGCGATGTTGCGCGATCTTGCCCGATTTGAGTTCGGATGTCGTCCATGAAGGTGAACGCGCATTGTCCGACGCAAGAGTCCGCCGACGAGTTGCTTTCATGAGGCCTGAATAATATTGATAAGATTTTCGAGGAATATCGAATGCTTACGCGACAGTTGGAATCGCTGGATCCATTGTTGGCGCATTATCGAATCCGACGACAATCGACGTGGCGAGAAGAGCAGAAGCGACGTTGAGAAATTGCAACATTTCCGGACGATCGAATCGGCACCGAACTGAATTGCCAAGAATGCAAAGTCTCGATCGTCGGCCCACAAAAAAAAATTCGATCAGTCACCGCCCACTCTGGCAATCATACATACACACAATGGGGGCGGTGTAAACGAGAAATGGAGAAACAACGACAACCAAGGTTACACAAAACACATGTAGCGACAACATCATGTAGCGGTTATTGTTCGAGAATTTTTTTCGTTCGGGTCATCATTGTAAGAATTTATATGGCAATTGGTTCCTTGAGGTGAATCGAAATCAAACCCTGACAGATCAAACCAACAACATTCAGCAGAAGTGTTCAAAATATTATTATTATAGCTTCGCATTCTTTTGTTGTTGTCAGACAAAAAAATTGATGTAACATAGTACAAGAATAATTGAATCTAGTGGCGCTTTTTTTTGCGGGTCCTTAAGAATTACAGGGTGTCATTTAAGTTCCCGCACAAAAGTTTGACGCCATGAAGAGATTGACTGTCGCACTTTTTGTGCACCAATACAATTTATTTTTGTTAAATAAGGTGTATTTTACTTATTTCCCAAGTTTCACCTCATTCGGATGTGTTTCCGAGAAATGGCGAAGGCTAACATCCATCGCGCTTCCATTATCGAACTTCATAAGCAAAATGTGAGCCCGAGAGACATCATTCAACGGGTCGGTGTGCTTCGTAGAACGGTTTGCGACACCATCAAACGATTCAAGTAGCTAAATACGACCAGTGTCCGTCCCAGACAAGGAAGACTCGTCTCAGTAACCACTCCTCAGAAGATCAACGCCGTTAAATCGAGGATCAGGCGAAACCCACACAGGAGCATGAGAAAGATGGCGTCAGACATGGGAATGAGCATCTTTGCTATGGAACAAATCGTCAAAACAAAGCTTGTACTGACCCCATATCGTGTCCAAAAAGCGGCAATTCTATCGGCCGTCAACAAGCAGAGACGCTTCGAAAAAGCAAAACGACTTCTTGCTCGCACGCGGTCTGGAGAACACCTCGTCAATGTCTTCTCCGACGAGAAGCTGTTCAGTGTGGAGGCGGCATTCAACTCACAAAACCATTGAGTACTTGGCCAAACATCCCAGCAAGCTTCTGAGAAAGGAAGAACATATCATCCAGCCTCACATCCTGCCAGTGTGATGGCTTTTGGTGCCATCTGCTCAACCGGGAAGTGCTACCTGGTTTTCGTGGATCAGATGGTGAAAATGAACAAAGAAGTCTACGTTCGGGACATTTTGGAGAAGCATGTGATGCCCTGGACCCAAACGCATTTCGGTGGGCAGAAATGGGTCTTTCAACAGGACGGAGCACCCGCATACACTGCCAAAACTACTCAGGAGTGGTGCCAGACCCATTTTCCCGACTTCATCAAGTCATCCGAATGGCCTGATTGCTCCCCAGACCTGAACCCGCTTGACTTTCCCGTGATGGGGTCTTGCAGGAGAAGGTCAACGCAAAACCCAACTCAAGTGTAGAGGCTCTGAAGAAGACATTACTGGCGGAATGGGACAATCTTTCCATCGAATACCTGCGTACCACAGTCGAATTCTACCCGAAGCGTCTCCGTGAAGTCATAGCTGCGAAAAGAGGCCGAATCAAAAAGAGTTAATAGATAAATATTTGTTATACTATAGATAAAAAATATTTCGAGTCTCGTTTGATTTGGACTTTTAGTTTCAGAAATGTACGTCTACAAAGTTGTGCGGGAACTTAAATGACACCCTGTATGTCATGAGATTCTGTCGGGTCAGTTATTTTCCAAACGAACAAAACCGGATCAGATTTTTCTCGTTGAAGAAGGCCAAGTGCAACATTGTCAATAACGCATCTCGAGACATTTTGATTGGAAAAGTAGAAGGTGAATTTTTTTCTTTAAGTTATTATCACCAATTTATTAATAATTATATTAGGTACAATTTCTAAAAACGGACCACTCTGTGTGGATTTTTTTGTACTTTAATTATTATTATTCTCCACAGTACGGTAGTATAATTCCCACTGTCTATATGGAAATTTGATATACATACGATGGTCCCACAATTACTCAGAGTGCTCATTTTTTTGCGACGGTATTTTTTTTCTGAAAATCTCCCATAGATTATGTTTATCTTAAAATTCTTATGTTTAAGCTTCGATCATCTTTAATTGAGCTTCTATGCGAAAAATATTGAAGATGAACAGTTCTGTCTCAAAACTTTCACTTACTTTGAGTTCAGCGTATTTTCAGCTCACTTTTTTTGTGGAATTCCCAAGAATCCATTATTTCATAATTCTTGATATTCTCAGAAGATTTTTTCAGTTTTATACTTTTAAATAATCTCCTCCTTATCATTTTTTTCTAGTCGAACATCCTCTAAAGTACATTTTAAGTAACAATGCAGATGAAATTTCATTAAACCAAAATTGCGTCATTGTTCTGTGAACTATATATCAGTCATTCTTGACACCACAAGTTACGATTTACACGTGAACCACGTACAGTATCATTTATGCACAAAAAATTATAGCAGAAAATTGCGGAAGAGATCAAACGTGAAGGATCTTTGCGGAGGACCCGACGAATTATGAGAATTGAATTTGCCACAAATTTGCGTTGTTTTATCTTCCAAATATCGTGTAGAAGCCTAATTTCACACAACTGTAATCTCCAGAAGGTCCTGGTTCGCAGACAAAACTCTTCGGGCATAGGCACGTTCGTTTTCCCGAAACCCGACATGGCTCATTTACTTGACAAGCTGAAAAAAAAATGGTTGAGGGCGTCGAGCTAATTGATGGGAGAGCGTACTTCCAATTTCGAATTGAAGGATTGTTCGTTTTCGAGATGAGCGCACACGTTCGCGTTTTTGTGGAAAGTATTCCTTTAAACAAAAAAAAATCATTCGAATTGAAGAATCAAAAATCGCTTGAAACGGAGAACAACAATCACGGGAAGGAGGCCAGTTTAAACGAACTTTAGTGATATCATATGGGGGTTTCAAGTTCCAGCCAAACTTTTCTTAAAACGTCAAATATATGAATATTGTCGTAGACCGAATTTTGGGGGTTCTTCTTTTGTCTTTTGATAATTTTTTGAACAATCAAAATACCTCATTTCAAAAAAAAATGATGATCGTAGGTAGATAATGCAAATTTCGCTTTTAAGATTTTTTCCATGCGAGAAAAAAAAAAATAATTGGACCACGATAATATAAAGTTTTCGATTGATTTTACTGTGAATGTCTCAAATCAGAATTGATGATTGTTCTTGCAAAAAAAAGAAATTCAATCGATCCACTAGGACCCCTTAATCTGAATTACCTTTTGCAGCAAATTTTTAAGATTGCAATCCGCATTTTCTTTAGTTTTTCCTGTTATAATGGCTAGAATTGAACCTGAAAAGTATTTTATGAAAATTCAATTTTTTTTTTGATTGAATGAATGAATGGGACTTACAGTCATCGGTGCCAAATTTGCGCTGCTCAATTATCCGACAAAATCCGTCAAGAATGAGAATTGAGAAAATTACAAGTGATGCCATATTGAGCCGCATATCTCTGAAGATCCGAATCTGTCGAAGGATTAGTATAAATGGGTATGGGAGAAGTGGGGGAGGGGGGGGGGGCGTCGGAAAAAAAAGCAGATGGTGAAAAATGAAGGAAAGGAAGACAAATAAAAACGCACTTGATGACGTCTTTATTGACGAATTGGAGAAGCTAAAACAGGAGAATAACACGAATTCGAAATATACGAATCGCAACATTACGAGAAGCATCGCGCTTTTTTTTGGTCTGAAGTCAAACGAGAGCGCGCAAAAAATGAGGAGAAGGCTAGCGGGTTCTAAAAATTGGATAGTTATAAAATTGCTGCTACCGACCTTGATATGGAAAATAGTATTCCAGGGTCTCATCGCGATGTGTTGTTACTAGACAAAATTGTAAATGTGTTCAGTGAATGGCTTATTTTGATTTACGAGAATGCTCCTTTAATGATGTTTTCGTTTTTAGACCAGTTCTGTATTGGCGATATAAAGAAAACGGCAAGAAGAATCGGTTCTAGTCATGATTTAAAGGAGCACGTTGAGATTTGTCATGCGTTATTTTTTGTGGAGTAGTCAGCAATGCAGACGGGAAGGCTTACGACGAAAAATATCGAATACGGAACAATCAAAATTTGAAAGTCTCATAAGCCACAAGGAATGCGAGCAATTTCGAAAAGCGGAGGCGAAGTTCGCAGTCAAAAATGATAAAAACGACAAATTTTGCGACAATCGCCATGTATTATCAGATGAGGAAAAACATTGGCACGTTGAGAATGACGAACATCACGAGGAGGGTATGATGATTCAATTGAAAAATTGCATTTTTCGATTTTCTCATGGGTCGTATTAATTATGTCTAACGTGAATTCCGGCATTTTTTAAATAATTAATCCCTAATCGAAATTAGGCAATTTTTTCTGTATTTAGACAGAAAACGATAGTAAAAATTGAGATGGCTTCGCGTTGGAATTTCAATTTACACACATTTTTCCATACATCATTTTTTATTAAAAATGAGTCATCAAAAAAATAGCAACGGTCTGACGAAGTGAATAGAATCATTGAAAAATGATTTCATTCTTTTTTTTTGCGAAAAAAAAGAAACCCAAAAACTTTCAAACGAATTTCCAAAATTGGTTGTTTTGGTTGGCACTCGATGTTGAAGCGCTTATTGTCTGCATTTTCCCGTCTAAAAAAAGCAACAAATGTGCCCACGAAATCCTTAATTTGGTACTAATTATGGTAATGTTGAGACGTATTGAATTTCAAGGCATGAATTGCAGTTGTCCGCAGGAATAATGAATGAACGGGTTGGTGAATGAATTCTTTTCTTTTTTTTGCTCGGAAATTGGCTTCGAATCACATTTGCTCCGGATGTAGACGTCTGGGAATCCATCGAATCGCCTACGCTCATCACTAGATATTATCTATGGATATTTAAACATCCTTCGAAATTGTTCTCCGCGGCCTCTTCTCAGAGTCATCCTTGTATATTCACTCAGAAAAATGAGAAATGATTTCGTTGTTTTCGTTTTTCTTATTGTTCAAAACACCAAAACCATAGCCATTGTAAAAGAGAGCACTTTGAACAACAATTTATGAAAACTAAAAAAGTAGAAATTGAGGCCACGGTCGACCTTATAACCTTTTTTAATTACTGGAGCAAGAAATTAATTAAAAAAAAATACTCATGGCTTTGAAATGTTTAAAAAAATTTCAACATGTTAAAGTTTTCATGAAAATTTCTTGATTTTAAATTTTCGAATAATTAAAAAATTAAACATTAAAATCCGAAATCAATGGCTTTTAAGAATATTTGAGAAGCTTTCTAATTTCCTAAATCTTTTTCGGATTCGGTAATGTAAGACACAAAGACACCCCTGATGCGCTGACTTCTTAGTGTAGCGATTAGAGCAGAATAATACACCAAAAATCTAACTTTTTTTATTCAGCATTTCATTGTTTTTTCCTCCCAGAGACACGCCGTTCTTCATTTCCAGTTTATAAGAAAATATACAGCGTTTTCTTTATCTACTAAACGCGCAATTGAACGCCTGCTTGAAAAAATCACGACTTGTTCAACCAGTCCAAGAATTTGAATAATTGCAAAAAAAACTCCAATTCTTTATAGCTTCTAAATTAAATCATTTAACGCACGCATACGCCTGAACTTCGACAACGCACATTTTCAATTGATATTTAAAAAGAAAAAAAAAACAAGAATAAAACAACTCACCTCCATTTCGGACACATACAAATATCGTTGGCATCGGGCGTCGACGCCGGTAGATCTTTTTTTTTTTGGTTATGCTCTCACGCGGACTAACCGATTTTTTTGATTCATTTTGAAACTTTTTTAAAATTTAAACGACGTTAGTAATTTAAGTAAATATTAAACACACAAAACAATTTAATTTCACCTGAAAATAATGACAAAAATTCACATGTAACCCACAACGTACTCTCTACTCACGTACAATAGACGACGGACGCCTACATTATTTTCTAGGAAAAGTAAGAAAATTGTGCCGTACAAGTGACGGAGAATAATTGCCTCCGTCTCTCAAACTTGCTCACTTTTTTCTAAGATAAAAGTAAGCGATAAGATGAGGAAGATAAGAAGTCTGTAAAAAATGCCTACCGCCGATGACTCTCTGTTATATCTTTTTACAATAAAGAAATTGGATAAAGCTAGAGAGTTCCTTACATTGTGACCAAAGCAATGAGTGCCCGATTCCGCACAACTATCGGTATTGTAGAAAGAACTATCGCTGGAGCGCTATTACAGGGATGCAAAGGAATTGCCGACGCTAACGGATCTGGGAGAAATGGATTACGAGGAGCAATAGGATCCACTCGGCGAGGTTTTGGACTCAGTAGACAAGGTTTCAACTGACTTGCCGGAAGAAGCTCGACTGCGAATGGTAAGAGCTGAAACACCAGGATCAAGCGAAATGGGCCGAACTAGAAGGGCAATACACCACTGGAGCGGAAGCAGCACATGGCATGGAACCGAATAAGGCGGAATTTTCCCCTCTTGAGGATTAGTTTTCGTAATGATGGAACTACTCAGCTGAACGAACAGACGAAACAATCGAGTCTTCGACGGAAGCGAGAACGGCCGAGATTGCCACAACAGAAAGGACATGTCACCACCAGGAGCCCAGTACTCAATCGAGACGGTACAACCACCATTGCCAATATATTCTTTGATTCGGATAGCAACTTGAGTCATGTCACCACAAAGTTTGTCAAGCAGTTTGGAATCTATTTGAGAAAAGGGAATACGAGTATCCACGTTCGTCAACACAGAAAACAACCGACACTTACAGTCAAATATATACTGACTTCGCTGCACTGGTACTCCTCCTGCGCCAACGAAATGGAATTTATATCGGACAATATCACCACCGCCGACCTCAAGGACACGCAATGGCAACAGCTCCTGAACCTTCCCGACTCCCTTGTTTCCCGGAACGGAATGACGGCCGACATTTTAACCGGATTGGATTGTGGTCTTTTCTCTGACCCCAACATAAAAGATAATTTTCTTTCGAAGCCGGCGAGAGATATAGCTTGGGCGAGGCGTGTCAAGAACTCGCGCCTGAGATCGGGACAGCGATAAGAAGACTATAAAACCTACCGCTCATGGCTCTGTTCTTTTTCAGAAAAGAAAGGAATTGAATAAAGCTAGAGAATTCCTTACACTACGCAATTTTTTAGACTTACCCTTACGTTAAAAAAGTTGACTTACGATTATCACTGGAGGAGGCGTGGCTTCTGTCTAATGGATTCTGTGAAGATAAAAAAAACAAAACAAAAAATTTAAAAAAAAATTAAATTCCAAGTTGATTGACATCCAACATCAGTAGTGAACAGCGAAGATGAACCCATAGTTCTTCCTGGAAATCAGTCATGTCAAATTGGGAGCTCAACAGGACACAGGGCCAGCTACTAGTGGTAGCGTTGGGCTCGGCGGCCGGCCAAGAAAATAGAAAGGTTACAATCGCAAAAAATTAACACCTTTCAGCGATTTGCAGGTTTTACGTAATACGTTACGCGAATTTCCACTAAATAAGTGGAATTCTGAATTTTCGACCAAAAAATACGATGATCCACAATTGCTGAAGGTGCTCGTTGCTTTGCAATAGTAATTCATATTTTTGAGCAAAATAATTTCAGTTTTAAAATCTCAAATTTTCCAACTTCAAATTCAATCATAATAGCTTAGCGATGAGAAAATTGTAAAGATCATAAAATTATGGAATGTTGAACTGTACAATGAAATCGAAAACTTGATTCCGGAGGATGGCCTCCAGATTACCCCCGGCCGGCAAATCGACGTAAAAAGATGTTTCGACCAACCTAGTCTTAAATGTCAATTGAACTACGAACACGTCATCGAAGCGGTGGTTTGTGATATCTGATCATAGAAGCAGTGAGATGTGATATCGGAAGACAATGTTGTGGACAGCCTGGATAATCTGAAAATACCGAATTGGAACTGCAAAAATCTTCAATTCGAACTTTACGATTGTATTTTCTTTAGTTTGAGCTTTCAAATTGTTCCTTAAATTGAGAAGAGCAAACGATAAAAATATGGTTGGAGTGGATGGACGAAAGTGAAAATTCTGAAAAATTCTCCCATACAATAAGAAGAAAATTGTATTTCAAACCGGCCGCCAAATATATCGATGATGATAAATTCAATGAAGGATTGTCTGCCATACTTTTCAGCTCGAACCACTTCTTGTTGATTGTACATGAAAAAAATGAAAGTTAAAATGAGGATTGGAATCCAATTATTTTTTTCACTAACTGTTTGCTTTTAATGTTTTTAATTTATTTTTTGCGTTTTCATTACAAATATGTTTTACAGAATTTTTTTGGGTCTCGCAACATCGAAATTCCCCGTCGCCACTCCACCGTGCGCGCCTAGACTCCCCAGGCATTTCCCTCCTGGGTCGGACCCTTTGGGTCACCGAAGCGGGGCGAATGTCCGCGTCTCGTGGCACGAGAAGCGCGGCGCCCGTGCGGGCTCTCTCAAATCCGAATCAACGAATGTTCTCGAGACACGCGCACAGCGGTCCGGAGGATTCGATGTAGAAAGAACGAGAAAGCGCAAGTTTTAATGGATCTATTCAGTGAATGTAAATTAAACAAAAACGACAAATTTTCATTATGCAGCGATGTCGTTTTTGTCGCAATAAGCGCTTAATTTTACTGAGGGGTACTGTAGATCGCGGGTCGATATTTCAAAAAAATTGGCACATGCTCCTTGAATATCGATTTTTTTTAAATATTTTTTATATTAAAATTTTCGTATTTTCACTCGTTTTTCGCGGATTTTTTTAAATAATTTAAACTTTTTTTTGAGTAACACTTGGTGATATTCATAAAAACTACTAATTTGTGCATATATTTCCTTTTTGAAGCATGTCATTCGCTGAGTATGAAGGAAACGACTCTTTGGTCGAAGACGTGGTGGAGGCACATGGGCCAAGAAATTTGCCAATTGCTGAACAGCGTGAAGAAGCTAAGCGCACGAGAAGGAGAAAGCCACTTGTAGATGACGGATATGAAGCGGTGAGTATTTAAAAATGAATTGTTGGATTTTATAAATTAATTAAATTTTTTTAGTTTCCACAACACTTTATTGTGGACTTCATCAAGACCGTTGAGCAGTACCCAAGTATTTGGGACTCATCTATTAAAGAATACCACAGGAGAGAATTGAAGCTTAAGGTCTTTCAGAATATCGAAAGCATGTGCAAGAAATTTCTCCGCGCCGGAAGACCAAATGGTATTTTCAAAACCACTATCGGTAAAATTGAAGTTTTAGGTATGACGGCTTGGAAATTGTGGGATTCGATAACGCGCGATTTCAATAGACATGTGTTGCGAATCCAAAATGCTCGATCTGGAACTGGAACATTGGAATCATCATTTCCGTTTGCGGAATATTTACAGTTTTTGGATGGAGTCAGACACAAAAGACAAGTTAAAAAGTAAGTTTACCTGTTTTTTGTTAATTTTTTTTTACTACAGTGCCTTCATATGCGGTGATAAAAGTATTGAGTTGCTTGAATCGCGGGAACCCTCGGATAGTCCGAAGACTGCTAAACGAAGAAAATCAGGTTTCTAGCAATAAAAAATGGAGTTTTATGGGTATGTTTTAGACAGCGATGAGCTGATGAGTATGTTGCGCGAGACGAACAGCGAAATCAAGCAGCTGCTTAGATCGAATGATGAGGAAGCCAAGGAAACCCCCAAATGTAAATTTGACCGATTGTGCAGGGTCATGGCCAGCCACGTTGCGGATTGGCCTGAATTGGATCAAATTCAAGCCGAAGCGAAAGCGATCGCTTTCATCATGGATCTCCAACCGACGGGCAAAAGAAATGAGCAGACGACTTCTCTCAGTTTGTTGGACGAAAATTATTTTTAAGTATTTTTTTTATTATATTAACAATTAAATTTAAAAAGATAAACATTAAACATGATAAAGAAGATAATTTTTTAATGCCGTTCTTTGATCTTCGGCATCGCTGTATGGGTCTTGAAGTAAGGGAAAGTTGTGGTCAGGTGGAAGATCGGGAGGAGCACCTAGTGATATGTTATGTACAACTGAAAGTGCTACAATGAGGGCGCGCGAAGAAGACGGGTCCATATTAAGGGCTTTTTTGAAAATCTGGAATTTCGACTGCATCACACCAAAAAAATTTTCAATTTTCACCCTAGTTGCCGACATAATCTCGTTAAAACGCATGTTTTCTGGAGTCAAGGAAAGCTGCCTATAGGGTTGCATAAGAAACTTAGATAGTCCAAATCCGTTATCAGCAATTATAAATGGAGGCATTATAATGGATGAATTCGGAAGCGGGCGATATCCACCTATTGTGGCTACATTTTCGAGGAGTGCTCCCAAAGGCCCATCTCTGAACATTTGGGAGTCCGAATTTACTCCAAGCTCAGAGATTTGCAAATATATAACACGCAAGTTTGCATCACAACAAAAAAGAGAATTAAATGAATAAAACGACTTATAATTATAATTTAACGATCCTGTATGCGCAGGATGCTCGATCTTCCAATGCTTTCCATCCAATATGGCAAAACATGGAATTCTTCGACGAGGAGTTCGATCAGAAGAGTTCATAAATCCTTCTTCCAGACGAATTAATTCTCTTCGATTTTGTGGCAATCGGATTTGTTCTCCGGCAACTTGGACGATATCCTCGATTGTATCTCTAACTAGTCGAGAAATCGTTGATTGCGAAACTCCAATTTCCTTCGCAAGAAGATTTTGGCTAATACCTATAAATTTTATAATTTTAATGCTTGTAAAAAACTAACAAACAACTAAAAAATAACCTTCTCTTGTGTATTTTAAGAAAACTGCCAATCGAATTGTCGCATTGATTCGACCTTCGTGATTTCGGCATATCTTCAGAAGTTCCATGAACGTGCTGTTAGAAACGCCGGTCACGAACTTAATTTATTCTACATTACTTATGCAGAAATTCACTTGTTTTACTTGTTTCCTTACCTCAATACCACCACAATCTACTAATCGGTTGACTTTTTCACAAAAAAGATCGAAGCTCTGTTTCTTGATCACTTCAATTGTTTCAGATGCATTCAATGCATTTTGTTTCAATATCCAAACCAAAATAATTCGTTTTTTCATAAGCAGTGCAATCTATAAATTCATTTATTTGTTTTTTGTTTAAATTGTATTTCTTACTATAGCCTTTTTCTTATTTCGTAACCTATCCAAATTAGCCATGGAACGATCTGAAATATTCAATTTCTTTAAATTAAAACAATATTCGAATAAAATCGATTCAGTTTTGGAATAGAAAAAAACGAAAACGATATGAAATTATTATTTAAAAGTGTTACTCAAAAAAAAGTTTAAATTATTTAAAAAAATCCGCGAAAAACGAGTGAAAATACGAAAATTTTAATATAAAAAATATTTAAAAAAAATCGATATTCAAGGAGCATGTGCCAATTTTTTTGAAATATCGACCCGCGATCTACAGTACCCCTCAGTAAAATTAAGCGCTTATTGCGACAAAAACGACATCGCTGCATAATGAAAATTTGTCGTTTTTGTTTAATTTACATTCACTGAATAGATCCATAAAATATTTTTGAAAGTTTGGCATATTTTGATAATATAAACCTCGCACTAATAGAGAAAAAACTTACACGTTGTTGGGAAGGAGGAAATAAATTGATCGTTTCCGTCAAATTAACAATCAATAAATGAAGAATCCTTGAAATTAGCTAAAATTTGCCAACAAAATCCACGAATGAAATATTTAAATAAAAACAAAATGTGGCGATAAGGAAACGTGGCAGGTCAGTGACTACTGTAAAACTTTGTACGCAAACCGCTTAATTGACGACAAAATTCAGAATTACAAATTCTGGCCTGAGATCGAAGTATAAAAAACAATAATTTTTCCTTACTCTTTCAGATCTTCGGATTCCTGCCTCAAACAAATGAGTCAAATTCACCAATGATTCACCTACCCAAAAGAAATCTGCCAGGCATTGCTTGTTTTTGTATGACACATCATTTCGCCCTCATTTCATCAGCTTTTTCTTATGAATTTCTCGAGCGATATTGTTGTATTATATTTATTATATAAAATTAATAATACTTGAAGCAAACTGTTATTAAATGTGGGACGTTGAAATAATCTCGCTAGGCGAGAGGACAACATTAGAAATAATAAGGGGGAAAATGGATAAAATATATATTTTCTGTTTTCAACGATGAAACAATAAAACGACGGCACTGCCCAATTAAGCGTTTATTTGCAGCATTTCGGTTCCGCGCGTTTCAGCGAGACGAGCGCTGAAAATTCGAACAATTTCGGATCCCATTTATTTTAGCTAACCGGCGAAGTTCCCACTGACGAATTCTCGCAAGCGGAATGCAAATAAGTCCACTAATCGCCATAATCGATCCCATCACGTAGAACGAGATATTGTAGCTGCCAGTAAGCTCTCTGATGTAAGCGGCCATTGGCGAACCCACCACAGCGCCAACTCCCATGAAGAACATCATGAAGCCGAATCCTTTGTTGAGATTCTCGACGCCGAGAAGCTCAACGCAGATCACTGAGCGAAGAGCGGCGAACACGGCGATACCAAAGGCGAATGGGATACAATAGACGACGAAGTGCCAATATGCGGTGAAGTGCGGGACAGCCATCGTGGCGAGACCAGCGACAACAAGAGCCACATTATTAACAACCAATGCGCTGACACGCGGATGATCGGCTATGTATCTGAAAAGCGGAGAAGCATGAACACCTGATAAAATGTTTGGCTTACCCGCAACCGATACGCCCGGCGATGTTGCAGACTCCGATGAATGAAATAATGAAAGCTTTTGCTTCGGTAGTAATTCCAGGGATCTGATCAAGAATCAATCCGATGAACATGAATGGAACGTAGAAGCAAATCAGTGTCAAGGTTCCAGAAAACGCGAGAAGCAAAAAGGTGATTGATCCGAGAAGATCTTTGTCGCCGAGTTCCTTGATCGATTCAAAAACTTGGATATGGACGGGCTTCTTCTTCTTCGAGATATTATTGATATCCTTGTGCGTTTCAAAATGCACCAGAAGTGTTGTTTCGTTAATATCGGGTTTGTCCAAGTTGTTGCGACCATCGATCGAATTGGCGCGACTGCGAGCCTCGATGGTAGTCGTCGATGCCGGATAGAAGACGTCGAGATGAGAAAGCGGTCGGTTGATTTGCTCAACGTTCTCGGAAATATCTCGCATCAAGTCATTCTGCGAAGCGGCGAGGTCCTGCTCCTCAACAACTACCGGCTCTTGATCGATGGTGATCTGGGGCGTCTCTTGATGCTGTTTCACTTCAACCGGACTGAGGAATAGGGCGACGAAAATTCCACTGAACGAAAGGATGGCCGGAAAGAGACAGAACATTCGCCAATCGTTGGAGACAAATCCGAAGACTGGATCATTTACCTGTAGAAAGTGAACAGTTAGGATTGCAACGAGGAGATTGAATGACTTACAATTGCGAGAATGGTGGTACCAATTCCGGATCCGCACACGGCAATTCCCGTTGCACTCGAGCGCTTCTTGGCAAAGTATTGCGAGATAACGACGATGGCTGGAAGATACATGAATCCGAATCCAGTTCCGGATATAACCGAGAATGTGAGGTACAACACGAAGACGTTCGGCGCTGCCATCGAGAAGATGAATCCGACGCAGGCGAGAAGGGCTCCAAAGATGGCTACTTTGCGACACCCGAACACATTGCAGAACGCGGAAGCGATCGGTCCCGACACGTAGTAAAATCCGATGAGAAGTGAGAAGACGCCGGATGACACTGAGTCGCTGACATTGAAGCTCTCCTTCCAAGCGGGAGCAAAAACTTTGCCTTGAGTGTAGATGACGCCATCGAAAATGGCGTTGAGCAGGAATGAAGCAGCCACAATCACCCAACCGTATCCACCTGCAAAAAAAAACTTTTATCAAAAAACAAAATTCGCAAGATCTTACCGTCTGGAGGAATGGCAACGCCTAGATCGCGAAGTTGATTCTCATTAAGGTCCTGCTCTTGCTCACGAGTAATCTTCTCCGAGCGAGCCGGAGCCAGCGGCTGTTCAGCTTCGGCCATACTGAAATAGGAAAATTGTATTATGAAGGGAAGACGATGAGGAAACGAAGGAAAAGCGAACGAAATGAACTGTTCGCCGGGCGGGAGCCGGCACGTTCGAAGACTCCGCCCATTTGCAACGGCAAAAGCTGGCACATTGACGAAATAGTGTGAAATGATGGTTCAAATCATATAGAGACGACAGGGTTTCAAAACCGAATGGGCGGAGTTCCACATCGACGACATCGGAACGAGCAACCATGCAGGGGTCACGTGAATATTAAAATTACTTCATGATTTTCGAGCTTGTTGCAGGAAATCATGGAATAAAGCTCGTGCGAACGAAAATCAACCAATTTAACGTTTGCATAAACCTTCCGACTTGAAATGCATTCTCGAATAACGGAATTCTAACGCTTTGTTCCTCTATCCTTGCCAATTGAAACCAAAAGTATCATTTCTGTAAAAATGTTAACAATGATGTTGTGCACATTCCGCCCACGCCTTCCGCCAGGATTCGAATGGTATATGAATCACGAATGTTGAAACGAGATTCAACCAACTAGATAATGACTCATCGAAGAACCAAGAACACCCTGGAGATTGCGCCGCAAACACAACAGCGGCACAAATCAAATTAGAAATGAAATATAGTTCAACAGCGATTGATTGTTAGAATCGTACTTCGTCCTCAAATTTTTACCAAAAAAATTATCACGAGATGCTCACCAGTTCGGTTGCACAACGTTTTTTGTTCGTGTCTAGTCGCACCCTCACCCCCTTTTTTCCCGAATCACAGATTGTTTATCTAAAATTTCCCTATAATGTAAAAACGAGCATGCCAAACCCCCACCTCGGTGGGAGAAAATGAAACTAAAGACTACTGACTATACAATTCGCAATGAAACAAGAGGGCTTGAATTTCCTGCTCTCCTACAGTACACCTCTGAAGAACCCTAAAGGCTAGCACTGGCGGATTACAATCTGGGAATCTGTTTAACTCTGGTACAAAAAAAACTTATACCAAAAGAATTATACACAACATGCTAATTTTTTGAGCATTTCCGTTTAAAGGCCTTTAGTTAAGATTATTCCGAAAAAATATACAAAAACGCTTTTAGCCACGAACGATGGGATCTGTGGAAGCATTACATCCCATTTCATTCCCAATTATCCAACATTGCACAAGCGTTCCCAGCACGGTGCCAGGCATCGTCTCCTATCAATTTCTCTTCCTTCAACATCAAGCAAGGAGCTAAAGTTAAATTTAGCCTTTATTAAATAGATCTAGCTGTCGGCATCTTGAAAGATGCTCTGCATCTATTCATCTATGAGCATCGTTTTTCTCGTTCTCGCTCATTCCTTTATCCTCTCTGCTTTTGCCATTATTAAAATCAAGCTTTTTTCATCTACCGAAATCGATAACAACTGTCGTTGAAACTAGGGAGCGTCTGGAAAGAAAGTGCGACGCCATACACGGCAGCAAATCGTTCATTATGTATAGCTGACACTGATAAGTTATCAGGGGAATTGCGAGGGTTCCCCTAAAAACGACTGATTATATTCTAGGGGGAATTACACGGCAATCCCACAAAAAATGGAGGTCTGATTATGCACTTCGACATTATGAAGAATTGTACTAATTTTAAACAGAAATTTAGGAATAGTTTTCGTAAGACTTGATTGGACTCATAATTTTCGCAATTGCACACGGCTCACATTCAATACTATAAATTATGCTCGATTTTGAAGATTACATTGACAAGAAAATGTTTGCTAAACAATTATTTTCGCCATATTACATCAATTAATATCAACATAATCATCTTCATCACCACCACCACCATCATCGTTGTAACATTCCCGTGGTTCAATCCATGAGTCACCGCTTGTTTGTCTGTATAACTAATAATATCATCAACATATCGGAGGCACTCGAATTTTAATTAAAAGCTTTAAAAAAAGTGAAATGGCGATTAAAAATTGTGAAAGGTTGGATTTTTGGGAAAAAATCTTCCTCTTGAAATTTATGGGAAATGTGGTATAATGATCAATGAAACAAAATACAAAAAATTGAGTTTGTCGAAAAAAAAAACATTATTTTTGATTAATGAATTAAAAGGTTAAGATTTTTAAACGTAACAGTTCGAAATTTAGGAACAAGTTTAAAATTTTCGAAAATATTTTGCAATACGTAATTGTACGTCAGCGTGCATGAACTTTAGATTACGGTACCCTCTATTCAAGAAACGATTTCCATCGATTTTTCCGATTTATTTATTTGTTGTAAACTATGTTTTCCAATTTCTTGTAATGTTACCGGTTTTGTTTTTCGGCGAAAAGGTAGTTGATAAATGCCGAAAAAAAGCAACATTTGTATTTAATCGTTTTCTGGCGCAGCCCTACGACTAGAAACTAATTTTTTGGCGGGTGCTGTTTTAAACAAATACCGGCTATAACCGGGCCGCTTCGCCAATTATCGTTTGACAGTCATTGGCTGACCAATTATGGAGCCCGCCTTCTCATCCAGCCGCACTATAAAAGCTATAACCATGACCAATTAGTCATACTACCTGCCGCCGTCAAGTGTGACACATTTTATCAACGATGGTGGGAGAGTGGAAATCCAGTTTCAATCTCAAACCACGGTGTTCGTTTCAATATAAATTCAAGTGATCATCGCCCGAGACTTTCTTTCCATCATTTTCCACAGGATTTCGTGGTTCCAGCCAACCACCGTTATGATTGCGCAGTATTTTGTGCGATAGTGTGCGTGCGCGTGTGTGTGTGTGTGTGTGTGTCTATATAAACTGCAGGTCACCGAAATCGAGATCATATCGTCATTTCTCTCGTTTCGATCTCTTCCCAATTCATTGATATTCTATATTATCATTTATTGTCGTCTTGATAACCTCATTCCACTTTGTCGAAATCTCTCGAAGTTTCGTTTTTTACCGTCCAACAAACTTGATTTTTGCAGGATGATGTTCCTCACAGTTCTGATCGCTTCCTCGGCGGTAAGTCAAACTCAAAACTCAGCAAAAATTTCTCTATTTTCTTTTTCCAGCTCGTTTTCGCTCATGACTGCTCTTCGCCGCAAGCCACTCGCGCTTCTTTTGGTGCCTACCTTCAGTGCATCAAGGAGGGTCTCGATGCCGACTACGGACAGTATGAAAACGAGATTCGGGAGCATTCCAAGTAATCTATGTTATCAAAACACTTCAAAACCTTCTCTGTTTTACAGGAAGGCTGCCACCGCTTGCTTCGCTTCATCAATTGAAGAGGGTAACGCCAAGGATCGTTGTGTGTTATCTGCCTCCGACCTTAGCCATGTCGCCTGGGACCGTAACGGACCATTGAGAGAGTGCTCGATCTGCCGAACATTCGCCTCAGGTGCCATTAAGGCCATCAAGGCCACCCCAGCCGAGGACCAAAAGTGCATCAGAACTGAAATCAGCAAGGCTATCGCTCGCGAGGCATCCTATTGCCTTCAGCGCAAGGTCGCCAACTTCCCAGGAGTTCCAGACATTCCAGATCTCGAAGAAGGATCGTTCCAATTCAAAGACTCCGTGTAAGTTTTCATCATCGGAAACGAATGAATAATGATTCTCGGTTAAGCATCGCCTCTATCTCCGACCATATTCTTATCCAGTCCCGTCTCAGTTTCTGCGGAGAGCGCAAGCCGCAACGCGCCGCTTCCACTCGCGCCTGCCTCGCCAGCCCATTCGTTGGATATTTGTCGGGACATTGCAAAGGTAAAATAAGAATATGCGTTTAATTAAATTCAAAAACCAGAATTTTTGATTAAAGCAAAATCGTTCTTGCACATTATCAGATTTCGTCAGCTTTTCATTCAGAAAAAAACAACGTAGCCAATATTAAAATTGATCGAAATTGATACGATATTAAAGACATATTAAATTTTTCAGTGCTCGCCAACTGTGATTCGCGATTCTCGGGAACTTGCGCCAAGACTATCCCACAAACAAGAAAGGCAACTTGCGAATGCATCACCGACGCTCGTGATGATCTTAAGAAACGTATCGGTTCCATTGCCGGTGTTTTCAATGATGTATTTCTAATGAAAGTTAGTCGAATCTTAATAACGATGATTTCAGCTTCTCTCCGGTGGACGTGGACTCGCCATTGGATCTGCTAACAAGGTCGACATTTGCGTTTCGCAGATCAAAAAGCAAATGTAAGTTTTTTTTTAATCGGTAGCAAATCAGTAAACCATTGCACCAATTACAAAATTACAAAATATTTTTGAATTCCAGGATCACCCCAGTCAACGATTGGGTCAGCGTAATCGATTCTGCTCTCTCAACCTGCATTCGCAATAAGCCAGCCGGACAGAATCTTGCAATGGAGGCTCTTCTCAACGTTGGATGCCGTAAGGTCATCGCCGATACCACCGGCGCCGCTACCACTCAACTCAAAACCGGATTCGACTTCGTCAATAACCTCATCGACGCAATGGTCCAGAGAAGCGGAAGATTCTGCGGAGGTTCGCACTGCCTTCACGGATAATCCGACATTTGTTTCGCAATTCCCTATTTATTATGCATTATTTCTTTTATTTATATTGACACATTTCCGCGCTTACTAACTAACAAAATTGCTTTTTTTTTAATTTCTCAAACGTGTATTCATATAAATTGTACTGATTTTTTCAATTCAATTATGGCGTGATCGATGAATTCGACATCGCATGAAGTGTCACTTGAGCACGCCGCTTCTCCGCCTTCGAGCTCAACGAGCATCACACTGTTGTCGCCGGACTTGAGGTACTCGGCGGGAACGAACAACGCCATCTAGAAAAAAGAACACTACATTATGGCGATGGTTTCGGCAACGAATGGTTTGTCTCAAAAAACCAGATCGAATTCGGGAAACCGATGAATTGACAAACCAAACATCGCAACGGATCTTGTTTATCACGAAACTACATTATGAATCGAACAAATTATAGAATAATTAAATTACCTGTGGGCCTTGAGTTGCCCAATATCTTCCAATGTTGTTCCCATTGACAATTGCGATTCCCTTTCCCCATCCCGTCGTATCAATCCAGCAATCAGCCGGTTTTCCCTTTACCTCGACAACTCCGAAGTACACGCCTTGTTTTTGATTGGATTGCAAAAAAAACGGAAATTGATTTCCTTGTTCACAAAAATTATCAACCTTTCTTTTGATTTTCTTCAAATTTTTCGCCGTCAACGGCAATTTGATGCCGCATTGTTGCCACGTGTGCACAAGTTCGCCGTTGACACGAACCCCGGAAATGATTCCCTTATGATCGTCGATGGTCTCGAATGTCTGCCGACCTTGATTTTCGACGAGTAGGAACAACTGATTGTCGTCATTCGAATTGCATCCATCAATTGTGATGTTATGCACTGAAGTTTTGCCGAAATTTCGAATAAGGGTTCCCTGAAATTATTCATGAAAAATATTTTTTTTTAAATTATTTTCATACCATGAATTCATGATTCAAATAAACGTAGACAAAGTCTCCAAACTTGTCGATTTCCAGAGTACCGCATGATGGAATATTCTGAAAAATGTGGGGAATTAATGCGATCTCAAGAGTCGAATCTGTCAACTGCTAGATAGGAGACGAGACCCAGTGAATGGTCAAGCTTCTCGAAGGTCTGTGGCTGATCGGAGGTGACACATTGTCCAGGCTCATTGTGATATTGCGGAATTTCCGAAACTGAATGAACACGCTTCATATTAACCTTGCCATACGCACTTTTTCTGAAAAATAAAAAAAAACAGTCCTAAATTTTCAAAGAAATGTAGGCTTATACTGAGTATTTTCAGGAACATCTAGAGGCGGACTCGGCCAATCCTTCAATCCTTTAATCCATTTTCGAATTTCCAGATATGCTTGGGTAATGTCTCCGGCCTCGCTGATTGGGGCGCTATAGTCGTATGAAGTGATTACCGGCGCATCAACTTCCGCTCCATTCCAGAATCCGAAATTCGTTCCGCCGTGAATCATGTAGAAATTGAAGTTTGCTCCAGAGTCATACATTGCTTAAAAATGTTTGTAAATTTAATTATTTAATTAGTTCTAATCACGTTACCTTGCATTCCTTTAATAGTTGTTTGAATGGAAGGCAAACTTTGAGTTTTCTGTCCCCAAAGGACAAACCATCCTGGGTAATATTCGGTATTCACTAGTGGCGCTGAAATTTTCGAACAATACAGAAAATTTTAAACATTAAACACCATTTGGAGCAAATTTTCTTTGGATTTCAAAGTTTTTGTGAATTTCTTCAATTTCATCTGACGGACCAAAGTCGACAGTTGGAAGGACTCCATCAACACTTCCGCACTTGACCAACTCCTCGCTGCTCCCATCAGCTAGAATAATTCAAAAATAAATTACACTTCTTCAAACTAAGAAAATACTCGTGAAAAGCAAAACATCATCGCCGACATATTTGCGAGTAAGATCACGAAGAAAACTCATGTATTTCCTGAAAATCCATTTTAAAAAGAAAATCAATGAAAAATCTCGTACTTATCGCAAACCCCGTAACTTCCATACTCATTTTCGATTTGTAGCATCAAAATTGGACCTCCGTTTTTTCGCAGAAGGGGCTTGATGCGAGGCAGAAGCTTCGAAAACCATTTTTCGACAGCCACTAGATATCTGAAGTCAAACAACTTGCAAACATTTGATCTATTTTTAAAATGCTACACTGGATCGCTGGTCCTTTGCTTTGTAATATTTTTCGTGAGAAGCCATGAAGGAAGCCCTCCATTTTCCCATTCACCGCAAACATATGGACCTTAAATAATCAAAATGAAAAATTGTGATTTCCTTCACGAAAACCAATTCTCAAAATCGTCCATAATCCAAATTTGAAAGCAATCCTGGTAAACCGGGCAAAATCTTGAATGCCGTTGAAAACATATCTGAGGGAGATTCGTTATAGGAAAAAAATCATAAATTCCATATACTTGTTTTCCTCAATCTCATGAAAATTCCACGGAATATAATAATGAATGGCGTTGAATCCAAGAGCACGAACTTTGTGCAATCTAAACTATGCAAACAAATTTTTTAACGTCAAAGTTAACGTTACTGTCATACAGCTTTTCAATAAGTATTTGGTTAAGTCAAAACTGAATTTATTTGTAGAAAATTAAAATTATCGTGATACTTTCATAGAATATATTTAACTACGAGGAACTGCGAGTGAGAATCGTCGATTCCGATAACCACAGAAGATTTTGAAACCATTAAAAAAAACAATTTTACCGCAAATTAGTTGAAAATGGCGCGTCACCACAAAAAGTTCATTCGGTGTGATTATTGCTTTTTTTCAAACACAAATTGTGCAATCACGACATATGTACACTGCGGACTTGCATTATATTTTACGCCTATACAGTTTTTTTCCCAAAGACATCATTTCTCAAATCCTAACAACCCAATCATTCGCTGTTTTAATTACCTATCATCCCATTGAGATTTCGGAATTCGAAAATAATGAATCGAACCAGAAATGTATCGGAATGGCTCTCCATCAAGCAAAAATCTCCGATTTGTCTCATCGACCATAAACGAAGGCGATTTCGGGATCAAACTGTCAATCTCAAACCAGTATCAAGCGAGAAAATGAAATAACTTACCCATTGGTGGAATTCTTCATATGAAAATATCCATATTGCGTTATGACACGAAATCCATTAGCCCCAAACAGGAAAAATAAAACCGCGATTAGCGGTTTAGTCATTTCAAGGCCAGAAATGCGAAGAAAAGACAATGATGATAAAGCAAACAAATCTCCAACTTATCAATCAAGTCGCTCTCGGCCAGTGTAATATGGCCGGCGTTCACACTTTCGAGCTCCTCCTTCACACCTGCATTTCTAAACTGACGGATAGATTTATTTTCTCGAATTGGTTAATATGTATATAAATAACTTATACAATATACGAATCAGATCATGTCAATTAATATTTACGGAACGCATTGTTGTTCACAAATGCAGGCCCCAATTGAGGCGGTTGTCCAAATGGTGCCGAGCGTGGTGGTCCATTTGGGCCGTTATTACCAGCATTGCTAATTCCGAGACTTGCTGGCGTCAGAGAAGTGTTTCCAGCGAACATTGGCCCCTCTGAACAATTATAAACTATTAATGATCTTTTTTTTAATTTTTACATACTTTCGTTGCTTTTACTATTTTGAGCTGAAATTGCTTCATGTATCAAATTCATTATGCGGTTCTGAAGCGAATCCAATATCGATTCATCGCGAATTTGCTCCATTTTTCTCCAGACCATTTTTCCTTTAAAATGATTTTTTTATTTTAGAAATATTACAATACCCTACCAAAAAGCTCGTGAATATTGCTATTCTTTCCAAATCCGGGAACCTCAACCGGTGCTTGTCCAGGTGGTCCATTTGTGAGAGGTCCGTTTTGCATCATATTTGGAGGCTGAAACAATTAATTTCAAATTTTCGAAATAAGCAATCGTTTTTACCATGTCCATAAGCGACGGCGGGTTCGAAGAAAACGGTGGAGGTCCATTGAACGGTCCTAAAAATATCAATTTCATTGAAATACTTAATTTTAAAAAGTGGAAAGGATTTGTGCAATCCCTTGATATCATAAAAACTAAGTAGGAAATAAAAAAAAAAAAGTATATAAATAATTCGATGTCATGTGTTGCTAGTAATTCTTCGTTGAAAATAATATCACTTGTATCTAGTTTGCAGTAAATTGCAATCACCTCGGGTCTCGAAACTGCTATCGGTTTATATTTTCTGTCTTACTAATGTTGCCAGAAGATTTAATTTTTCAACTGTCTCTTTTCTTTATCGTTGACCACTTTGGAAAACGATGTAAAATTAATTTTTAAAGAAGCTCCCTATGAGGAAGCTTTTGAAACGACAGCGTTCCGATTTTGGGATTATAAGTTCTGATAAATCGAAATTCCAGCTTGTTCGCTACATAACGTGAATATCAAGCACAGAACTAGAAAGCTTCCATTTGTTGTTCATATTACTTTAATTAAGCGAATATAATCAAACGATTATATTTGTGTGGTGTTGCAGTGCAATTATGAATGTTTAGCTCCGTAAGTATTGTGTTGCATTTAGAAGGCAGCGCGACCGTTCTAATAGTCGCAACCTAGAAGAATGTTCTCTTCATCATTCAGAAGAATCTTTAGATCTCGACAAATCTTTTAATCGCAGTGAGGACCCGAGGTATTTAAAATTATTTAACTGGAAAAATTCAGATTATACTGAATATCACAAGACTAAGAAATAAAAATTTTACAGTACGGAGCTTTTAAAGTGTTGCAGACATCGTCTGACACAATTAAAAACGGTTTAAAATTAACATTAAAATAAACTTTTGAAAATAACTAGACCTGGCATTGGCGGTCCGTTTCTCCCATCCATTGGCTGCAAAATCGTTCATTAGAGAAAGTTGTTTCCAGACATTAAAATCGCTCCTATTTCGTGACGAACGTCTAACATTCTTGCAACGAGCAGCACAAAAATTATTGAATGGAATAAATCCATACGCAACCCAAAAGGCTTAGCACAATACATGGGAAATATATGAGGGATCTGACTGGTTGAAAAAACCGCACATTCTTCTTGAGAAATGTACTAAACTAAGCAATCATAATTATGAAAGTAATAATATCGTTTAGACTCTAAGACGGAATTCAAAATTCCTCAAAAAAGGTGATGAATGAATGCTCTGCATCATGGAGATCTAAAGACTTGGCGGCGACACGATGTAATCGGAAAGCTTTAAAATAATTAATTATGGAGCTCTGTGAGCTAGAATGAAGTCGATAAAGATTTTGAAAGAAGTTAAAAGTCTTGTTGAAAATCTGAAAACACACATTATCTGCACGCAGGAGCGAGTCAAACTACATAAGCTTGAAGATTCCACGGTCGGTTGAAAGGTACAAACAATATAGGTGATAACTGTAAAAACAACTTACGCCATCCATGAATGGTCCGTTTGGTCTAGGGCCATTGAAGAATCCAAATCCAGGTCCACGTGGTCCTGGTCCATTCATCTGGAATGGCTGTGGCCCTTGACGACTGTATGGCCCCCGATTTCCATTGCGGTTTTGTTGATTCCGATTTTTCTGTAAAATCGAAAATAGGAAATGAGAAAAGGGATAAATTTTTACTTGATTTCTTCCTCCTTTATTATTTCCATTATTTGCTCCTTTATTGTTTCCAATTCCAGGTTGTTTATTATTACCATTTCCATTTGTTTTATTATTGGCTGATTTATCGCCATTTGGAGACTTTTTGACAGCGGGTTTGATTGTTGCGGCAGCTTCGGTGGGTCCGTTAGAAACCATCTTCTAAATGAGAAATATATAGTAAAAATGGAATTGAAACTGTTAAAATAAACGTCAAGAAATAAATAAACTATGAATAATGTTTAGCCTATTTGCGAAATCACATAAAAATCGCCAGGAAAACGCGGACCACCACGAAAACGGAAAATTGATCGGCGTTCGTGACTCAAAAGAATATAGAATAGCAAAAGGGCGCAGACGACGAGAGTAATCGCTACTCGATATTTGTGCTATGTAAATGCGTGCTCCTTTAACCTACTTTTTCAATTTTTGGAATTGTACATTAAGAAAAGGCAAAAATTTGTAAAAAGTTGGAAATAATCGAAAATTTAAATACCAAAGAATTATTTTTTTTTTCAGAAAATGATAAAAACATCAAATTTAGAGGCAAAAAAATGCTAGACGTTTAAAATTAAGAAACTTGTTGCGCATTAATTTTATAATGTTTTTTTTTTTAACACTTTTCACATGTTTCATATAATAATATGTGTTACCGGCAAATTTTTAAATTGCCATTAACTGTAACCTTTTGGCTCGAAAAAAATGAAAATAGATGAATTTTAACAATGGTTCTGAAACATACGCATTTGACGTTTCGCTTCCCACGCATATGTTAATTTTTTGTCAAAAATCACTTGTATTTTTAGAAAAAAAAGCAAAGCTATAATTATGTAACCTACTGTCAACGCCGCCCACCTTCTCCCAAGGTAAGTTATCATTTTTATCAAAACGTGACTTTACTCAAACTTCAAAGATGAAAAAGCCAGTGTGATTCTATAAAAGGAATATCGTGCATCCATTTCCATTTCAATGAAATTTTTTTCCGATAACTTTGACAATTTTCCCAAATCGATCATGGTAAAATTCGGTCACTGCTTTGCCGATGTTTGTTCTTAGAGTGATCGAAAACACTTATTTGACGAATGATAGATGTTCATCACGAACTTGCATTGCGAGTGGGGGAAACCCCTATTGTATTAAAAAAGCGTCATTCTATCTGATTCCAATTCAAAATGCCTAACAAAATTACTAAAATATCGCAAAATATCGGCGCCGAGGTAACTGTTTTCTGAATGTGTTGCATATTCAAAGATCAAACGTTCTCGTATTGCGTTTTTAAACTGACAGTGTGACGAAAAGTTATGGCACAAATGCAAACATAATGCTGCCCCAAAAAATGTCGACCGCATTTCCATATTTCCTATTTTTAGTCTACAAATCGAGAGGGCAACAACAACGGCGCCGACATGAAAGAGGTTTGTATTTGATTCCGGTAATCATTATTGAATTCAAATATTTAAGGCTTATCAACCTTGCACAACCAACGAACATGAGACGGTGGAGAAGAAACGTAGCCGATTTTCGCTGAAGGAAGAAATTTGCCGAAAGATTCCAATTCTTGAATGGCTGCCAAACTATAAATGGAAGGAGTATTTGCCAGGGGATATCATTGCTGGATTGACTGTGGGAATCATGCACGTACCACAAGGTAAACAAAAATATTGAAATCGGACTCTGATTCCCGTCAGACTTGTGAATTCGAGAACAAATAATTAAAAATGCGAAAACGTTTAAGAATGCGTTGACTTTGGAAATTACAAATTGAAGTTTAACGTATGTTTTGGAGAAAATTTTGTAAAATTGGCAATTCAAAAAAGTACGATGGTTCACAATTCTTTGAGCTTGTTTATTTGCAATGATAATATTTTTTGAGTTTTTTTTTTAATTCAAAATTTAACATTTTCTGAAGTGACGAGTCTGAATCCAGAGTGTGCTAGCATAATTCATATAACTGAGAGCCTATGTTTTTAATAATTTGATTTTCAAATGTTTCAGGAATGGCATATGCCAGTCTCGCCGGTGTTCCACCCGTCTACGGCATGTACTCTTCATTCTTTGTCAGCACACTTTACATGTTCTTCGGCTCATCCCGCCATATTTCCATCGGCGTTTTCGCTGTCGCGTCAATGATGGTCGGAGCGGCGCGACTTCGCCTTGCTCCAGATGTTGCCCCGAACTCAACAATGTCCGACTATCCGCTAGGTGAACCGATTGATCCACTAGTGTTCACCAGTGCCCTTACATTGCTAGTGGGACTTGTGCAAGTCATCATGGGCGTTCTACATCTGGGATTCCTCACCACTTACCTTTCGGATCCTCTTGTCTCCGGATTCACCACAGGCGCTGCTGTTCATGTGTTCACTTCGCAACTCAATAAGGTCTTCGGAATCAAGCTGTCGAGACACGAAGGAATCGGAATGATCGTGAAGATGTTCAGAGACATGGCTCTATCAATGGGTTCGGTGAACTTCGTCGCTCTAGGCATCTCCATATTCGGATTATTATTCCTCGATCTAGGAAGGACATACTTGAATCCGCTTGTTAAGAAGTTTTCCAAAATCCCGCCACCGCTAGAACTAATATTGGTATGTCTCAATGCATGGTTTCGCTAAAAATTTGGAAGTCTTATAGGTAATTTTCGGTGTGATCATCTCCATGATCTTCAATCTCGATTCTAAACACCACGTCAGCACGGTTAAGAAGATTCCACGCGGGTTCCCAGCTCCATCGTTGCCACGTGTCGATTTTCTGCCGGCGTTGATCGCTGATGCAGTGCCGATTGCGATAGTCTGCTATATGTTTATCATGTCAATGGGAAAATTATTCGCCAAAAAGCATAAGTACAAGACCGACGCTACGCAAGTGAGAATTTTCGTAGATTTTTCAACAAAAAATAATGAAACATGCAGATTTTGAAAAAAGAAACCCAAAAAAAAATACAATCTGTACATGTTTTTTTGCCGAAATTTGCATTGTTCCATAAGCCATTTTAAAGGAGCTGTATGCCATTGGAATCTCGAGCATGCTTTCTTCATTCTTCCCCGTATATCCCGTCGGAGCTTCCCTTTCGAGATCATCAGTTTGCGAGATGTCTGGAGCTAATACGTTGGTAATTTTCAATATATTTCCAGTCTTATCATTCATAAGATCAATTTTTCAGCTGTACACAATATTCTCATCGACCATTCTTCTTACTGTCATTCTCTTCCTTGGACCATTCCTTGAACCATTGCCTATGGTAATAAAATTACAAATTGTTCTTCGTAATTTAAATTATTCTTTTAAGTGTATTCTGGCTTGCATTGTTATTGTCAGCTTGAAGAGTCTCTTTCTTCAAGTCAAAGAGCTTCCGAGATTGTGGAAAATCAGCAAATACGATTTTGTGAGCCTCACTAATCATCAAAATCGATTCAATTCAGCAATTTTAGACTATTTGGCTGGTATCATGTCTTTCAACAATTTTCACCGATGTTACCACCGGCTTGATTATTTCTCTCGTCTTCGCGCTCTTCACAATTGTTCTCAGGCAACAATGGTAATGAAAAATTGTTAAAAAATTATGAAAAATACCGAAAATTGGAATAAAAAGAAGCGTTAGAATTTAATAACTTTGGTGTTAGAAAAATAATGAAAATTAAACAATTTTCTAATAATGCTTATGTTTGGAGACTCCGGGGGTAAAAATGATATAGCAATATTCGGTTAATTTTGACGAGATTGTACTATAACATTTTTTCTCAAGTTTCTTAAAACGAAAGCGTGGGTTGCCGATTTTTAATAGGATTTTATCACCCATTATCAAATTATATTGGTGAATAAAAATTATATCATTATATTCGTAGGGATCTAAAACCTCATGCAAAACCTCGTGTTTCAGGCCGGAATTCAATGACTCAATTCTTCACGACGAGACCCCGCGTCAGAATCAGCCGGCCAACGTTGAAATTGTGCGATTTGAAGCACCGCTTCATTTTGCAAATGTGACCTTATTTGTCGACAAAATCAGCGAGACAATTTCGCGCGGCGGGTGTGAAGAGCTGTTCGAGAAGAGGGTGATTATTGTCGACGGCGCGCCAATCTCATATCTTGATACAATGGGTGTCGACGCTCTCAAGGATGTTTACAAAGACGCCAAAAAAGCAAACATCAATTTGTACTACTGCGGGCTTCCTGGTAAAATTGAAAATGCCTTATTTAAAAAAAAATGATTGAAATTCGTTGTTTAAGATTCTGTACAAGGTGTTCTCCGCCAGGACGAGCCGTTCAGTTCAGTGGTCCCACCATCTGCCTTTTTCACGTCTATCGATCGATGCCTTTTGGAAATTTCAAAAGCTTAAATCACAATGGACCATTCAAATCTTTCCATAATTTATGAGTATCTCATATATGTATTTTTTCGAGAAATTTTCAAATAATAATGTTAATATTAATCATAATAAAAAGCATAAATAAATAAATATAAATAATACATGCGGGCTTTAAAGACGCGGGCTTCAAATTAAATAATAAATTGAGATCACACACACTCACACACACTCATGAATAAATAATTGATTATGAAAGCGCTCCTTTATGATTGAGAAACTCCATGAGCGTCTCGATTTCGAGATTGATGTTGGCGGTGGCGCGGCGAATGCGTTGAGCGATCTCGTCGGTTTCACAGTCGTCGAATGAGCGGCCACAAAATGAGGCAACCATCGCTTGAGCTTGTGCGTCCTCGCTGAAAAATTTGTTTTAAATAGCTGGCCGTGAAATTAGCGGCCTTAAAAATCTAGGCCACGCATTGATTGAATTGTTAGCGAACACCGGAATTGCGCATAAGCAATTAGTAGTGAGCATTTAGAAATTGGAGAAGCCGTGTGCAAACAATGGAACGTCGTGTTGAATTTCAGAATCGCGTTCATGCTTGATAGCGAAAATAATGAAATGCGTAGAGGCTACCTGGCTACTGACACGTGCGATCCCGCTTTCTTGTTGCCGTCCGACGATGATGAGCGAAGCAGTTTGTCGCGCAACTCGTGCAAATCGATGAAGCTTCGTCGTTTCGACGGCGTCGAGCGAATTTTGTGCGGCGTCGCCGTCAAATCGAGCTGTTTGAGCGCGTCGTTCAAATCGCCGCATTTTGTGCGCAAATCGGAGAAGTGCAGAATTGTGTCTTTGACGATCTCGTGGATTTCGGCCACCCAGAATTTCATCGATAAGCCCAGAGCGCGGCGGCATTCGTTGATGAATAATTGCGATTGAGCAACAGCCTGGAATCAACAGAATTTTGTTCTCGCTCTTTTTCTTATACATAGTATGTCGTTTCAAGAATCTCGAAAAGTAAAACTGTGATGATCCTTTAAATTAAATAATTCTATTAACGTTTCCAACTTTTATGTTTTATCATTTTTCTTTGAAAAATGACATAATTTTTGGAAATTTAAAATTAATATTCGGTTGAAGATGAAATTTGTGATAAACTGAACAATGATACGTTTTCAGAATATATGTATTTGAACAATCCACTGATTTGAAATCAGTAGTCCGCAAATACCCACTTTATCTAAATGATGATTATTCCATAATTGAAGATAATCGCCTTTATGATCCACATGCGGACTCCAATCCATAATTGAGCACCAGTCTTTCATGAGCAGCGGCTCGACCTTGATACCGGCTTGAAGCATACACAAAATGCCTTGTTTTGTGTACAAATCGCCTCGATTCAAATGCGGATAGAGGAACTTCACCGTCATTTTCACGTCCACCTTTTTGATCTCTTTACGAACCTGAACCGCAATTATGATGGAAAAGAGTTGGCTGGAGAGTGGGGGGATTACCTTGCTCAGAAGAAGGCCGAGAAGTTTCGCGCACGCTTTATTGCTTTTGCACTCGTCGACGACTTCGCATTTCGGCTCGCAGTCTTGATGAAAGCACGGCGATTTCGAGACGAATATTTGGATTTCGTGCAAATTCACCTTGAAAACAAAAATGCAAATTTTGAATTCAAAAAAAATTTAAAGGCCTACAGTGTACTTCGATATTAGATCATAGATCGCCGCGACAAGCTGCTCTTCAACATGCGGCTCACCTTTCGACTCGTGATAGAAATCGCCGCGATACACGTAATCTTCACCTTAAATTTTGTGCTAAAATTAATGAAACAATTTCCAGAAATCCTGCCAACCTATCAATGTAACAATTAAACCACTAGACTCGTGCTTGTGCTCCAAGAAGCAATTCTGAACATGCTTCGGAACTGAGAACTTTGACGCGCCGTTTGTACAATCACCACAGCATTTACAGCTGAAAATGAGCAAATTGTTTTGGGTAAAAAATTTCAGAATATACTTTGAAGAGCAGAAGCCGTAGACCATCCGACACGCGCATTCCTTCTTCACACATTGCTTTTTGCCTTTTGCGCACTGACAACCGGCCACTGGCTTCGCGATTTTTGCAATCTTTTTAGGGGCTTCCTGAAAAAAAAAGAATATCCGCCTTTAAACAAGCCTATCATTTTTCAATTATAATTTTCTGATAATGATCAAAAAAGGTTGAGTCACGAAAAATTAGACTCCAAAATCTTTTCTCATTTTTTTTCCACAGTTCTTAACATCCACAAATAAAGGGATACTCGACCATCGGCGAATTCCTCCGACTAACCTTATTCTTGCAAATCTGTTTACACGCGCACAGCTTACTGCAACCCTCTTTTATCCGAAGGCAATCGCAGCGTTCCGATTTCGAGCACGCGTTTTTCGCCGGTTTCGCCGGGTCGACTTCGCACGAGCATTTGCAAATCGCCTGGTTAAGACAATCGCCGCGATATCTGCAATATTCCCAATGGACATATATCGATGTGTATGTATATATGTGAGTGCGCGCGCGCTTATGGGATGAAAACTCGAACAACATAACAAAAGAAGACAAATGATTTTGGATAAACTTATAAATAGTAAGAGAGAGAAGAGAATAGAAGAGAGTTGGAAAAAAAAATAGGGACCTTGTACTTTCGCAATGCTCGTCGCACGTCTTCCGTGATGCCACGCATGGGCACGTGTCGGCACTGCATCTTCCTGAAAAAAAAAAAACAAACATAACTAAATTAGTGAAAATTGCGCTGAAAAATCCCCCTTTTCCTATTTGATCTACCCGAGGGATTCAACAACTTATTTGCTTCCAATTTTCCTTCACGCGAGCACATTAAAAACAATTGGTACCGTACCTTGCGAGGCGATGCAATCGCAGCAATAGTTGTTGGCGCGGCTCATCTCGGACGCCATCTTCGGCATTCAATCAGATTCGGAGTTGACGGCAGCAGAAAAACCAACGAAAACAAAAAAATTCGCGACGACTTTCGGTATCCAATTACGTCCGGAAATTGACTACACTCGATGCATATTATCTGGAAAAAATCTTTGAATTTCTCAACAAGATAAACGGGAGATGGATGAGCTCGCAACGACTAATAAGCAGTTGGAGCGCGTTTAATCACACAGAGGTGTCAGAATTTTTAGTCGTGTCGGTCGTCATGCCAACGGACACGTTTTAATTAGAGCACTGACGAGAAGAGAGCATTTTTTAATATTGGACACAATAAAACGGGCCAGTTGAAATCATATATTTTTTGGATGAGAATTGTGGAGCAAGATTGGAGTGGAAAATGTCATCGTACAAACCATAAATACTTCAAAAAGACATTCATTTGCAAAGCCTTTTTTTTGTCTTTTCGTATTTGAGCGAAAAAAAAAAACGTTGGGCGGGAATTGCTTCGTCGAAAAAGAGGAAAAAAAGTGGAGTCTTAATTTAGTTTCGAAAAACGAACCAGCAAACCTTTCGATGACGGAGCTGAGCAATGCCATTTTTGAAATAAACATCAAAAAGCGCACCCAGTAATTTAATTGAAAGAAAAAAAAACTCAAAGTTGACGCCATAAAAGGAAATGGACCCAATTGGCTAGTAATAATTCAGGCGGATATGCTGTGTCCAAACAAAAAGACGAAACCGGCAAGAGGGGGGGGGGACGTCGAAAAGGTTTTGAAACATGAAGCGAGGGTATGAGAAAAAAGGGAAAAGCCTTACGAGGCACGAATGGAGAAGAAGAAGAAGTGGGAGAGATGCGAGGCAGCCGGCTTGGAGCTCCGCACAGCCCACAACAACACAACACAACTCGGTCGTCGACTATATTTGGCAATTTGCCGAGAGGCGGCGTGTGCGCACGCATGTATGTATGCGCGAGTTGTCGTCGACGACGAACGACGACGAATGCCGCCCGACGGATTAACGGGGGATGTAATCAGTGGCGATGGGGCGGTTGAGGTTGAGAGTCGACGTCGACGCCACAATAAGAAGGAGAAGAAGAGGGAGGGGGGGGGGGGCAACGAGGAAAAAAACACACGAAGCGAATCATGGGAAAAGAAGAGGTTGGCGGAGAAGAATGGCGGAATTAGTTAGAGGAGTGTAATCAGAAAAATACAATTTCATAAAGGGACATGACAACAACAATTTAGCCTCCCATTAATAATTGAGTTGAAGGTCCATAATTTGGGTTCCGAAGAAGTTAGTTAGAAAACACATTTGGATTACGGTAGATTCTCTGATATTTATTGCACTTTTGAGTTTCCAAAAGAAATTTGCAATTCAAAATCGTCGGAATCTATTTTAGCGATACTCGCTGTGCAAAAAGATACTCATGGGAAGATGAAGATGAAGAAGAAGAAGAATGAGAATGGGGGACCCCTATTTAATTGGTTGGATTAATTGGAAAAGGTTTCAAATCGACTTTTACATTTTTAAAACATCAATGACAAATTGGGTGAACCACCAGTGCAGCTTTCACCAACACCAAACGAACGCACCACAAAGGGCTCTGCGTCTCGTCACTTTGACGAATGTTGAATTCAATAATTCAACAAGTGCAACGCATTCGCGCACAGCGTGAGTCTTCGGGTTTCGTTGGACCCAGCCTAGTCACAGCCCTTAATTACGGGGCGACTCGAAATGACAGATGGTGGTGGCAACAAGCATTGAACGAATGAATGCGTGCGTGTGTGTGTGTGGGTGTCTCCTCAATGAATGTCGAGACGTGCTAACGAGCGACGAACTCTTGATGGCGGTAAAACTAGCATTTGAATAAAATGGCGTGACGAGTATTTGAGACAAAATTAAATGACGATTTGTAACAGAAATGTTGCAAGGACATTTTCATTTAAAAAATCGAATTTATTTCATTTTCGGTATTGAACTTCTAAATGAGGATGATTTTTGTATTTGCCGCTGTGAAACCTCTTGCTTAATTCTCGGCCAGGTTTTTTTTTCACCAGAAACTAAGTGAAATATGAACGAAACGAATGTTGGAAATTCGATTTCCGCTCTACTATTTTATGCTTTGAAAAAAAAGTGCATCGTCAGCGTATCAATCAATTAAGTTATAATACTTATTCATATATTTACAGACAATATTATTCGTCTCGATCGTATCTATCTTCTGCAGCATTGACCGTTTCCGCATGGGGAGTAGTTGGCCTGGCAGGAGCAGATCGTAGTGCTCACTGGCTCCTGGCAAGGCACCTGGACTGTCTGGCAGGATTGTTGGCAAGTCGTCTACCAGGATGAAGCGCACTGCTGGACTGGTTGTTGCTGGGCGACGCATTGCTGTTGGCAGGACGACTGGCATTGTGGCATGCATTGAGCGGATTGTGTGATGGTTGGCTGGAGCACGATGCTGACCACCTGTGGTTGAGGAGCGACCGTTGGATAAGACTGACAACTGGTTTGGCATTGCTGGCATTGAGTGGTTGCTGAAGCCTGTTGGCAGATTGGCTGGCAGTACTGTTGCTGGCATTGCTGGACAGCTGGGAGTTGGGCGACGCAAGTTGACTGACAAGCTGGCTGGCAAGCTGGAGCGCAAGTCTGAGTCTGGATGACCGGGGCCGCAGCACATGTTGTCTGGCACTGCTGGACGCACTGTTGGCTGCATTGTGGAGTGGAGCATTGTTGGGTGCAGATCTGCTGGCAAGCCGGAACACATTGGGTAGACTGAACCTGAACGGTTTGTTGGGAGCACGAGCGGCATGATTGCGCAATCAATTTTTTGTTGCATATCACAATGTCAACGAACGGCTCATCTGTTTGTTTAACAAAAATAATCGTCAAGCATGCACTTGTTTCTAGTATGAACGTGGTTTTTTCTCTGTTGACCGGTTGATCGTTTGTTCGAAACATTGAAACACTTCATATCCCTGCTTGGATTCCGGAAAATTTTAGAGAATTACAAAAAAGAATACGAGGAACAAATTACCAGATCTGATCCTCTTCATTCATTCTCAGTTTCCCCCTTCTAGTCGCTCACATGCGTGTACTCTGAATGTTTCGTTAGCAGTTTAATCGAAATGTGTATCAAAGAGAATCGAACAATAGCCATAAAATGCCATATTCAGATGGTCAGTAAAATTGATCAAGGGCAGATTAGAAAACGAAAAAATGACCACAATAAATCTTTGTTTGTTGAAAAACTAAGATCCGTTTATTACATTCACAAAAAAACGAGAGCCTTGAATAGATTTACGGTGAGTTTTGGTTATCCGTTGTACGGTACCCAAATTCCCAATGCTCAAATTGAAAGTTGAATTGCCGAGTTGAAAAAATTGAGGTGGCTGGATTTTTTTTTAATTCTTTTCCTATTGGATGATAATGAATATATTTTGAAAAATACTGAACCAACTTTCTGTTGCAGTACATACAGTACCGCAGAAAAAGATACGAATAATAATGATTAATTTTCTTCATAACTTTTGAACGAGTGGTTCAATTCGGGTGAAATTTTTACTGAAAGTAAAAAACTCAATTTTGAAACAAATTGTAAAGTAAATTACACTAGTTCGCAAAATTACGTGCTAGTGGACATTATTTTGAAATCTGCAAAAATTTGTTTAAAAATTTAGTTTTTTTTTACAATAAAAATTTCACCCTGATTGGACCACTCGTTCAAAAGTTATGGTGACAAATAATTTCTTTTTCTGCGGTTCTGTATCTCACGAATTTGTAGGAACTTAAAATTGCGTCAAATAAAAGACAAAATCACTAATCACAGTGGCCTGCAATAAACGCTCTTTTGACACATTTTTTATGTCTTAAAAATCCCTCAAGTTGGAATCATTTATGTTTCACGAATCATCAAAGTCACCATTTCCCAAAAAAATAACACACATATGTATGTACAAACTAGTTTCGCCCAGATCACCACCATTTTTGGCGCATTGTTCACTCAATGTAGATTGACTACTGTAGAACATATTGATCGATCATTAAAAGTTGAACAAAGCTATAAAAGAACTCGAGTTGCCTGATAGAACATCTTCGAATGACCGGTCAACTCCTTCTACCGTAGTCTGACGATTTCAATGACATTCGAAACCGTTCATTTCAATCGAAACGGTATCGATGCGAAAAGAACAACGAGTAAGATGTGATAGATAATTGATAGAAAAGTACAAAAATTGACAATTTACTCATCGAAATTCACCAGAACTCACCAATCGACTGAAAAATATTGGGTTGAATTCCAATATGGACTGACGTTATTTAAAGGATCATACATTCAATTCCTTGTTAAACAAGGGATCCAAAATTACAAGAGAAAACGTATTTAAAATGCTATTCGGCTTCTGGAAGTACTTTGATCCCTTGATCATGTAGTAAAGAAAATTGAAAATTCATCAAACAATTTCCATTCTCGGTGTTCGACAACTTTCGAGAATATCGAGAATCATTGGACGAATTCATAAAAATGCCTACCAACAGGGATTATGTAAACGCGAAAATGGTGTTTTGATTTTTTAATGCGTTTGTTTTTATGGCGCTTCTATCGAGACAGTTTTTAATGCGAAATTGGGTGAGACGAAGAGAGGGTATTTCCTAGCCATCTACTATAATCGAGCTTCACAACAAAATAATTTACAAGCTTTTTTTTTACAAGTAATTTGTTTTTTTCTTCTTTTAAATGTTGCTTACCGTTCAAGCTTCATCGCCAGCACCCTGTGAAAGAATGTTGCTAATTATAGAAATGGTCGTTTGAAGTTATTTCGAATTCAATACTTCCCATTTTAGACAATTTCCGATGACTAACAGTATGTTTGTGTTTTTTTTCTCAAATGATAATATGTCGGCGTCTCTCTGATTCGCATCGACTATTTGACGCGAAACCACGACACCTCGAGGTGTTTGTGGGCGGAGTCGGAAGCGGCCCGACGGTGGCGCGGATTCGATGAAGTTGTCGTGGCGACCGGTCAAAATTTTCTCATTTACTCGTTCGTTTCTATAAAAAGGATCGGAATGCGCGTCGACATTCATTGATTCGCTCATCGGGCGCCCCTCATCGGATGCCTTCAACTACCCTCTCAGATGTCGAGAATCGCAGAAAACATCGTCGGGGGTCGAGTTGATGGCATCTGGTGCCGCCCAGATTTGTTATTCTTTTTGACAATCATTTTCCACCCTTTGATCCTTTGCTTCTATGATGCTCATTCCGTCTTCCGACCAAACTCATTCATATTCTATTCAGATGCTCGACATTTTGCTGGAGTACGCTCCGAACTGGACGGATCCGCTAACATGGCTCGTCGTCGTCGCGTTCGTGTTCGCCTTCTTCGTCTCCTATGGAATGGGCGCCAACGATTCGTGCAACGATTGGGGACCGGCGGTGGGCGCGGGAACCGTCAAACTCTGGCAAGCCTACGTCCTCTCGGCGATTCTCAACGTGCTCGGAGCTGTCTTATTAGGTGCGTCGATTTTTTGAATTGAAATTGCCAAACCAAACTAGATCATACTATTCGTGAAGAGATTTGGTGTGTGTGTGCTTCTCCTCTTCAAGACCATCCAACTCCTAGTTCGTATTATGGTAGTAGTCTAGTTTTCAACATCAATATAGTACAAAAAATCGACAGACAAATCATCGGCATTGACCGGTCAATCTTTTGTACGGTTTTTTTGTGACGCCCTTGACGCCGCGCATAAATAATTTATTGGTTTCGATACCGAAAGTGAAATCGACATAAACGAATCAATTGATTGGTTTTGTTTTTTAGGGTACAAAGTTGTTGAAACGCTTCGCACCGGAATCATCGAATTCGACATTTTCGACGTCTACGCTCAATACAATCACAGATTGTCAAGATCGTCGTCTCGTGGTTCATCTCGCCGGTCATCGCCGGAATTTTCGCCGGCGGAATGTACTACATTGTCAAATATTCGGTGCTCATCCGCAAGGACACATTCAAATGGGCCCTTCGCCTCTGCCCAATATTCATGTGCTTCACGTTGGTCGTCAATTTGTACGCTTGCATTTTCGATGGATCCAAATGTGAGATTCAGTGATCCTTGTAGATTCTCTAACCTTCATTTTTCAGATCTTGGTCTTGACAAGCTTAACTGGTGGGAAGCACTTCTACTCTCGGTTGCGATCGGAGTCGCCGGATGGGCTCTTCTCACGTTCCCGTTGAAGAATTGGCTTCCCAACAGAGCTCGTCGTCTTTATGATGAGGAAACCAAAAAGATCCAAATTCGATTGGAATCTGGAAAACCGCCAAGTCAGATAAAACAAGGAAAATCTTCCATATTAAAATTTCAAACTTTAGAAGGTCACAAGATCAAGGACATGCGCGAGCCAGACGTTCAGGATAACATTAAGGATCTTCCATGGTACCGCTATTTCTGGGCTTATGTCCCAGAGGATCGTCTTACCAAGAAGGTGTTCAACACCCTTCAAATCGTCTCCTCGTCGATGCTGACCTTCACCCATGGTGCCAATGATACCGGCAACACCATTTCGCCACTCCTCGCTATCTGGCTCTGCTACGAGTCGGGATACGCGTTCGGAAACGCCGAGACGCGCGATGACACCCAACTTCTTCTTGGCTATGGATCATTCGCAATGATCTTCGGATTCGTCACACTCGGCCATCGAACCATCAAGCTGCTCGCCCACGAGATGACCATCGATATGTCGCCGATTTCGGGATTCTGCATCGAGGTCGGAACCGCTTTCACCGTGTTGGTGTGCGTGAAGTTCGGAATCCCGATCTCATCAACGCATTGCACCGTGGGAGCTGTGGTGTTCGTCGGAATCGCCAAATCGACATCGGAAGGCGTCTCGTTTGCGACATTCCGCAAAATCTGCCTCTTCTGGCTTCTCTGCTTCCCAATGTCGGCTGTCATCGGAATCGTCACCACCGTCATCCTTCAGCAATTCCTTTAAGCTTGCTTTACTTTCTTTTTCATAGCTCAATTGTATGTAGTTTGTTCAAATTGTTCATTTTTTGAATGTTTTCACACCTGAGTACGGGTCCCTCCGCATTTCCGAGATGTTCAATGCGTGTTTATTTGATTCGAATAAACCATGCAAAAATTGGCCCAACTGTTTTTTCTGTTTTTGCTCTTTTTCATTCACGTGATTTTCTGATCATAAACGAAACATTTTTCTTTTTCCATATTTCATAAACTGAGAAATCGAGGGCCCAAGATTGATTGTATCAAGCTCTGATGAGGTCGGAGAGACCCTTAAGCATTGAGGGCATTTCTGAATAAACTGCCCACCAGAGATCGGCGAATAATTTTTCTAGAAAAAAAAATCTGTCTAAAATATTTTCCAGACAATTTTTTAAACTATGATTACTGTAGAGGCATACGTTTTTTAAACCTTAAAATACATATTCAGCATATATAATATAAAATGAACGAGCTGGACCTGTTGATCAATCATTGATTTTTAATGTGTAAATTGGTCAAAACGACTCAGAATTGGAACAGGCTTGCACAGAAATAAGATTTTTCATTTGGTCAACCAACGGAAAAATAAAAAACATGTTTTTTTCCAAACGGGAAACAGTTTTTCTCTGCACATTCAAAGACACTTATTTAAAAATTAATATTTTCAATAGAATTCAGGTGATTTTCTTAAACTGAAATAAGTGTTTTTTTACAGTAACTGGAAATCAACCGTGTTTTTTTTTTACGTTTCTCAAGGGACCAATTTTTGCCGCTTTCCGATGGAAATGGAAACGGAAACGGTATTCCATGCAACATAGATTTGGAACAGAAAGTTCAAGACACCCTTCGTTTATTGAAAAGGTGCTATTGAAAACCAAAAATCATCAAAAATCAATCAATGAAAATCGAGGCGTATGAAAAAAAAACCCAAAACCTAATTGTTAGTATTCTAACAATAATTTATCCCTCATGAGGTTAAAAATTCGAGGCGAAAAATGTATCAATTTATGGCTGAAAAACTGGTCCTTTTTTGACTGTTTGTTAATTATTTCGAAGATTTAAAAATGCGATTCTTTTCTGCGATTTGAATAGTAAAAAGAGATTAGATTTGTCAAAATATTTCATGATAGTGAGAATTTCGAAAATTCCAATATTGGGTTTTATTGAATTTTCTATAAGAAAAAATAAATCTATTAAAACTGATCGAAATATTCGTCAAACCTCGAAGCCATTAGCTGGCTCTATCAAAATGGGGAGTTTTTTTCATAAAATACAAAAAAAAATGCAAAATATGTATAATAATATCATATTATTGCGGAAAATTGGCTAAATGATAAAAAAATTGAAGGAGAGGTCTCGACGCGCGGTGTGCGCCTTTAACCAATCCTTATACTTATGCCCGTAAATCTACACTTCGTTTTGCCTCAAGACCACTTCCATTGTTTTTTTTTTGGCATTTAGCCAATTTTCCCAGTCGCGTGATTGGAATCGTTCAATTTATTTGGAATAACTGGACACAATTTGAGAAGATTCATTTGTTTAAGTCGTACCACCAAGAGATTAGTAATCATGGTAGCGTCTGCCGGTATCAATTTTCAAAGGAACTCAGCGCAATCGATTGCCACCTCCTCTCGATCAACTTCGTATTACAACAGTTTCCATTCATCCAGAATTCTATGCGCAACTATATTGATATGTATAAAGAAAATGCATTCTTGTAATCACTTGATGACTAATAATACAATTATAATTATAATTGAATTGGAATGATACGTTTTCCTATTCAAAAGATAAATGAAATTAATTTGCTAAATAGGTTTTGGTTTTGTTGATAATAAGTATTAATCGAAGTCATTCTAGAAGCCATACGCATGGAATTATGAGGAATATTCGATGATTAAGCTTTTGCGAAAAGAGAAAATGAAAAATTCAAGCTATCTGAGGAAAAAAGTTCAATAGTCGTGGACAGAAAATTCATACACAAAATGAAATAAATTTTTTTACAGCAAAAAAATTAAATATGTATAATGCAAAAATGTTGTCCTGATTTTTGAGCAAATATTTACTGTTTGTGTAATTTATCGCAATTTTCAGAATTTGACGATTTCAACATTCGATGGAAACAGCTTCAATTGAAGAATCAATCTGAATCGACACAGATAACACCCGTTTTTGCGACGCTAGGAGGTCTTCGCTTGAAAATTTTCTCGATTTTACGGAAACTTGGAGAAATTAAGGGTACTTTTTTTCCGGAACATTTTTTTCCTAATGGAATTCAATTATTTCTGAAAATCATAATTTTGTTCCATTAGGCTGAACTAACTAACTGGCCCATCTTAATACTGAATCAATTCTGAATCAACCGGAATCTACTTATGTATGTTGAAATGAAGCTCACTAAATGCGGTAACTCTTTTTTTTTGAGCGACCTTTTTTTGTTCTATAAATAACATAATAAATGAAAATATCGCTCTAAAAATTTTTGTTATTGAGAAAAGAGAGCCGTAAATATGAAAGAAATATTTTTGAAGCAATCGTATATGCGCCTTTAAAAGTGTACAGTGCTATATACTGGTTAAAACACAGATTAGACAACCCCATCTGGTTTTGTGTCCCCACGACAGATTTCAGACCGCCCCACTCTCCCTTCCCCCAACACGAACAAATTAATATCAGTTAAGTATGAGGCGGTAAACAAAGTGGGGTGTGAAATCAGAGGAAAGCATCCAATTAGTATCTCTCCCATTGGGGAAAGGGAGCCAATCTCAGAGCATCGGACCTTTCGTAGACCGCCCCCCTCCCATTATCTTATTTTCAGCTTAAACTATCCGCACAAACTTAACCTCCGATTTAATGTCTAAGATCAGTTGCCTGCCATCTTCGACAGCCACCCTCAGCCACGGCCATGACAGTTCGACCATATTTCCTGCGGGGAGTGTTTTCATCTTATTTGCTTAAAATCCTATTCGCGTGGGCGGGGGATGAATACACTTTCAATCAAAAACATGATAAATCTCTTCAATAGCACCTGAGGACATTTTTGCAGAAATTTCAAATTCAAGAATGATCACCCTACAGGAACCTTCTTTTCTCTGCGGCACAGCCATTATCACTTGCTCGTTTTTCTTCAATTTAATTTCAACAACCAACCAGCAGTTATCATCTTTAAGCAAAACTAATTTTCACTATGTATTCACATGCACTCACATCTAAAAGCGCCATTTTCCGACAACTCGCATATAATTTGAATAATTCCTCAAATATTAGTCAAACGAATAATTTGCTTTTCAATCTCTCCGAAAAAAAAAACGCCGCGCATCAAATAATATACGAGAAGAGTTTATTTGAATGCAAAAATCATTTCCATTCGTGAAAGCTACGTGAAGTTATTTTTATCCAGATGATATGAAATATGGCGAAATTGTATGTGTCGAATAATAGTACATATAAATATAAATATAAATTGGGTCGGCCGGTTTTCTGGACTACATGTAGATCACACAAGATGCTTAGATATATTGATACGAAAATAATATTGCGTCGGTGACCCGTAAGCAAGCGAATGTGATCTTCTACAAAAGAAAATGAATGGAAAAGCTCAAATACATGAGGTGAATGGACTAGATGGAAATTGTAACGATTATTATTATTATTATATCATATATTATAGCATATTTGGTGAAGTTGCGGTTATCATTCTTTAAATGTAGTAATTGGTAATCAATGGAATTGTCGGCGGAGCCTCTTCCGGTGTCGGATCGCAGATCGTCGGATTGTAGTAGAAGAAGGCAAACGTGTATTCGACATTGCCCTTCTCAACAGTCATATCGACATATCCTATAGTTATGCCAATTATATCAGATAATTCGTCGACTATGGCTACCTTCACACGGCTCAACGACAAATTCGGTTTTGGCTCCAAAATCCTCGCTCTGCTTCAAAGCATACTGCATTCCCTGCAGAAGGTAGTTTCTCGCGTTCTGATCGGTTGGTCGAATTTGGGCGCAGCAAATCGAAATCTATAAACACGATTTGATGACGTTCGACTCGAGAAGCTAGTCAAACCTGAACGAACGAGTTGAAACGAGCATTGGAGAGCTTCTCCATCGCATATTTCAAATCTTCTGTCGGGCATTGAAGAAACACGTCTTCCAGCGTCTCAACCATAATATCAATGTGAAGGCTCAATTGGCGAAGAGCCATCTGCTCCGGCGGCATCTCGCCGAGAAGAAGCATCAAGTAACCACCAGGTGTGTACGGCGTGCAGTCTAAAAGCGTTGAAGCTGCGCAATCAAAAAGAATCTAGAAGCTGTCATTACCTGAAATGGTTCTCGCCGGAAATTGCGGATGTCTTCCGCGCATATTGACATCTTTGATAATCACAGTGACATCTTTGAGATTCGGCAGCATACGGAGCATGATCGGCGCATTGTCGGCCTTGAAGCTGCGCGTCGGCGCGCGTCCTCGCGTGTCAACAATTCGGCAATCCTCCGGCTCATCGCTCAACTAAAATTGGCTCGTTAAACCGATATTCAAGCATTCAAATCTCGCGACGACTCACATGCATCTGATCGTAATAGTGAAAATTGTGGCTGAGAGCATTGTCAATCCGGGCATTTGAGAGCTGCAAAAAGGAAAAATAATTTAAATCAATTGATCAGCCCCACCCCTCTAATTTGATCACGAGTATCCTTAATTCGCGATTAAACAGTGAATCAGTCAATTCATATTTTGGAATGTTCAAAGTCGCCAGACGTCAATCAATATCCGACAAATTGTCAATCAAAAATTGCCGACGACGAGACCACCCCACACACTACCCACCCAGTCATATAAATATATATGTATAACTTTTTCCTGTGCAGCCGAGAACCAAAACGAAAATTGAGAGCATACCTTGAAGTTGAACGAGTCCTCAACGGAAAGATGAGAATCGACGTGCGATAGAAGCTCCTCCGGCAGCGACATCAGATGGCAAATCGGTGGTGGCGACGACGATGATGATGATTGTTGCTCAACAGCAGGGTCGGCAGCGGCGGATAACGACGAGCTCATCTGAAATTCGCGCTTTAACTACCAGAAGTCGTTAATTTGATGACGATCGTTTAACAGCGCGAGAAGAGAGAAGACGAAAAAATGCGAGGCGTCACACAAAACCGATTACATGCTTTTTTATAGTTTCGAAGAATTTCGGCTCTGCCAAAAAATCCACACTCACACACACACACAGAGACATTTGTTTTGTTGCGAACCAACCAAACCCTCGCAATAATAGGTCAAACACTCGCTCACCCACACAGAGGAATCGCATAAAAATACTGGCAATCACATAAAAATATACAACTATGTCTGTATGTATATTAAAAGAATGAGATAGTGCAAGATGGCGACGGAGACGCCGACAAGATGAAGTCATTAAGGCGAATACTTAAAACGAACCATTAAATGAGAGAGGCGACATTATGTCAAAAATCGGGGCAAAAATGTCCCCAAACAATTGTAAAATTGAAAATCGTTAGGGTTACAATCCTGGTTGTAAACTTTTTTTCGCGTCTCACGCCACTCTCAACAATACCTATTATGGGGTATGAAGTTTAGGAATGGAAGAGAGATTGATAACCGTTGCTGATGGATGAGAGGAGGTTTTGCCTCATTCTAATACGATGAAGGAGGAAATTCGAATCGGTTTGCCCCCCCCACACACACACCCTCCAAAAAAATTAGCGTATTAGCGAATTTTCGTCATCGTTTTTTAGCCAATCGTCAATGATCCAATGTGACAGGAGTAAATGAGAAGGGAGGGGGGGGGGGGCGAGCGACACCACAAATTCCAATCATTTTCGGGGGACTAAGGGTTGAGAATCGCAATTCGATTTGGGAACAATTCAGCGCGCTTCTCGTCAAGGTGGACGAGGGGGATTTTATAGAATGCCGGTGGTGGGGTGGAGAGCAGGGGGGGGGGGGGGCGTGGCGCGGATTAATATAATTCACGCTTGATTAACTTTGAAGCAAATGAACAATAATAATCCGCCGGGATGAGCACCTCATTATTGTCAATAATCTTCGTAATAAGTAAGGCCACGCCCATTCTAACAAGCTGTAGGCGTGGCCTTCTGTTTTCTGATCAAATCGCGGGCGCGCGCGTGCGCGCCCACATCCGCGTATCTTAACCGATTTTTTTTCTCGCAATTTCAAACTGAAGAATGAAACAAAAAGAACCTCATAAAAAGTGATTAATTGGTGGTCGTCAAAAATTGCTTCAAAATAGATCAAAATAAACGCTGTTGGTCGTTTTCGCCGAACCTACTAGGAACAAAAGAATCCCAAAAAAAAAGAGGGAGAAACAAATTGTTTAATGCGCAATCAAAAAACCCCGCTCAGAATTCTCTCATTCTTCGGTCTGATCCATAAAGACGAGCTCATAATCATTAAAAAGAGGCAATATATATCCCGTTGCGCGCGAGCGCAATTCCAGAGCCTCATTTATAGGTGCCCATTTCATCGGTTCTCCAACCCCCCCCCTTCCAAATGATACGATTCGCGCGTGTCGAAGGGATAGAGACGCCAGTGGTCCCGTCTATCTCTTCTCCTCCGCCTTCGTCGTCCTCTTCTGCTGAAGGGGTGATTTTGAAGCGCATGAAAAATGGTTATGAGGCGCGCGCGCTCGCGCCTACTCTACACTATCTACCCCAACGGGGCTGGTCATCAAATAACACACACACACATACACATACACTGTTTTATTGTCCCAATGGGTACGAGAGAATGAAAATAAAATCAAATGCGAATGAGTAATAAAAAATCGCGGAATTGACGCTAGTGGCGCCCCCCATCGAGTGCTATAGGAGGAAATCCACTTTTCGAGGTATGATTTTCAACTTTTCAACATTCCAAACATTTCTATTAATCCAAATTTGTAGGCTTTACCGTCATCAGGGTGATAAAAGGGTAGAAAAATAAGAGACTTCTTCCCCTAAGTGTTTCCAATGAAGCTAAAAGAATAATGAATCATCTGCGGACATTTGGATATCAAACAGTAATATTATCAGTGTTTAAGCTACCGTAATCCCTACCTCAATATTGCATTCCAATTTATTATCAATCAAATCGAATCAACTAATTAATTGGCATTGTGTGAGACAGTCAAAAAAAAACACGAGCCCCTCGAGGAGATGAAGAATTGGAGAACAAAAGAAGAGTTGAAACACAAAATTAATTAGGCATATAAAAAGTTTATATGTGGTGTGTATCAGTTCATCGTACGAGGAGTGAGGAAGAAGAGGGGGGGGGGTAATAATCATAAAACCGGGTAATTTCAGTCGCGTTTTTATCTCACCGTCCCCCACCCCCTTCCCCAACACACAACCAACCACAACGTCCATCACTTTTTTTGTTTTGCTCAAAACTTGAAAAAAAAAAACAAGAAAAGCAAAACAAATTTCAAGGCTAATCTCGAGAAAATCAAAATCATAAACTGAGGTGTTCCACCTTTCGGAGGTGGGACATCGACATAAGAGATGGGCGGGACTACCGCTCGCGCACAAATGGGCGTGGCGATAGGAAAGACAACAGCGGGCAGCGCGCAGGCGGTAATCACCAACACCGCCGAGTGGTACGGGGGCTCAATGAGCCATTGTGACAAGAATAATACGAGTTTGCAGCACACACATAACACTTTGTCCATTTCGAAATCGGAAATCGGCTTTTTTTTCACGGATAAACAATCAAGTTTCCCAAACCGATAATACCGAATAATCCACAGTATGCACAGCTGATCCTTATCAAAAACCTGTACAAAGTGATTGGCACTTGCGAGAGCTCTAATTAACTACACTTCCGATCCACTACAATTGCGGAGATAGCGGAATAATGTTAGAAGAGTTTGATCAAAAACTGCAGGAATTACCATACATCTGCCAATTTTATCGGCATTGGGTCTCAAATCGAAGAACATACTCGTTGATGCGGATTTTGAGCTAATTTTATTAACGGGATCCATCAACCATATGGTTTTCGGGTTATTGTAGCCGAACAGTTCTGTTCAAACAAACCAAAAAATCCAAATTTCGGATCATGATGCCTCAAGTGGGCTCTCCGTTCTTGCGTTAACGAGCTCACAAAATTCCCATCAATGACCACATCTCAAAAAAGGCGATCAGAAGAACATTTCACGACTGACACCATCCTCATTCACACAGTAAGGTGCCGCGTCAAACAGAAACAAAAAGAGACGACGCGCTGAGCTGAGTATGAATCAGCATAGCTAGGTACCCGGAAGAAGCTCAACGGCAATATCTAATCTAATTAACTTCATCATCACGATTTGTGGTGGCCGAGATTAACTCAGAGAAGCGATTATCCCATATTGCTACGGCTGCTCGACGAATAACACTGTCGGCACTTGCGTTCGTCGGTGGCACCAACTAAGAAAAAGGTGACAAGTATGTCAATAAAAGCTGAAAAGGTGTGGGTCAATTGGTGAATGGGTAGGGTGTGAGGCCGCCAAATGTAAAAGGGACGTGCTCAAACAAACCAACATTTCTCGGCAATCGACCAGAAATCCTTCGCCACTAATCCGCTCGACTTTTTGCGCTCCTAATCATTTTCGTCATTCCGTCAAATCACAAGTAACGGATTAGCTCAATCCCCAATTAATTAAGGTTTCAATACCAATTACACAAGTTACGCAAAACTAGAAGCTCATCTGTCGTCGACGTCGTGATTATTCATCGAGACAATTTTGGGCATTTTCTATTATTCATTGCACTACGACGGCGACGGCAGATGGTGGGCGATATCCCGATTTAATGAGTGACTAACCATCCCCTCCACCTATTCGGTGTGCTGCAACTTGTTATTACGTTGCGGTAAATTCGCCGGATCGCCGGGTCACGCTTAATGCTTATTACGGCCGATTTGCCACTGAATGCAAATAATATACTAATTGATGAGTGCAAGCAGCTCCACCTGATATACAATTAAAATTCGAAATCGTTGCTATGTTTACGTCGTCCACAATTCGCAGAAATCTTTCAAAGAGATTAAAATTGAAATGGTGTGTGCTAACCAAAAGAGGAAATTCTGAAATGAGTAAACCGATGGGTTATTGAGGCAGTTCGCCGCGAACAAAGATTTTTATTGTGATCTAAATGTGTAAAAGAAGAATAAGAGGGTAAGTAATGGTGTTTAAAAATAAATTTGTTAGAAACAACGAAAAGAATTGACCAATGATAAAAAAAACCGAGTTACGAAAAAAAACGCTACGAGTTCAATGGAGCGCACTTGCCCTATCGATTGCTCGTAAATCACCCCCTCGACATATTTTTCAGCTTTTTAACGATATATATGTGCAATATACGACTTTAATTCAAAACGAGAGTCTCATGAAGCTCGTCATCGATCATTGGACGAAAATAAAAAGCATAATAACATTTTTTTGAACGATTGATGCTCATTAATAGATGCTCCCATCGGGACAAGATGAATCGCTTTGCCGGACTCTCATAACAATAAAAAAGTGCATTTTAATGTAAGCCACTTTTCCATATATGTATATTCGGTGCGCGCCCGCGCGCGCGCGGTGTTTTCGCCATCTCTTGCTCACACTCAATATTCTCGTTCGTTCCATTTCGTTTTGTTCATCTCGGAGCCCATTCCATCGACGAGATCGTTCCAAAATCGCATTTATGGACCGCAATATGTCAAACCAAATGGAATTGGGCCCGACGGGGCATTATATATATTTTTTCCTTCTCCATTTCGTTTCGCGTGTGTGTGTGTGTGTGTGTGTGTATGTATGCGTTTTCTTTTTGGTGTGGCCCACATTCATTGCGCCTCAATTTTTTTTCTCAGTTTCAGTCAGTTTCATTCATTAAATCCAACTGAAAACGCCCAACAAACACTAGTAAAACTGCGATAATTGTGGTAAAAATGAAACGAAAGACAGTGAAATAAGGACGAAACACAACAGCGAAAAAAAAACGGAAGGAAACATTGGAATGTGCGACGTTGCTGGTAATTAGCTAATAAAATTGACTGGAATGGAAACGACGGCG